GCCCGTATTCCGACGCGTTCTGTTTGGGAAACTACCAGTTGCTTTCCTGGAGGTCAGGCCCCCCTAATATAACCCCTATATTCCCCCTGTATAGTAGTTTCATTTTTTGTTTTCCATTATCCCTTTATAACCCCCAAAATATACCCCATAATCCCTATATAACCCCTGTAGCCCCTGGAGTTTCCATTTTCTCTTCCATGTCCCTGTTATCATACCCCTGAAGCAACCAAAAACGGAGGAGCTGAAGAAGCCACGAGCCCGGGAGCGCATCCTGGGCAGGTTCCTAGGACCCGGGCCACAGCCTCCACAGCCTTCTTTGCTTTGCTGCTGGTTTCGTGTTTTTCCCCCATGCTTTGGTGATGAAGTATGAAGTGCCGGCATCCTTGCAGATTGCTTGATCCAAGCTTTGGAGGATCTCTGGAGGACGAGCTGCGCCAGGAGATTCGAGTGAAGGTGACCTAGATGCACAAGGGCCAGAAGAGCATTGCCAGCTACGTGCTGCGACCATGTTCGGGAATCTGTGCTTTCAGGTTTTCGACCGTTTCTTCGAGTTGGCACCTGGCGGCGAAGAGCACTTCAAGCAGTCTGCCACGAGCCTCCCGGCCCTCAAATGAGCTATAATTAGTCTAGACTCCTTAGAGGGGGTTATATAAGGGATTACATTGGGGATGTTAAGGGGGATACGGGAGTTTGGACTATGGCTCAAATGCATTTCAAGCTGGCGCAAGAGCTGATGCCAATGCTGAGGATTGAATTTCATTGCAGACAAAGCCATTGAGCTTACCCTTGAGCTGTACAAGGAAACGTCAGGGAAGAGCCATGCAGCTGCTCAGTGCATATCCTGAAGTTGGAGCCCGCAACAGCTCCCGGACTCCCGGCTGACCAGGAGCCTATACGCACAGTGGACACAATCTCTGCCTTGGGCCTGCGGCACGTTGGCTATGGGATCGCGACGGACTTCTTCGAGCCTTTTGTTGAAGGTCAAAGCTTTGGCCCCATCTAAGGGATCCCAACAAGTCTTTTCTGTTCAGGCTGGACGCAGGTCTTCCAGGAGTTGACAGGAAACTTGGCAGGATCAGTTGTGTCGCCAAGAGATCAGCAAAAGTCGAAGTCCTGTGGTTACAGGCGATGATGACTTGGCAGATGCCTTCCGGTGGTCCTTCAGCCTAGTGGCGAAGCTGCTGGTAAGGCAATGGCAGAACATCGTTGAACTCCTACACTCACATGAGCTATAGTCTAAACTCCTTAAAGGGGGGTTATACAAGGGATTATAGAGGAGACTACTATACGGGTTATAAAGGGGGATACTAGGAGTTTAGACTACAGCTCACATGACTCATAAGTTTACCTGGTCAGGACAATTGAGCAGGGCGCCACGCTTGTGATGAAGGCCATCAACACGAACAGTGCAAAGCAGGCCTCCATTATTTCTTCACGTTCCTGTTAAACATTTTTTTTGCTTGGGCAAAACATCCTTACAAATCGTGTGCTGGTACTTTAGCTGTAGCAGGCAGTTCCATGTGTGTTCTTCCCCAAAGCCTGTGCAGGTTAGGCGCGCCCTATCCTACGCTCCACGATCGAACAGGGCCATGTGGTCCCTGGACGTTACTGTGGCCCGGCTACAATCACTGGAGTGTCGGACTAAATGCATGCAAGCGGCACCACATCTAGGCTGGTCACGAGGCTCAAAACCGTACTTTTTTTCGGCAAAAAACGATAGGGGCCAACCCTCCACCGATACCCCCTCAAGCCTGGCATTACAAATAGGGGCCAGCCCTGTTTTGAATGGTCTTGGCACTAGACAAGAGATTAAGTCCGACACTCATGTGTCAGGAGCATCTGATTGGAAGTCGGGTTGAAAAGCGTCGTTTCAGCCTGCCCTCTGGCTCTCTCTTTCGTTTCTATGTTCTCTCTCTCTCTCTCTAGCTCCTTTTTCCTGCTCTGTCTCTCTCACTTGCTTTCAGCGCAGCCCAGGTTGGCACGCAATCCGTGTCGCCGTTGTACATGTCCATAGACACAGGCAACCTTGAGGCTGCCAAGGCGGGGGCAACCTGCTGCTGTAGTGAGAGCAATGCCGAAGCCTCCCCCGCAAATGCAGGTGATGCTTCAGGATCTCGTGACAATCCGCGCAGATCGCTCTCGGCAGCCTGTAGAAACTCAAAGCACATGTTTTTAATGACGGCAACCTGGTATTGGTAGGCAAATGTTGAGGCCTTTGGGACCAAGTGTGAGGCAATAGGAGTCTTGGTTTAAGGTACTACTACGGCTTGGACGACTTGTTCAAGTGGCATCCAGACATTGTCAAGAAGCTAACGACCGATGCGCCGGACCGTGTTTTGCCAATGCAGTTTCTGGCCTAGGGAGGGGGCAGCTGCTGAGTAAGCGTTTCCTTTCATTGCCTTTAGTTCCTGGTGATTTGCAATCTGCATGATGTGCTGTATCATGTCACAAAATAGCTGCGAAATAGCTGCGCTTTCCTTCGGGAGTTCTAGAGGAGCTTCTCAAAACGATGCTGGATGGTATGATCTGGAGGTGGGATGCCCGACCTGGCTTGGCAGAATTCCTGCTCATGAGCTGTAGGTCCCGCGTGGTGGTGCATGGCAACAGGCGTGTGAACTACTACTTGAAGCACCTCCTAGTAGCTACTCGGAAAGCACTGCTTTCGCTTTTGTCTGTGGTGTAAAGGGTACTCGTTGTATTCACCGATTGACATGTTCTCAGGACGAACACGGCAAGTTCTCGAGTGTGTCTTGGCTTCGGTTAGCCAGCTGCTAATCAGTTGTATCACGCTCCTGGCAGGCGATGAGTTGTATCGTCAAGCTGAAAGACCCGGAAGTCGCGGATCATCCCATCCTCGTGGAGCTGGGCGATCGCGTTTGGAATTTTGGACCAGCAAATCCTACCATTCCTGATCTTTATTCATGCATGAAGGATGGTGTATACATGTTCGGAGGCTATCAAGAAGTGCAGGTCTTGCCGTCTTGGAACCTTCTCAGGCACTTGGAGCAGTGTCCGTGCTTCGTAATTATTGTTACAGAGCCACGCAGGAAGAAAGGAATCAGAGGAGGAGTATAATGTATGGGTATGATATAGGGCTACATAGGGATAATGGAAAAGAAAATGGAAACTACTATAGGAGGAGTAGGAGGGGGAGTAGGAGGAGGGTGGTGCCTAAGAAGAGGATAGGAGGAGAATCAGAGACTCAGCAGCAGTAATGGTGAGGGCACCCCCGTACAATTACAAGTAATGAGAAGAGACCAACGGATGATTTTTGTGCAACTTGCATTTTTCAGCAGTACAAGCGAACGCTAGAGTAAGAGCAAAAGTTGGAGATAAAGGAGTAGGAGGAGGAACAAGTTCTTAGGGGCTTTCCAGGATGCTTCAACTATGAAAAGAGATCCTCTCACGCAATGGTAGCTCAGGAAGCAATATTTGAGCCTTTAATCCCCAAAGAGTTCTATAGGCAAATCATGTCTCAGAATCAGCTCTCCTATTGAGATTTAAAACAGCAGCCTTAGTAACATATCAGATGTCCGAATCAGCTCGCCCCTTCTGATGTTAAGAGCAGCCCAGTATCTAGGTCACTATAGCAAACGTTCTGAAACTGATCACTCTGAAAAGATCCACACATGTAAATGGAGATGCTGTCGCGTGAGGTTCATAGGCGGTAGCTCAGGATAAGCTTTAGCTTTCAGAGTTTCTGGATTTCACACTGAACCTGAAGCCTTCTACACTCAGCTCCTGATGAAGAAGCACTCAATTTTCTCATTCTAGCACAAACTCGCCGCTGTCTCCGAAATGATCTTTGTGCCCCATTCTGGCCCAACAAATCTTTAACTCCAGTTTCATTGACGTTGACCTCGGTCTATGACAATGCTGAGGAATGACCTCGTGTACTGGCGCTTTCTCCGAGGCGCAGGGAGCAAACAACAAACCAGTGCGGCTAAGCAGTTCCCGGTTGCGCACGAAGGTCTTATTGATGGTGTTCTGGATTGAAGATTGCATGCCCGCAGCCTGAGTCCACTTAAACGCATTGTTCAGAGTCTAAGGGCCACTTTCAGCTCCAGCATTTGTAGACGCGTTTCCACTTCCTTCTCTGTCGCATGCCACTGCTGCCCCAAAATGTAAAGGCATGCCTTTCCACATGACACACGATAATCATGGCTTCTGTGTTGTGTGCGAGACTTGCAGTGACTTGCTGCCAAAACGAATGTCTCCATGTCCTCAACAGGCCTGGTAAAATCCAGTCTGAACGGGCCTTTTAATGACTCTATGTGCGAGCGACGTTTACCGGAGCATCTTTCGATTATGTGACCAACGGACTTGCACCCTGAAGCACATATTTGGCCTGGCAGGGAAGTTGTCGTTAGTCGGCACGGCTGTGATCTTCATGATCAGCCAGTCAGTGCTGCAATACCTTGACACCGCAGGCCGGAAGCGTGCAAATCACCTGGAGTTTTGCATGTTTTTGCCGAGCTCATCAGATCAGATACATCATATTCCCTGCAGGCTCGCTTGAAGAGAGGGTTGCCACTTTCTCTTGCAGGCCATTGTCTTGATGCTGGCTGCTGGTTGCTTGGTTGCGATCTGTCCCGGGGCAGGTTGATCGTGTACCTGTACTACATGGTGTCGCTGGTCTACTTCAGGACGAAGCATGTCTACCAGGAGACTCTGTGTGGAAAATTGCAACACCCCGCACATGGCACTTCAGCCCCCATGCAGGCTGTGAAGCGCGGTGAAATCTTCCTCTTTGGTGGCATGCGAATCCCAAGGCAATCATGCAGGCCTTTGTATGAGAGGATGGAATGTGAACCGTTGCAGGAAGTGGATTGATGACTGGCAGGAGGGAGCCGTCTTCTCAGCATTTTTTCTCCAAGAAAATGCTTTGTCGAAGCGATCGCATGCCTTGTCAAGGTCAGCCTTGCCTTGATGCTAGCGCTGATCGTGATGTTCTTTCTGGTGGCTGCCTAAACACCTGGCCTCCCACCCTTATCTGGCTTAAACGAATAAAGCTGGCCAGGAGCCAATCTTGGCGTGCCTTCAGCATTCAGGGGACCTGGGGATCTTCACGCAGCGCTGCCCACAGGCCGGGTAGTTGCAGCTATCAGACGAGCTCAGGTGCATCGGATGCATGGAAACAAATGCACAGCTCAGGCAAATGACACTCGGGAGCCCTACGAGATCCTGTCCATGATCGCCCGAACCTGTGGTTTGCTGCGTAAACTGCAAGGCTGAAGGCAACCAAGCGCAGCTTTGAGGCCATAATGCTGATCTTCACTCTAGCGGCAGATGCTGCCACGGTCTCCACCAGGTGCAGACTTGCAGCGGAAGCAGCATGAGGAGCATCTGAGTCAAGCTTCTGAGGCTCAGCTCCTGGCTGCTAGTGGCCGGCCATGTGCTGCCAGACCTGGCGGGGATCTCGAACCAAAAGCGTAGTTAGAGGTTTGCAATTGCAAAAAACAAGGGCCTAGCACTGCTCGCCTGTGGCTTTCTGGTGTTGCCCGGAGCTTGGTCTTGCGTGTTTCGGGCTCTCTTGGTGCTCTTTTTACTATGTGCCCATGTGCCCTCCGGCTCTCGCCGCAAGGACCTTTGGCAGCAGCGTAGCTGCATCCTTCGGAAACCCCCAGGCAGGAGTGAGATTGCAAAAGGAATCTTTCGATGTCGATCTTCGTTGCTCGCCCGGCTATGCCAGGATTTCCAGGGCATAGGGAACTCGCTGATGAGCTTCCTGCAGTTGGCTGCCGGGCCCTTGTTCGCATGCGCAGCTTCTTTTGTCAGAACATCTCTGAAAGGCCAACATGTTCCCAGCCACACACTTCGAGCAGCTGGAGGACAGTGCGATGCTTTTTGCAGCGGCGAGCTGCTTCCGAGTCTTGGCCACTGGCCAAGCGCACTCCTCGCTTCAACCAGCAACCTGGTTTTGCCTTTCAGACTGTAAGGTCATGTTCCTGCTAATGAATGCCCTTATCGCACAGCTCACGTGCCCCTTGGAAGCATCCACCATTAATTGTTGCCACGCTGTGACATGAGGGAGCAATGTGCAAGTACTCGTACTACGAGGTTGCTACAAGCAGATATCTGTCAGTATGGTGGGCTACGCACGACTGCGCTGCTTTCTCAGCGTTTTATCGGAACTTATCGAGAACCTCCACAATACTAAAGCTTGGGCCTGCTTAAAATGTGCATGAAGCCAAGGACGGATGCAAAAGGTTTGTGAGGCTGGAATCGGGCCGTGCTTGGCTGAACCAGGCAACCAGGATGTGTAAGCCTGAAGCTGCAGGCCATGCAAGGAATTTCCTCAGCAACATTCCAGCGATTCATCCAGTGCACTGCCTCAGTTCTGTCAGGTCCGACAGAGCTTGTGTCAGCTGCCTTGTCACAGGAACCTACGGCTGGATGATCCTGTGGAATTTGGGGAGGGCGATGTGGGTCCAGCAGGGGGCATCCAGGTTTGGCATGCTTCGCCCCCTCTGTTTTGCAGTGCAGCGTGCTTGCACAGGTCCTGGAGCCCGGAAATCTGCATCCCACAAATGCCTGGGGCCTACAACGTGAACAAAACCATAGCAGCCAGCATGTTGGTGTTATAGCAGACTAGCATAGCAAGATAGCGGGATCCTTTCAAGACACTCGAAGGGAAGTGTAATTTTCGAGAAACCCCTATACAACACCAATGTAACCACTATAATCCCTGTGGTCTCCATATCATTTTCCATTATCCTTATATAACCACCCATATATACCCCATCATACTATAGTTGTTTCCATTGTCTTTTCCATTATCCCTATCCCTATATAACCCCTATATAACCCCCTTTATAACCCCTATATAACCCTATATAACCCCATTAATTTTCGAGAATTGCTGCGGGTTGGCCAGGTCGACAGCATCCGCCGAATGGGCGGTAATCCGAAGAATCCTTTTCCGCCGGAGGATGAGGAGTTGACAGAGGTCGGCAGTTGGGTTGTTAGGGGGTTACATAGGGATAACGCAAAAGAAAATTGAAGCAATTAAAATATTATGGGGTATATATTGAGGTTTCCGTGAGTATGGTAGTTTCCCCAAATAGGGGGACCCCAATGTAGACCCCCAAAATACTATAGTCCTTATTATATGGACCCCCCAAAATGGCACCCCTAATTTTGGGAAACCCCCATATGGTGGACCCCAAGACAGAACCAAATGTTGCATGATCCTCCTTCATCATGGGGACCTTGAAAAGCGACCCCAAATTTTTGGAAAATCTTGTTTTGTTGGGGTTGAGGATGTAAACACCATATCGGGCTTATATAGGGATAATGGAAAACAAAATGGAAAACTGCAGGGATTATGGGGGTTGAATTGGGGTTATATAGGGGCACTAATGTAGAACCCTGATCAATGGTAGTCTTATTCCTATACCCCTAAGTCCTAAACCCTAAACCCTAAACCTATTATTACTATCTGCTTGGCCTGGCCTTGTCAGCATCGTTTAGGCTATGCTGGTCCCTGGTACATTCAGGGTTTTGTGTGTGGCTTGGGTTTGTAGGCTTATAGTCCCCCTTAAGTAGATAGAATATGGGGTATGTGGGGGATCTTATTATAATATACCCAAAGCCATATTCTATCTACTTAAGGGGGACTATAGTGTAATTCTAGAGTTCCATGGTCCCTTCCCAAACTTAGGCGTACCTCTTTTGGGGGTCCCTATAGCAAGGACTATAGATTATATTGGGGTTTATATTGGGCACCCTATTTTTGGGAAACTACCACATGGTCTGGGTTCTTTTTTAATTTTGACATGCCCTAACCCCTAAACCCGATCTTGCTGACTGCAAGAGTCCTTTGTTACAGGCTGAGAGGTGCCAACGGCTCTTCAAGATGTACCAGAAGACTGTCAAGTCTGGCCCCGAGCTTCTCTCACAAGTCACCACCTATTAGTATGATTATTATATACTATAATTTACTATAACATACTGTAATATATTGTATTGTAATGTCTTATAATGTACTGGGATATACTAGAATATATCATGGGTTCAACTAGTACCCTCCTCTATACTACCCCCCGCTAGGTTCCCCCTTAATCAACCTTAATTAAGCCTAATTCTACCTAAATAACCTTAATTAAGAGGAAACCTAGGGGGGGTAGTATAGATGGGGGAACTAATTGAACCCATAAATATACTGCCATGTGTATTTTCCTGTTTTGACTGCGTGCAAAGTGTGGTGAGATTTCAGGAGGATCACCACAGCTTCCCACAAGTCGGACGACGACAAGCCCTCGGCTCCCAAGGCGCACTGTGCTATCATAAGGACCCCTAAATAACCCCTGTATCTAAGGTTAGAGATATGGGCCCTGAGAGGAGGACCTCTGTATTTGCTGCGAAGAATTTCGATGAGGCCATCACCAGCAGAACAACCTTCGGCATGACGCCGGAGGAGGCGGCAAGGGGAAACAGCACGTGTATTGGGTATACTTATATGAGTCGCGGTCAAAATTACCGTTACGTCATTTAGTCTAGGCGGTAGCTGTTGCGGAAAAATCCACAAGATCGATAGGGGACGTCCTAAAACTATAGGCTTAATTCATCTAAGCTAGGGTTGAGACGAGATCCACAAAAGTGGAAATTGATAGGGGATACTCTAATTTGAAAACTAAGACCAAACAAGTACTTTTGACCCCGATACATATGCAACATCGGGGATGCTTGCTGGATGCTTGAATTCCGGGAATGTGCTGCGTATTCAGACTTATCGCGGATCACGGGATCACAGATGCCTGCCCTCTGACGATGCCAGGCCAAAAAAGGCAGCGACTAGCACTAGCGGTGCTAGCCTTACTTTTAAACAGGCGCTTAGAGCAGGATGACAGCAATCACAATAGGTAGAATCAAAACAGGAATGGTCATAGAGTACGAATTGTCGTTTCTGTCGGTCTTTGGGGTGGGATGACTAGGACAGGTTGCCAGAGCTTGTTGCAGTTTGCCAGCAGCTGTACCAAGGAAAGCCGATTTTCTTAGATGGGTGTTGTGTAGCAGCAGTGGAGGCTTCGTGCATGCTTGAAAGCAGCTCATGTCGTGGACAGCTCCTTCAATCCAGCGATAGTAACTGGAAGCCTCCTCACAAAAGACTCAAAGACAAGTCTTTGTCCAGCTTCTGAGCCGTGCCTGCAGGATGTGGCAGGCCTTTCTGTGCGCTAGCTGTGTCAGCTGTCGGAGCTACCAGTGGCTGCACTGTTAATGACCATTTTCAAAAGCGCCACGTGCGTGGAATACTCAGCCCCGTACCCAGGCCTCTTCGCGAATGCGAGGGTCTGTCTTTCGGGTGTTTTCAGCAGGGCATGGCCCAAGTCACAGAAGTGTTCCTGCCAAGCAGTGCGCTGAGCGCAAGGTCTGGCCTGGTTGCTCAACACGCCAACAAAAAGTTATTGAGTGGATGTGTTGATTGAGCTCACAGCATCAGCGTAGTCTTCAGAGCAAACGGTCTTGTCATCGAACACGAGCCTGGGAAGATTCAGCAAACGAGAGACTATAGTAGTTTCCATTTTCTTTTCCATTGTCCCAATAGAATCCCTATATCTATATTATATATATATATCCATTACGCTATAGTAGTTTCCATTATCCCTATAGTATATAACCCCAATATTATACTCCAATATACCTGGACCACCCCTTAATGCAAAAAATGAGCATCGGAGGACTCCTCAGAAGAGGACGAAGAGCCTGAGCAGCCGAAGGCCGCCGGAGCAGGTTTCATGTAATAATATAGGGGTTATTTAGGGATTATATACGTAGGGGTTCTATTGGGGTAAACAATTATAGTAATAGTATAAATGGGGTATATATTGGGGTTAGATAGGGATAATGGAAAAGAAATCGGAAACTACTATTTAGGGTTGAGGGTGTATTTAAGCTTGAATCGAAGCAAGCAGATGCCTATGCTGAAGCCAGAGGGTCGCATTCTGCAACGAACCTGATCAGTGCCCTCAAATCATAATCTTCTGCAAGCTTCTAGGGTCTTGCTGTGAAGGATCTCCGAAAGAACCCAATCTAGAGGCTTAGCAGTCCTGAAGACCATTTGAGCTATTGGCTAAACTCCTAGTATCCCCCGTAGTATCCCATAGGGTTTAGGGTTTAGGGTTTACTCCCCCGTATAACCCCCTTTAAGGACTTTAGATAATAGTAAATTTGGTGCACAGGCGCCGCGGCGCCCAGCTGCCAAGGCTCCGATTGTCGTTGGCGGGCCGGCCCAGAGCCCAGTCTGGATGCTGGCACCAGGGTTTAGGGTTTTCAGGGTTTGGAGTTTTCAGGGTTTGGAGTTTTCAGGGTTTGGAGTTTTTAGGGTTTAGGGTTTTTAGGGTTTAGGGTTTTAGGGTTTAGGGTTTTGAGGGTTTAGGGCTTAAGGGTTTGGGGTGCATTGTTTAGGGTTGACCGGGTCCCTGCAGGAAGGATCTTTATTTCTGCGGTGGTAGATGAAAAGGCCCCTTCTTGATATTTGCCATGTACGGAACAGGCCTCGTGCCGGACCATTCTCGTGTGCTACAACTGACCATGATGAGGCAGCAATATTGTTGCGTCAACGTCATGTTCATACAATACTTCAGAAAGACCCAACTATCCCTTTATAATTGCCAAAGAGCCCTAAAATTATGCAGCTCGTGCCATCTTGAGGAATGCCATTATGGATGAGTGCTTTCAGAATCTGCCGGGCCGGTCGCCTTTCGGTTCCAGCTGTAAATTGCAAGAACTGGTAAGCGTTCTAGCAAGCACTCGATTAAAGATCAGTCTCGCTCTTACTGCATTCGTCTAGCTACCGCAACATCCCTTCCTTTGCCTCTGATGATTTGGTGTGTTGTTCTATGTTAATGTTATTGCCGAGGATACCAAAGCCCGTCCTGGTTACGCTCCAATACTGAGGAGCGAGTCTCGCAGAGCAAGCCCAAGAAGAACAAGAGCATGGAGCCCACAGTTTTGCTGATAAAGTCATTTTTCAGGAATTCGTGCTGTGAGAGTAATTAGTCGTTACCGATGACTGTAATGGGCCTATGGTGAGGTCCTGTCCAGACCCTACTGAAGGCCGGTGCTCGCTGAAGACCTAGCAAGTTAACGCTCTTTTTGAGAATGCAGCCAGATCATCCGCTCGAGCCCAACCTGTCTGATAGCGTCTGGCCCTCGATAAACAAAAGCTTGCTTGAAAGAAGCGCGAGTGTTTTCTCGCACTTAGGTTGGAGATTGAGGAGACGGGGTCAGACCTGCGCATACTGCGAGTCATCGTCTCAAGCTTGACAGGTCAACTTGTGCCTGCCTGCCGGGTAGGCAATTTTATCTTTTGCCTGCTTGTCCTTGCATTCGTTCTACGTCCGACTCAGAGCAATTGGTTCTGCTCCAGCTGAGGCTGTCCAAGCCATTCCGGAAGATGAGATCGAAATGTTCTTCAGGCAGTTTTCTGCTTCTTGAGTGGTTCTTTCACGACAAAATGACATGAAACTCAGCTCGTTCAGGACCTCAAAAGCAGCCTGCAAGATATAAATCCTGAACTGCAAAAAACTGCAAGACTCCTTCAACTTGGAATCCCCGCAAAAGCGCATACCCTGCTATTCCTTCCTGTACCTGTTTGTGAGGGACTGTGGCTTCAGGGAGGATATCGTCTCGCAGATTGCGGAGTTGCTGGAGGTGAGAAGCCCGCAGAAAATTCTGGGACTTCTCGGGGTTTGGTATGGCTTCTGCAGGTTTTGCACAGGAAGAATGCATCTAGATTTAAGAGGTCCCTGTTTTGGGGGATTCAGTGGATTATGCATGGGCCATGTGCAGGCTTAAGAGTTTGCGGTCTGACTACGGGTCCTTTCTTTGGGGTTATTGCAAGAAGGTCTATAGCACCAGGGGGTCGCCAAAAGTTTGGAGTTCAATCAGCAGAAGCAAGGGGACGTATGTTCTGCAATTTTGGCTTGTCACGTACCCACAGGAACAGCATGAGCCTTGAAGTGAGGACTTAGGATTTTGCACATTCTGCACCTTCACGAGGTGGTGAACAGACATAACCCATCCTACCGTCGATGTAAAAACAGGTAGAGGAGAATCCGTCCTTTGGCCGATAGTTGACAGATTCTGCTTAGGCTGTTGTCTACGGCATGTAGTCTGGTCAGAGTTGGGCTGTGCAGGGTGCCATCAAGGCTCATGTCTTGCGTATGCCCTCTCGAATGGGGTACTGTACTGTTGCTACAGTGCCCGTTTGCTCGTGGCAGGCCAGTCAGAGGGTGTACTGTATAAGAGAGTACTTTGCAGGCGCTGTTTATGTGCATGGCAAACAAGAACATCACAGGAATGTCTGTGATGTTCTTGTGCAACTGGCCTCCAACTCGACTCCTGGGTGTCCGTGCACGAGATGTTTTGTGTTTTCGGGGGTCATGGCTGCCAACACACCGGTTGGCGAATCTGCAAAGGGTGTGCGAATGTCACAGTTTTTTTTCACTGAGTCCATGGTGCAACTCGTCAGCGCCCTATCGTCAAACTCTAAGCCCTCTGAAGTCCTGGCAACCCCAAAACATCCAAAACCCTTGCAACTATACCGTACTCCAAGCCCTAAGCCCAATCCCTAAGTATTAAGCAAGCCTAGTTCCTACGAAAGATGAAGCCATAACAACGCCTTGCCACCAAAACTTTACTGCGAGCCCTTATCTCGGGTTGGCTCCTGTGTGACAAGGTCTTTGATTTGTCAAGGGTTCAAAAGATGTGATTACAGGGGAATGGCTTGGCTTAACTCAGATCGGGTCGTCAATCAGCGGCTACAAGAGTAGTTGGAAAGCCTTTAACAGCCGCGGTTCATATATGATTTCTGAGACGCCCTGCGAGATCAAGATAAGATAATAACAGCAGACACAGCAGCAGCAGCGATTTGTTCATGCAATCTAGTTTCTTGCATTGCCGGAGCTTTATAACCATTGTTCTTGTGAAGTGCTGCTTCACCTGGTGTCCAGGTAGGACGTCCGCAAATCGCAAAAGCCTTGGCTTCTGCACGTTTCCGCCCAGTCCTGTCCTTGCTGAACACTGTTTCCTGCCTCATTGTAAGGAAGAGTTGTCTTCCAGCATCCTCAGGAGAACATGGTGCCTGGTCGGGGCTTCAGCTTTGATCTTCAGATGCAGCTGATCTATTCTGATTGCCAGCTTAGAGCGTGAGGTTCTTCAAATGCTGACATGTTGTGCGGTGCCTCACCTAGCACTGCTCTTGATGCAGGTATGTGTCTCGCAAGGCATCATTTTCCTACCTAGGTGGGGGTGATCCTCGCCGCAGCGGTGCACCTGCCGTGTTTCCTTTCCACTGAAGACCAGAGGCTCTTGCTGTCAAACTTGCAGGGCTTCTTCGCTGTCTCCCTTGGCTACAGCGAAGGGAGCTGCCAATTCTCTGACTTCACGAATGGGACCCGATACCTGAAGGGATATGAGTTTGGGATGAGAAGCCCCCAAGCATGCAGCCCAGTGCTGTTCGCTCTCATCGGCTTCTTGCAGGACATGCCAGCAGGGCAATGTATGCCAACTGCAGGCCGGGATCCTTTTTTCTTCAGGGTTGTACAGTTGCTTGCCTCCAAGTAGCGTCCCTGCACTGCCAGATTGCCGCGTGGCACAGTGAAGGCATCGCATACTACAATGCGATGCGCACTTAGCATCGTGGAGCATCTGTTCACATTAGTTCGAGGCTATCCATGTGCAAGGATGGCATTATTGTCTTTTTGTCATCAAAGGTTTTCGCCTCCAGTTGCATCATCGGAGTCAGGGCCCGAAAGTGCTCTGCTGTCTTCTCGTGTTTGATTGGTCCTGTCTTTGCCGTGACAGGTCTGCTGGCCTCAAAGCTTTCGATACGAATGGCGCGTTCCGGTGTTGCAACTTTGCGCAGCAGGCTCTGCATGACTCCATGACCTGATGGTTTTTTGATCGGGCCCTGTTTGGAGGATGATTGGGGTTGTGTTGTGCGCCCTAGTCAGTCATGGGCACCAGAAAAAGATAGGGGCCAAGTGTAACTGAGTCTTAATAGCAATAATATGAACAGTAGTAGTAGTAGTAGTAGTAGTAGTAACGACAATAATAACCCTGCTCATGCTAAACATGATGCTGAAACCTTTCAACATCTTTCGACAATTTGACCAGGCAGCTCTCTGGAATTCCATCCCCAAGGACACAGACTGAGAGCACAAAGTTGATGGCTGACTGGGGTACCTCTAAAGGGGGTTATAGGGGTTATATAGATGTTATGTAGGGGCTATATATAGGGGCCTGCCATGACTTTGCTACTCATGCTTCTGGGATTATGATCATAACGGTCAGTGTTGCCACAGTCATTCTGTTTCATATTGCCGTTGCTATTTTGAAAACCTGCATGCTGCCAGTAGACTGGACTGTCATATTTTCAAATTATGTCGGACTCAGGATATCGGCCATCTCAGGATTGGTATGCCCAACGATAGTGCACAGAGGGAGCTGTCGAGTGTGTCAGATTCAGCATCGTGCTGTGCTTTTTTGTTGCGTATTGCTGGCAGAAGCGTTTTGAACAGCATTGATTTTTCAGGTCCTTCTAAATAGTTTTGAGTACACGCTTCCAGAGTCATCCAATTGATCGTGATCTCCAGGTTTACTCGAACCGTTTTGATGATGCACTGGCTTGCAGCGTCTTTACGCTTCACATTTAGTTGCCAGCTGCTCTTCAATGGAACCCTGCCTCAAACACCCCAAGCACTCTGCCACCGCTCCACTGCAGCGGGAAAGTCAGACTAGATCATTAGCAGTGCGTCCAAGGTGTTTGTATTTGGTTACGCAAAGGCCATACGCGCTGTTCTTCCAAAATATTTTGGCAGCGTCGTCAGGCAGTCTCTCCACTCTCTACTATTATTGAGATTCTTGTCGTTGTTCTGGTCTTCCCGTCTACGATGATCATGCTTATTGCTCCAGGATGGTTCCGAAGGAATGGGAGCACTTGGAGTTGGCTACGGGTCAGGCCTGGTTCTGGGTTAGCTACCAAAATTCCCAGTATGGATTCGTGCTTTTGGGGCAGATGCATGTACCAGTACCAGGCAAAGCTATAGATAGTGCGATGCCGGCACAACGCAAGAAGTTACCTAGCCTGCACATTACATGCTTGGCTCCGTAAAGAAGGGTTCGCCACCCACACTGAACACATGCCGGCCGCCCTTACCAGCCAGCGAACAGATTCTGCATCTGCTCTCGCGATTCGCCAGGGAGACATGAATGTTTCGAGCCAGGCACCCCGTGCTGCGACTTCTACAACGCTAGGACCAAGGCAAGCATTCGACACTACCTCTGATGATTGTTTTACATTGTCTGGAACATTAGCATGTATTTTTCAAGCGACACTCCCTCGCCTGATGAGTTTGGTTTCCTGACAGGTCTTTTGCGACAACTTCGGTACCATCCAGCGCGCTCCTGAAGAACGGCAGCATTCCACGTTCATCTGATAACTGTGCTGCCCGTGCCGGAGGCAGTTTTCCCACTGCCCGGCGGCGCCTTGGCTTGGCCCCCAGTCTCTTGCAATCAAGGATATGTGCGAAAGGAGGCAGTTGCAGTGATGCTCGGCGCACAGGGCCTGCCGCCTGAAGCTTGGGGTGGATGACAACGGAAACAGCGTGGTGGATGAACTCCGGGTTCAAGCCCCAGTGGTGCGAATCAACTGCATGCGAACTGCATACGTCTAAGCCCCTTGGATCAATCAGCGATAGTGTTCTGCTTGCCAGGTCTGGGAGGAGCCATTGTATCTGTTGTTGCTGGCTGTTGCTGGCGGTTTTCTTGTCCTGCCCTTGACTGTGTTCTCATAACTCGCAGAGCCAGATTGCCTTCTGCCGCCGAGGGATTGGCATTGATGATCGCTGGCTGCGGTATAGCTTGCAAACACTCTGAGCGGTAGGGGCCTGATGCCTTAGCCATCATCCAAGGTCGCCTGTACGCGTTGGGACGATTTACCAACGAGCCTTCAGCATGGATTTAAGCAAAGAGCTTGCTGAGGCTTCAGGCTTTCGGCCTGTTTTTCTGGCGATGCGGCAAGTATGTGCTGCACAAGGCCTGGCTATCAGGGGTGAGTTTGCAAAGGTTTTCTGGTCATGCAGCCAAGGTGGGCTGTGGTCGGCGCTGCAAGTGGTGCTGCGGGGCCATCTGCGGAAGGTGCAGGAGGCAAGCAGACATGAAATTGTCGGCAGGCTTGCTCAGCTCAGGTCAGCTCTGTGTTGTGGCAGGTACTTTCGAGTGGGGCCCACTAGAGAGGTGGGCCGTTTCGGTCAGCCCTGATGGCCCTTGCCACCGGAGGAACTGGATCACGGATCACTGCGCAACTTGCCCTGTCAGGAAAGAGTCAAAGAAAGACAAGAGGCTAGAGAGGAGCAGGCACCTGCTTTTATAGAGCTTTTCCTAGTCAACTTGAGACCATCATCGTAATGCCTGTACCGCTCTGGGCATGGAAGGGACCTGACCAAAGCAGGCATTTTCTGGATGTCCTGGTAGGGGCCCATTGTCATTCTCCCTGATTATCCTGACAAAGCCTGAGCGAGCGCCTTCACAATTCCGCAAACCCTCGCCATCCCCCCCACCTTGAACTGAGGATCCGTGTGCCCATTTTGCCAAACACGCGTGTTGCCATGAAGAGGCACGGATGAAGCAAGCTGCATTTGTGAACGCCGGGCGCTCATTTACTGATTGCTTTGAATTGATGGTCGGGTTGTGTGCTCATAGTAGTAGGACAGGCAGGATTGATTCCATTTGCCTTGCAGTGTTGCTCAGCTGAGAACTTGCGCCGGACGCAAACCTTGGGCTCTCCTGGCTTATTGAAACGAAGTGCCATGCTTCATGTGGATGTCGGTTCTTCGGCAGGGGAGTTGGACCTGACGCGAAGCTTGCACCTGAGATCGGAGAGCGATTTCAAAATGTGCGCGGTCTGGCTTAATGCGGTTGCTGAGACAGCTGGAAGAACTCCTTGGGTCGCTGGACCTCTGCGCTGACTTTTCACTTCAAATCATCTAGAGTGGCCTTTTGCAAGGCTGGCCAATTCCTTGCATTGACCTGTGGGTCAGGAGCATGATGTCAGAGACTGTGCCCAAAGTCGAGCTCAGACCTCAACCAAGCCCTGCAAGGGCTCGCCCGAGGCACGGCTGACATGTCTGTGCCATGTGTCTCCCATGAAGTTCTCCATGCTCATTGCTGGCTTTGAATACCAGGCTTTTCCACGAACCTTTGGAAAGTCAGTACTACTGTACTCATTACTACGTAGAAAGCTGAGCGAGGTGAAATGCACAGTGGATCCGTAGGAAGCTTTTGGCGACTGAATGGTGATTTGAAGGCGTAGCATGTTAGGACCACATTGCCAAATTTCCTTCATCAGAGGTTGCTGTTATTGGCAGGGTTCACCCCAAACCCTAAACCCTAAACCCTAAACCCGAAACCCTAAATGGGGAGATGGCTTGTAGATGCTGCCCTGTGACCTGCACGAACCTACAGCCAGAACCTGCAAGAACATACTTGCCTGCCAAGCTACCTCGAGGAAAGAAGGTTGACCTGCAGAGTTCAGTCATTCCCCACCAAGGTTTGTGGCAACAGTTCCCTGGGTTGTTGTTCAGGAACTCAATCTAAGTCACTTCATTGGGAAACCATATTAGTTACTATATTTACCCATTATGGTAAGTTAATTTAAGTTCCCTCACAGCAACCCAGTTTCATGTGCATCTGGTGTGGGATCAAAGCTCAAGGCTTGGGACCAGCTCTCAGAGAGACTTAAGGCTCAGTCGCTACCCGGTACCGTGTAAAGGTATGGCGGAGATCCGTTGATTCAATCAGTAGCGAGGAATATGTTTCAGAATGTTTCAAATGAACTACCTAGTCCAGCCAGCTAGCAGCTAGCGGTGGTGGCGGTTACCTAGTACCTGCAGAGTCAGCTACGAGTACTACAAGTACAACCTCAGTTTGCCTAGCTTGCTAGTTTTCCATCAAACCTACGCCGGCCATTGTAGGTAGCCAGCATCGTCCCGGCTGGGCAGAGACACCCGCAGAATAATGTAATCTAAGCAACGCTGTGTAAATGCGCTTGCTGCATAAACGGCTCCCTATTGCTATTACTATTACTGTTACTATTACTATTACTGTTACTATTGCTCGTACTGTTACTATTACTATTACTATTATGTCGGACTTGGATCTGCAGACAGCAGGTGCTTTAGCTTACCGGCAGGCCCAAGCGCAAGGTCAAGAAGACCCGCGTGGAGCGCCTGAAGCCGCAGGAGGCCTGTTGGATTCAACTCAAGCACTCAAAAGAGGCAACTGCCCCAAGCCCACATGCAGAATCGCCGTAAGTACAAGCATTTCTTGAACAGGTTGAGGAGGATGAAGCAGGTCAGGACCTCAGAATCGAGTGATCGCGGGGGCATTGCATTGAATTTTGAGTCAGTGGGTCGATGTGTGTCGATGGTGCTGGGATAGTAATAGCAATATCATATTTCTACGTACGATAGCTACTTTTGTTACTCTTGCAGTCCTTACTTTAATTTTTCATACAAGTACTTCCATTCGCACTATTAATAGTGCTACTTGTGTTGTCGTCATTATGTCTACTAGCTGTGTGGAACTTGACCGACTGATTGGCACACGCCGCTGGGCCGATGGACAGGTGGCTTGCGTACAAGCAGCAGCAATGCCGGGGACTGCCTCATCGATCTTGAAGTGAGCTATAGTCTAAGTTCCTTAAAGGGGGTTATATAGGGGATTATATAGGGGAGTATTGTAAGGCTTATTAAGCGGGAGACTCGGAGTTTGGACTATAGCTCAGTGGTAGTTTCCATACATACAAGGGCGACCACATTGGGGTTTAGGGTGTGGGGTTTTAGGACTACAGGGTTTAGGGAAAATCGGAAATCAAATGGAGAATGAAGGGGAAGCTGCTATAAAGAGGGATTATGAAATTACATAGTTTCCATAAATCGGGGGCCAAAATATGTAGACCCCAAGATATCCCGATCCTTACAGGGACCTCCAAAAATGGGAGCCCTGCATTGCTAAAAGCCCAAGTATCCACCAGGATATGCGATTGGGTTCATGAAATATTTCAGGAGGACACCAGCGAGTCCGAGAACTCCAAGGTTCAAGTGTTGGACAAAGTTAAGGATTTAGGGTTTAGGCTTAGGGTGTAGGATTTAGGGTTTAGGATTAAAGGTTTAGGGTTAGTGTCTGGGGTTAGCAATTTCTTGGTGGGTCATTGCTGCAGTTGCCAGGCATCGGAGGATGATGCAGATCAGATCAGACCCTGGAGTATCGAAGATGTTGGGGACCTCGAGGAGTTCGGAGCTTCCTGGTACTGCTGGAATCTGCACTGCTGAATTCCAGCAATTTTGTACTTTGTTTCCAAGAGATACGTGCGCAGACTATCGTGGGCTCCAGCCAGAAGAGTTGCAATAGCATGACTATGCACACAGAGGTAGCGGATGCAACATTATCCACCGTTGCTTTTTTTCATGGCAGGTGCTTGACACAGCTAGCTAGATATACAAGCATTGGCCAGCTGACGATCTAGATTCATGCTTGAGCCATCACGCCATTTGGAAACTTCGAGCTCTAGAACGCTCCTCCCGCGGCTAGAGGACAGGAACTGCAACGGCAGCAACGAAAGCCGGTTATCGTTGACGTAGCTAGAACCATGCTACAAGGGGAAGCATGAGGGGGAGGAGGGGCTAAGTAGCAAGCAGCACCCGTAGCGGTGCTTATGCTGGTGGTGGTGGTGGTGGTGGTGGTGGTGGTGGTGGTGGTGGTGGTGTGTTGGTGTTGCTGGTGGTGCTGGTCGTCGTAGTGGTGGCCGTGGCGGCGGTGTGGGTGTTTGTTGTGTTGCTGCAGAGCTTAAGCTGTAAGGCCTTGTTGTATAGATTTGGGTGCACTGCCTCCAGCGGTCCTGTGTCTTTCACAAGCAATGTCGGAGTTAGACCTGCAAGGATGCTCGAGCGCTGTTTGCGCCCTTCATGCCCTGTGATGACGTTCAGCTTCGCAAGATTTATCTACGCCTAGCCCTGAAGTACCATCCGGACAAGTGGCCGAAGGCCTGCCATTGTTGGGAAGTTAGCAGACCCTGGGTTCGGGCAGTCATGACATGATGCCTTGGCACACTGTGCCAAGGCAGTGGGGCTGAAAATCTGCCAGGCACAGTGCGACGAAGCCACAGCGCTGTTTCAGGCAATCGCTGCGGCAGCTCACCGCGATTGGGGTAATATTAGGGTATGTATTGGGGTTATATAGGGAAAATGGAAAATAAAATGGAAACTACTATTATGGTTTAGGATTTAGGATAGACGCAATGCAGTTACAGTTACATGCGTTTATGTGGTCTTACCTCCGAGGTCTACGAGGATTTGCTGAAGCCGTTTCTGGGTTGCTGTTGAGGAACTTAGATTAAGTGACCATAGCAAGGAACCCTAGTATTCACTACATACCCAGATTATGGTAACTTACTTTAAGTTCCTTAGCAGCAACCTAGGTTTGGCGGGAAATTTCCCAAGCGGATAAAGACGGCCGTAGCTGCGGCTGCTGAGCTTGGAGACACCCAGGCCTGGCGTCTCAAACCCCAACAGGCCTTAAAGCCCTGAGCAAGGGCTGGTTTGAACATGATTTTTAATGTTCATTGTCCTTGGTCCCTATATAACCCTTACAGAGCCATACTAGCTCAGCTTTTGTCCATGGACGTTTAGGAGCCTCTTCGATGATCTTCTTGTCATTCTTAGGAGCTGGAGCGCTTGCTGCGAGAGTTACCGTCCAGAGCGAACGAGGCAGGCGAGCTTCGGCATTTAGGAATCTGCAAATGGCCTGTTGTTGGAGCCTTTGAGGAAGACTATGTCGGGGTCTCGCCCCTAATGTTTGCGGCCAAAGGCGGCTGCATCGAAGCTGCGGAACTACTACTCAGCATCTCGCCGAACTGTGCTTTGCAGCTTCGGGTGCTCGCGGTGTTGTTCTATTGCCTGTAGTAGTGGCGTCAGTGTAGCAGTCAGTGTCACTGCCTTGTTTGGAATCAACAGCGAGTGGCTTGGGCGCTGTGGTCACAACAGTCAGGTTACAAAGCGGATGTGAACTTCGAGACCCCATTCGGCTGGTCAGTGCTTGTTTATGCAGCGCTTTCAAACCAGGCCTGAAACCCCATCCGGGGCAGCCAGCTGATTTGAAGCCAATACATATATATGCTACCATATATATATATAACATAAAAATTTTATATAATGTGAATAGTACATATCAGTAATATATATATATATACACATAGAATCACTTGCTGCGTGCCAGGGTCCGATGGTCGAGTGGCTTGTGGCCAAAGGTGCCCACGTCACACCGCATGAGCTGGAACTGGCGGCTTTTGGCGGTTATGAAAAGCCTGAAGCCCGGCAATGTCCTGAGGGAAGCACTGAGAACAGCCCTGCCGTTTCCCAAGGGGTCTTGCTCCGCTTTTGCAGCTGTACCGCGGAAAGATCGCAGAGGTATGTACGGAGGCGCCGCTGGTTGGCAGAATTCCTGTGCGGTTTTCTGTGCTGTTCAGAAAGGTCTCAAGGCACTCCTTGCTGCATCTTGTGTGCCTCGGCATGCTGAATTTGCCGTGCCTTGGCTTGCATTCGGACGCAAGAGGAACTCCAAGCCGCAGAGGCAGCCAGCTCTCATGCACTGGAGCTAAGGAAGGTCAACCCCCAGAGATATTTGATCTGTGTCGATATGCTCGTGGGCAGCGGCGCGGTCTTGGAATTTCAAGTTGCTGCCTAAGTCGCGAAACTGAGTGCTCTCTTTCAAGAACACTTCCTCATGCGCTCTTCCTCGTCATCCAGTAAGGACAAGCGTGGGCGGTCGCCTCTGCAGCTCGTTGCCGGCCATCCCAACTGGGCAGAGCATGGCTTCGAAAACTCTGCGCCGCATCTCGAGCTCGTGGAGAGGCTCTGTGCCGCCAAGGCCAATCCCGAGCGCTCCGACCATCAAGGCACAGACCTCCTTTCTTGAGACTTGGGTTCGATTTGTTGTTCCTTGCTCTGGCAGTTGCTTGTGGTGTCAGGCAACAGAGCCTTGTCTCTGGCGCGAATGCGGGGGCTTCATCGAGTGGAAGAGCTTCTGCTCAAGTTCGGATCTGGGGAGGCAGCCAAGCTCTGATCAAAGCAGGGCCAGTTAATGTACCGTGAGGCTTTGCCCCACATCATCGCCAATCACAAGAGCTTGCAGCCTTGTGACGAGCGGTGTGCCTTTCCGCAGGGCTCAGACTTGCGCCAAATTTTCAGCCATGGATTCCCTGACCGACACAGCGGGCATAGCCAGAAAGAGATCGGATATTGCCTGCCATCCCCATCCGTCCCCGTTCCTTCGTTCCTCTTGTGAATCCAGGAGGCGACTCCTGCGGCGCCCAGCTCGCGACCAGCTATACTCTGAGCTTCAGACGAAGTGTGGGTGTACCAGCTCTGGACTCTGATACACTCTCCTTGTTGCCTTCCAAGGCGACGATGAACCTCCAGAGCATGCTGAGGCCTATCATGACGCCCATGCAGCAAAAGAGGCCATGGCACGGTAGTGTTTTGCAAGCGTCTTGGCTGGACTTCGTTTGGTCTGAGGCGTCCAAAGATCATGTCCCAAAAGTTTGGGCTGCAGGACTACATTTACATTTGTGGGCTACCTTCATGCACTGATGATCGTTCATCTGTGGTTAGTGTGCCTGGGACTTCCTGGGAAGGGAAAAAGAGGCTGCTCTGTGCCAGGACCCATTCGGGTCAACCACCTCCAGCTTTGCTTCGGGCTACGTTGCAGGCTATGACACGAGGTCCTCATTTGGTGACTCAGCAGCATGCGTGTCGTGAGCTCTGTACTCGAAGTTGCTGAAAACCTCGCTCCACTTGATTGCAGATGCCAGCACGACACACCTGTAGGTACAGCTTCCAAGTCTTCTACAGTGGGCGCAAGCATTGGTCTGGGCCTCATATTTGTGTATTCCGTGCCTACAATTGTAAAGAACACGCTCACGATGTGACATGCATATGCGAGCTAGTGGTGTCGCTCGCCTTCCGATTGGCAGGTACTGATGGCATGGCCCAGACCTTCTCTGAGGGTTTCGGCATGCATCGTGCAGGACCACCTCGTGTGTTTGGTGCTTGCTGGCTCTCGGCTCTGGAATTAGAAGTGCTTGTGGCAGGACGGCACCACCGGCCAACTGGCGAAAGAAGGCAAAGGAAGCGACGTGCCAAGGACCTGACCAATTCGATCAGCTTGCCGGTAGTTTCTTTTCGCGGGCGAGGATAGACCGGGCCGAGTCCCTGGAGGCGCCTCAGAGAGCAAACGCACCAGGTAGCTGAGAGCTGTAACAGGGCGAGCGGCTACAGCAAGTCAGGAACACTCATGCCTCAGCATTTATTTTTCAGCTGGTGCCCGTGGCAGGCAATTCACGGTTAACCTTGTCCATCCAGAATCAGAGGATTTCTAGAGGAGACGGCTCCCTGACCGCGCTTTCTGACCTAGGCACAAAGACACGCACGGCCTGGGCAATTGATGAGCAGTGCCCGGGCATACAACCGCTTTCTTTGAATGAACGTCAGTATTCGCATGGAGTTGGGGTTGCAAGCGTCACAGATGAATCTCGCTGCCCTTGGTTGGGCCAGTGTTGGTTCTCTTGCACAAGGCATACAGGAACGCATTTTCCAAGCAAACCATCTGAGGCAGCCAACTGGACCGTTCAGACGGAGGTACTCGGAGCAGTGACATGTCCACTGCTCTCCCCACCTTCAAGAGCAGATATAGTCATGCTCCTGGATCTTTCCACAAGTTTTTATGTGGATGTGGCACAGAAGGTGAGGAAGGCGCCGCAGTTTCACCGTCGTCGAAGAAGCGCATCTGCAGTCTCAGACGAGAGTGCGGTGCTGCTGCAGGCAGTCCATTGCCAAACGGCAGGATGGTCATTGGTAAATGACTCTGTGGGTGATCCTGCTTGGAGGTTCCATCTGTACAGACACTCGTCTACTCTGCCAAGAGTTTCTCCCGAGAATGCTTGGCATCTTTCGTGACGCAACCTCTAAGTTGGAAGCCTGGGTAGCTCGATCATTGTATCTGCCAGACATGGTTTCCCAGCAAGATCGCGTTAACGAAAAAGGTTGAAATCTTTGAGCCTGCGGGTAGCGCAAGACTGCATTGCGCCGCTGGTGCGATCAAGGCGTTATGTTTCCTTGCCTTGCCGCAGCTTTCCGAGCAGTCTCAAACTGTGAACGTCGAGGCTGGCATCTAACCACAGCACGCTTCCAATGGATTCTGTTAGGGTGTAGATCCGCTGCTTGGTTGCTAGCAATCTGTTGCCATGCGACCGACGAGCCTCAGGGCCGCTGCCATTCGATGGGCCACTTTGGCATGACTTGCTGTCAAGCTGTTCCTCTGCTGAGAGACGGCAAGAGCATGCATTTCGCTCGCCAGGTGGAGACAAAGGCTGCTGAGCTGCACGGCGTTTCCGTGCTTGGCTCCTCTCCTGCTTTGGTGGCCAACTCGGACCTGGCATGCTCTGCTAGATATTTGTCAACATACGTGTCGCGGACCTTCGGCTTTGAGGAAGAGAGACTTACATGTGCATGTCTGCTCCCGCGTGCTGTTGTCCCTATGCATGACACTACCTGCTCTGGCAGCGGGAGAGATTTAAAACGATATCGATTTAAGGTGGATCCGTTGATCTCATTCTGCCACATCTGACAGATGGCATGTTGAATGCTTGCCCAGGTCTGGGCGCACGGCCTGGGAGGCAGCTGCGAGGCTGACAACGCCCGTGGCCTGCAGCATATCTTGAACCCTGCCAAGCTTGGCAATCGAACAGTTCTCCGCCTGGACTTGCGCGGCCATGGGCGTTCAGCGGACGCGCACGACCCTGCAAGGGGCTTTGAGCAGTACACTTGGCCGGAGCTGGCCAAGGATCTGAGGCGAGCTGCAGCAGAGTCCGTCTCTCGGTGCTTCTACGGCGGCGAGGGCTTGGGAGCGGCCGTGGCTTTGCACGCAGCAGTTGCCGCCACAGCCACGGGCTCCGTGGACGCCCCGCCGGGCCTGGTGCTGATGCGGCCACCAAAGGCTCTGTCGCAGGTTGCTCGGGGCGAGGTAGATACCGCATGGCAGGAAAATCTACGACGCTTCGCTTCGCTGCTAGAGAGTCAAGGCTTTGAGGCCCTGGAGGGGCAGGAGAGGGAGGATGCGCAGCCTCTGCTTAATGGCGCTTCAGCGCTTTTCGTGGAGCCAGCTGGGGACGGGCAGCAGCCTCAGAAGTGTTTGATGTGGCTTTGTAGTTTTGAGGGCTGGGGTGTGTGTGCGCAGGTTAAGGATAAGGATTGCGATATAGAGCTACAGCGAAGCTAGATCATGTAGAAGACAGAGCAGATGTTCCTGGATATTGCTGGAAATCTGATTCAGTGGGTCAAGAATGCGTGTGAACCTGTGTGCCAGGGCAGTATCAGGTCGGCTACCTTGGGCTCCTTTGATCCGTATTTCATAAGAGGCATGCATGTCCTCTTGTAAAGCATATGCTCCAAAAAACAGGGGACAGAACGCAGCCTTGCCTGCGCTATGATAATGCAGAGCCAGAAGAGTTGCGGTTACATCAAGGGAGTATATCCAGCAGCAGGAAGAGCTACCAGCATGTAGCGCGAAAGACAACGTTCATCATCCATCTAAATACACATCTGGAGGTATCATAGGTATCCAAGACGGACGTTTGGTATGTTGGATTGTTTCCATTTGCCCGCGGAAAGTGTCCTGTTGCATTGCAAGGAAAACCCTTGGCAGGAGACATGGAAATGCAAACCAGCCCTCAGGCCAACTACCATGAAGCGTTCCGCAGTTGGGATTTTTCTTCCATTTGGCCTCGGCAACTCCTTTCACACAGTTGGCTAGGTCACTGGACTCTGTACGAAGCTCACTTTGTTCGATGCGACGTACCATGGGACAGGCCTGGGAGGGACAGAATGTTTCTGTGTGTCATGGCTAGCAATACTAAGATCCAGAGTTGCAAAGCCATTATCCCCATAGTACTCTTACATCACCTTTATTCCTTAACAGGAACCAAAGAGTCTTCCGGCACACCAGTCCCTAATCAGGACAGATTGGCAGCTGCCGTGCGAGGACACGTGGAGTCTCAGCAGCCTGATCTGCAACTGATTGGCCGCCTCAAGGAGACATGGAGTCTGCCAGGTGACGGGCTTCTAAATCACAATTTTGAACACGTTTTTGCGTCATTGCAGCCTGTTGCGGTTCCTTTAGCGCGGGACCTCTTGAGTGTCGCTGGTCATATGAAGCACCAATGCAAGTGCCGGAGGAGAATTTGGCCAAAGCCTCTTCAACCATGGCCGCTGATGCATATGGAGTACCGCAACTTGACTGCACCTTCGTATTAGGTTGTACCACCTACAATTCCGCTTAAGCAGGCTGACCCCTGGCTGTCCGGTACTCCTCCTGGCCGTGGCCGGAGATGCGGAACATCCAGTCCAGGAGCTGCTTGAGTAAGTGCATGTCCGCATACCTGGTTCTCCGTGGTAATCATTCTTCGTCAACGATGCCAGGCAGCGGAGGAACTTGCAAAGGCCCTGCCAGATGCCGATTTGGAGGCAGCCTCCGGGCAGCAGGAGCTCTTGAAGCATTGCAGCATGACTTGCCGTGAGGTCGCTACTGACCTTGCGTGTCTCTGCTGCAATGTCGACCAGGCAAAGCCACAAGGTCTCTTCAGGAAGCCAAATCAAGAGAACACCTGCAGCGTGACCGACCTACCCTTCAACTGGGAAAACTTGTCTGAGGAACAAGTCCAGACGAGTGGGCAAGAACATTTTCCCAATTGTCTGGCCAAGGCAAGCACGAGCCGCATGGGCCGAGCGCATCAATGGTTTCCTTCGTAAGGCCAGGTGCCCAGCTCAGTTTTCAAGAAATTCGTCTGACCATCCTTTCATGCCAGGCGTAACAGCAGCAGTAGTAGTAATGGTGATGGTGGTGATGGTGGTGGTGGTGGTGGTGGTGGTGCTGCTGCTGCTGCTGCTGGTGGTGGTGGTGGTGGTGGTGGTGGTGGTCGTAGTGGTAGTAGTGGTAGTGGTAGTGGTAGTGTAGTAGCAGTCGTAGCCGTGATAGACAGCAGCAGTAGCAGGATGTAGAGGATGTATTGGGCTTTGCGTGGTACCGATGGACTGAGGCATGGATGAAGGAGTTCTTGACAAAGCGCATCATGCCTCAGTGAAAAGACTCTGAGGCGCATATTCAATAGTGACCATTCACGGCCTGTTGCTGACAGTACATGGTACATGCGTAGTAGCAGCTAGTGCTCGTACATATCAATACCAGCAGTAGCAATTGCAATCGAATAGAGAAGTCAGCGTGTTGGGCTGCTTGGCTCAAGACATCTATCTGTCACAGCCAAAAGTGTTCGCCAGTAGCCGTAGAAGCCAAACAACCGCCAAACGCCGCGCGGCGGATGGGAGTCACTCGGGTCGTCCTGAGGCTCGCCTTGGCTGGTGTGACTCGGATCAATTATTTTGGACGAAGTTGGGCTAACTGTTGTTCTTGATGTAACAGGGCCCCTAAGCAACACCCCTCCAACCCCCATACTGTAGGGACAAATGATGGAATGAAGGGGGTTTTTGAGTCTTGATTCACCCCGAGAGTTGGGTCCTGACAACAGCTCCGAAACTACGAAGCCTGGCAGAGTTGTGTAAGAGTAAGGGTGCGAGGAAGCAGGAATTGGAGGAAGAACACCAAGATTTAGAGTCAGAGTGGGAGTGTATACGAAGTAAGTATGTAGAACAACTTCTACGATGTTTTCCATACTACCATAAACATGAAGAGAGATCCGCTCACGTAAGGACCACAAGGGGTTGCTCAGGAAGCAATGCTAGAGCCTTTAGTTTCTTAATTGACTTTGGTAAGCGAATCAGGCTTCAGAGCCAGCTCTTCCTTCTTTCCTTGCAAGAGCAGCCAAGTAATTGAGTCTCTCTAAACCTTGAGACTCTTCCTTTTGGATCCCAAATCTGGCCCGAACGGGTTTTGAAAAATGTCGAGGGGTCTGCCAATCACTAGCTCAGATAAGGGTTTCTTGGTTGGATCATTTCTTGAAATTACAGTCCTTTCACATGCACAGCCATGCCATGTATGGTTTCCCGAAAATCCTGACTTTGGGTTTTGCCAGATGCCGCACGCGACACCGTGTCTAATGCGCGTGACTGGGAAAAGATGTTTGGCTCTGGATTGTTAGGTGCAGTATATGCCAAAACTACGACGAAGGCCTATCACAAGCGACAACATGAGCACCTAAGCAGGACCATCCTTTCGGACCTGCCCACTTTGTGCAAAGCTGAGGCAACATTGCTTCTCTCCAGAAGTGATGAGTCGATCGATGCTGCTGGGCGAAAGAAAACATGTTTGCAAAGTTCGGTCACGTGGTCTCTAAATTTGAAGAAGCTGAGTTGAGGTTCTGACCCTGAAGCTTCTGGAGCGACATGAGGTGCGCCAGTGTTCTGTATTTGGTGCTGCTTGTCAGAACTTCAGTCCATTTGAAATTCGCCCACAGGTAGAAGTTTGGCCTCACTGGGGCAGCCAGCCAAACGCTACTGATGCAGCAGCGCTGCTGCTACAGCAAGAAGCTGCCGGCTGCAGTGACAAGACCCTTCTCAGAGTGCAAGCAAGTCTCTCACGTTTTCATCTTGGATGCCAAGCCAGAACAGATTGCTGTCTTGCCTGGCCATCCTCATGTTTAACTTACAGAGATCGCAGGAACTGGCAATGCTACGGCTGGGCGCGCCTGGGCTACTGCCACCTGGTGCAATAGAATGCTCGCCAGATGAGCTGGCTCGTTGTGTTTTGCCAAGGTTCCAGCAACAGGGGCTACATGAGAAGGCAGTGTAGACGCAGCTGCAACCTCTGCGCTCCTGGCCGCCCAGGTGAGGGCAGGCGTGCTCAGATTCAGTTGCAAAACATGCACGAGCTGAGTGGTGCTGTGCATCTAACACTGGTGCTTAAGCCCTGTTGGACAGGCAAGAGTGCCGCGGCCTCAACCAGCCATGCTGGATCAACGCGCAGTGCTGCTCTGCAAGATGTGCCGTGAGACTTGGATAGATGGCTTTGGCGCATTCTGGCGTGAGTTGTGTTTGATGCAGCAGTTGGGCAGGGAAGTAGACGAGACCTGTTTCTCTTCTTCAGGCTCACTTGTCTTGTAAGCCCAGGAACACGTATCACTGCCGGCCAGTCGGTCGATGATCTTTGGCCAAGTTTCACCCAAATCACACCTGGGGCAGTCCTCTCCAGCATTGCAACTGGAAGACTGCTCTCAGTACCTTGCTATGTCCAGTTCTGATACAGGATGTCAAGGGACCTGCAATCACCCCTGCTGCAATCAAAAACATGAAGCATGGGCTCGATGTAGCAAGAAGCCTCCGTGCGCCGATCATAGCTTTACATTCTTGACCGAAATGCATGAAAGTAGAGGTTGAGCGATGCTGCGCGCTGGTTGGGTAACATGAAGAAAGCAAGTTTGATGCTTCCGCGTGAAAGTCAGCGTGGTAAATCAGTATAGCAGGTATTCGTGTTTTCACTGACAGATCGAGCTATTTTTGCTTCAGATTTGGAAACAGTGCTTAAGGCAAACTCTCATGTTAATGAACAAGGGGGTTGTTGACCTGCCTCTCTGGCATCCGCGATGTATATCTTGTGTCGTGGCATGTTCTTGGACCCACGTTACAGGGATTGAGGTAATTCTGAGGATATATGCAGACTGCAGCAGTAGGTCACAAAATTCATAGGTTTGCCGCCACGCTGACCTCCCGTGGAAGCTGCATGTGGTGTTGATGTAGTCAGCATTAAGATCGTTCATGTGCAACAGGGCGGCACGACTGTCAGCAGCAAGAGCTGAGGGAGGGCAGCATCCCGAACATGTAACAGCCCCTGCAATCCTGGACGGCGCCATGCCGTTAGTCGAGGAGGGGGCGAGCTATCCACGCGAGATCAGCCCTCCTTTTGGACTTCCAGCTGGTTGGAAAGCTGTAGAGCGCGCCTACGGCGCACCAGGGCAGCAGTGGTAGGTCAAAGCGCATGTCCCCACCTGCATCACTATTTTATGTGTGCTAAGGCGAGCAGTAAAAGCAGCGGCCAGACCTACATCCGCTTTAACAGTCCAGATGGCAAGCACAAACACGTCGGTTCAGTGCCAAAAGCTGTCGAGTTGGAAGCTATCGACAAAGGCCAGGATACACAAAAAGCGCTGGCTGCCTACAAAGATGCACTGCAGGAGGTTCAGAGAAAGGAGAAGGAAGAGCGGGAAAAGATAACAGGCATGGGCCCAGAAAGAGAGCAGGCAGTGGAAAAATTCCGATCGAAGTATGGAAAGCTGGAAGCGACAGCTCTTGTGAAGATGAAGGGCTGGACACACAAGGCTAGCTTCCTAGAAGTATCGGAGCAGACGCATGTCATCTACATCAGTCCTGAAGGAAGGAGCTTTGGCACCATAAAGCAGGTCGAGGCAATGCTTGGCTTTCGACTCATGGCTGGCGAGGACCTGGGCAGCTTGGTGCAAGATGCTCGACAAGCAGCTACGGATGAGTGGGGAGATATGTCTGACAAAGTTAACCCCTTGAGGCGCACCTCAGACGGAACGACTCTGAAGGAAGCAGTTGACTCTGGAGAGTTTACCGCACATGAGCTCAAGAACACGCATGTCCACAAGGTGTCAGGAAAGGAAGCCGAGACCCAGAAGCGAAGGGTGCAGGAGGAAGACTATGAGCCCGCCGAGTACCTTTTGGGGGAAGTGCCAAAGCCTCTTTTAGATGATGAGGGCAAGTTAAGCACTGAATTCTCCAAGGCAAAGCTGCTGAATGCAGCCCCACTTGCTGCGGACTGCTGTAAGATGTACAAGGACATGAAGCGCCGAAAATTCAAGAAGCTCCACCTGGTGGTTGTATCCAGCCGCAAGCCAATAGATCACCCCCTGTCCAAAGCGCTGTCTGGGGTGTATTATGCGGACTCGAAGCGTATTGATGCTTTTGGTGGAAAGACCTTTTACACGAAGGTGGCCTTCTCAAAGTCAAGATTGATTGTGTGTGGCCTCTACCTTTTCTGGAGCAAAACCAAACAAGCATGGCAAGTGTCCAAAGAGCTTGATGACAACAATGCGGGGTTCCTTGTGCATAAGGGGGACCTCAAACTGGGTCCGCGAGCCTCGCCGAAGGCACGTACGCTAACCAGGCAGTGCATCGATCGACTCCGAGAGGCGCGGAAACGTAAGAGACCGCATCCTGACAGGGAATGAGGCCGGCGGGTTCTTGATTGCTTCCGCTTGCTGACCGAGGCTGCTTAGAGCCAACTCGCCGGGGAACGGTCAAAATGCAGTGTGCTTATCCAAAAGAAATAGAAGATGAGATATGAGAGCCGAGATTTTGGAAATTCCAGAATTACATCAGATATAATGGGCAGAGATCCAACATAGACCGTGGGCAATAATCTTTCAAAATTGAATTTTATTTAAATGAATTAATCGAATATATATATATTCTTTTTTTTATCTTTCGATATTTTTCTGAAAATATTCTAGAAATATATCTATAGATTATTTATGATTTCATATCTTTATTCTTTTATTTTCTTGACGTATATTTAATTTAGATTTAAAATCGTTGATTCTTAATTTCTTAATTGAATGAATTCTCTTTGAATCTAATTAGATACGATATGAAAATCTTGAAATTTTGGAATTCTGAATTTAAATATTATTTGATTTTTTGAATAGAAATTTCTTCTGGATATTCAAAATCGATTAAATATGAGGATTATTGATTCTAATTTCTTGATTCTAGGATGATTAAAATTTTTAGATATTTCTTTCCTACATATATTTTAGATGAATATTGATTAGAATTAGGATCTGCGATTTTCGGAAATCGCCTTCTCGTCGAGATATTTCTAAAATGTGGGAGTTGCGGATTTTTATTGGATATTGAAAATTGCGTACTTTATGAGGAAAAATAATTTTTATGAAAAGATTGATTGAATTTCTTCGTATTTAGAATCTTATTCTCATTCGAGATATCTTCAAATTAATATTTTGATATTTGGGATGGATATATTTAAAAAACTAGATTATTTAAAAAAAAATATTGGGAGAATCGAATTAAATGAGACGAATCCTTGCTCTTCGAAATTCGTACGAATATGAAGGTGATTAGATATCTTGGAAAGCTTGAATAACGAGATTTCTTCTTTTTCAAAATTCTCGTTTAAGATATCGTCTAAAAATTATATTTTTTGGCGGTCTTTATAAATAATAAGATTATATAAATGCGCGAGATAAAACAAATGAACCTCTGATTTTCTTCGTATCTTCAAAGCTGGTGATCTCGCTCGAGATATCTTCGAAATTTCGTTTCTTTATTTTCTCAAGAAAGAAGATTGATAGGGAGATCTTTTGATATAGATTTGAGAGGATTCGTCGGATTCGTAATTCAAATTTTGAATATATTCTATCTAAAATTGATCCGCTTAAGATCGTTCTCTTTTGACGAAAATCGCGCTCCTGCGCGGACCGGAAAATTATGATGACTCATCTTCAAAAATCGTGCTTCAAATCTATTATCTCATCAAAGAGAATTTCTTGGGAAGATATTTTGATATAGATTTGAGATAGGATTCGTCGGATTCGTAACTCGAATTATGATCATTATCATCAATGATTTCTATCCCAATTCTATGCTAAATTGATCCGCTCAAGATCGTTCTCTTTTGACGAAAATCGCGTTCCTATGCAGATCGGAAAATTATGATGATTTATCTTCAAAAATCTCATTCCCGCACGAGAATTCCTCAAATTTTCGTCGATCTATCTTCTCAAGAGAGAATTTCTTCAGGAGATATCTTACTACATATTTGAAATAGGATTCGTCGGATTCGTCGTTCAAATTTCGATCATTACAAGGAACGATTTCTATCCCAATTCTATTCAAATTTGATCTATTCGAGATCGTCCGTTTTTGATGAGAATTGCGCTCCCGTGCGGAGAATCTTGAAAATTTTGAAGAAAATAAATCGCGCTCCCGTGCGGAATATCCTGATAATTTTGAGGAAAATGATATTCCCGTGCGGAGAGTCTTGAAGATTTTGAAGAGAATTATACTCCCGTGCGGAGCTTCCTGAAAATTTTGAAAATAATCGCGTTCCCATACGGAGTATCCAGAATTTTTTGAAGAACATCGCACTCCCGTACGGAATATCCTGAAAAATTTTGAGAAAAATCGCGCTTTCGTACGAAATATCCTGAAAATTTTGAGAAAAATCGCGCTCCAATACGGAATATCCTGAAATTGTTGAGAAGAATCGCGCTCCCATGCGGAATATATTCAAAATTTGGAGAAAAATCGCGCTTCAATGCGGAGCGTCCTGAAAATTTTTGATGAATATCGCGCTCCCGTGCGAAATATCCTGAAAATTTTGAAAAAAATCGCTCTCGTGCGGAATATCCTTAATATTTTCATGAAAATCGCTTTTTCGTGCGGAGTTTTAAGAATATCTTAGATATTTATTCAGCGTTTGAGAAAATTTGAGCGATGCTCATTGGGATGCGCGGGCAGGGATAGATGAGATCCCTTTTACGAGCTTGATTATTTTCGTTTTTTTCATTACGATTCTACGAGATAATTGAATAATTTTTTTTCTATGATATATAGGATAAGAATTATCGTATCTGCCTGGAGGTCTTGCCCGACGCGCATCTGGGGGAGCAGAATATTATCCATCTCTGTAATGCGCATATGCTCTGGATTTCAATACTTCAGGAGATCTGAATAATGATTGATGAGATGCGGGTGAGATCTACTTCGCGAACTTGATTATTCGCATTCCGTTCTTGCGAATTTAGAAACCAATTGAGCAATTCTTTTTATATGATATCTGGGAAGAAATCTATTATATCTGCCTGGAGGTCTTGCCCGAGGCGCATCCTACGGAATAGAATGCTATATATTTCGACGATATATATATATTATAATCTATTTTTATTATAACTCGCTGATTTTTGATTCAAATGATATTGACGGATTCATATCTCATATATCATGAAGGAATAGGACAACAGACTTTTATGAAGGAATTCTATAATATTAGGAAGGAATAATTCGAATTATCCTTTCGCGTAGTTGAGGCATTATAGAAGAAATATGAGACTTTCTATCTCTTGCAATAATATATAGGATTTTATCAGCTGCAGTGTCTTGCTAGAACCGCTCCCCGACAATTCCTTGGTCCCCTTCTGGAGCGGTACGACAAATGATATCGTCAATCTTTCGAAACGATAATTGGTCGAATACTTCCGGAGCAATCCTGGCGGCAGGCTATTCTTCCTCCCAAATTGGGGGATTTGGGTCTTATGATTGAGAATATTCCTATTGGAGAATCTAGATCTTTTCGGATTGATATCTCCTATCTGGTTGCTTCTCGTTTCATTCAGGACGTTCGATAATCCTTAGTTCTCCCTCTGCCGCATCATTCGGTTTTGGGATGGGCGGTAGCGGTTGAAAGATTTCAAGCTTTGTTCCCGAGTTGGCATACGGATTTTCAGAATTCCCAGGTTAAATTTCGATAGAAAGAAATAGTATCTCAGGTCGAAGATAGATCTTATCGAGATTTTCAGAGAATTTTGATTTCCCAACAAAAATTATATATTCAATATTATATATACGAGATATTAGGCTGATAGATGGGTTCGTTGCGCGCCCAACCAAATATTTGATAATTATCTTTCCAAGATTGGATTCAGAATCCATTTCTATACGACTTGGATTGCCTTTATTTGATACTGATGAACCTTGATTGCGATGCCCTCAAATTTCGGATCAATATAATCATCATTGCTTAGCTTATATCATAATTGGGAAAATGAGATTATATAATTATATCCATAATGAGAATTACCGCTTTTTATTTGGAGGAGGACTTAGATTGAAAATAGAGTCCTTGGATTTTCTTCCCGATGAACCCGATAGGAGACCCGCTGATCTTCTTACGATTCCTTCCGCGTTATGCCGTCAATCATCATGGCATTTTCTTCCGCGGATTGTAATTGATTTTACGATTCTCTCCCCATTTCGGATGGCAAGAGGGCATTTGTTTATGGAGGACCATATAATATCAAAATAATTCATTCAACTCGCTCATATCAGGTGCAGCGAGCAAGGGATTGGATTTGAATCGATTGCTTTTGGCCACGCAGGGGGTATGAATGAGGAGGGTAAGAGGATTCTGGATTCGATGAATAAGGCGGTTGAGGGTCCGAATAGACGTCAAGCCGGATATACGCGATAGATATTATAGGAACGAGTCTCCATTGCCCTCCAGCGCTATATCAGTTATTGCCTCATATATAGACGAGCGGGTTCTCAAGGAAATCTCCATTCTTTGCCCTGGGCTTCGCTTTTGATTGATTCTCCTCCCGGAGAATTCTCTTCCTATGGCAACGCCTGCTTACGCCAGGTTGCCCCTCAACACAGATCCGAAACGATAGATGATCAATTAGCTTTAGGAAGATCTTTTGGGCAGAGGTCTCACTGAGAAATTATTCGTGCATTCTCTCCATTTCTGTCTTTGTTTTCGCGGGATATTGGGGCCCTGGACGTTCGGCAGAGGGCGGAAGGCTTTAATATATGATCTGGGGTTCTGACGCGTCCTTTCTTCTACGATAATACATGAGTTTGCCTTATTTTCTTTCTCCTACATATCTTCCAAATGGCGAATATATAGACCTGGTATGGAATATTTCATTGGATGAACGTTTCGTGCTCGATATTGCTCGTAGATAGAGGATAATACGTCGAATCTAAGCGATATTTATAAGGGGATTGCCTTTTATCATCTCGTCAAGATAAAAAATGAGCCAGGACGTCTCCGTATAATCCGATTTTGATCATTATTTTTTTCTATACCTCTATTCATCAAAATATTTGAGGAATTCATTCAGATTGGATTCCATTGGAATATCTTGCGAGCAAATCCAGATCTCGATAAGATTGCCTTGACAATTCCTCCATTATCTTCGAATCGTGAATCGATTGCTTTTTATAATCTGATTTTGGCGGATATATATATATAATGAGAGAATCCAATAAAAGAGACGATATGATAGATTATCTCCGGAGCGGCGTCGTCCCAGACCCTTCGTACTTATGATGATAGATTCGTGCCAGCGATATTTTCGGACCTGGCTGGATCGGGACGCGGACGAATTCTATAATATTCTATAAATCTGATATTGATTCTGATGACTATATATTTCAACGCGTGCAAGCCGTCGTGGCGGCGATGATATCCTGGAGCTCTGGCGGTCGACTGATACGAAATATGCTCGATCTCCGTCATCTGAAGAGGAGGGATAGATTGGGATAGCGCTTGCAGAGATTATATCGTACAAGGATAATATCCGGAAATTTAGTAATTTCTGGCTTCGTTATACGTACGAGGGACAAGATATATACGTCTCTTCTTATTTGGTAGGATCGGCGGCGTATTTCTCCGGAGCTATTATTAGATTCAAGCTATTGGATAGGATCGATACTTGTATATAGATTCTTCGTCCGGATATCCGTAGGGCTGATCTTTCCGTATATATTGGAGTATTTCTTTTTCCGAGAATTCGTTGCATAAAGTCATCATCGTATGGAGTCGCAATCGCAGCGTATAGATGCTAGGGAAGAGATTTTATAGATTCTCGAAGATCGGGAGATCTGAGAGGTCGATCAATTTACGCACAATAATATATAGCAAGACGATAGACGAATTTGCTAGCTATGAACCTCAATCTTCGTACTATTTCTCCTTAATCTTCTGAAAGCCGGGTATTTTCTGCTGCTCTTTGGACTTCTATTGAAGAGAAAGATCAGATCTTATAAGAATCTCCGATAATAAGTATGAAATCAGTAGTCTCTCTATATTTAATTGCTTTCTCGTATCACTTAGAATTGCTCATAGGTCATTGCCTATCTTTCTAATCCTCGAATTTGAATTTTCATCAGATTCCGATCTAAGAGAGAAATTATTAGTTATCCGACAAATATTTATAGAATAAGAGCGGAAATTTCTCCAACTATTTTATAGCAATATATTTAAATTAAATTCCGGGCAAAGAGAGAGATTGAAATTATTTCTTTCGAAAATTCGTAGAGATAAAGAATTTCAATTTAATCGATAAAATTTTACGAGGAATTGAAGAGGAATCTAATCTATAAAAAAAAAGCTCCGCGCACGAGTCTATCTAAGAAGCGCCACTAAATCTAACATAATTTTCTCCATTTACTTCTATCGAAAAAATATCTATCGAATTCGTATATATTCACGAATAACAATAAAAATTCCCGCATCATCATTTTCGGATCTCTCAGATCGACTAAATAAATAATCAATTCGATAGCTAGATAAATATCTGAAGAATAATCAGATAGATATATTTAAAGAATCAAAAGAAATAATAAATAGAAAAATAAATATTTAGAGAGATAGATAAATCAACCTCCTCTTGCTATTCAAGAAAATCTTATCATCAAAAATTCTATCAAAATGAAAGATGCAGACAAATTTCAATGGTCCCAGGAATTGCCGAATATGGCGAATCTACGAAATTCCAAGAATTTTGAATATCATCATTTTCCCGGAAATCTTGATATTATCTCGTCTATGGCTGCAAAAAGCCAGAACCACGAGAAAGATATCCGGCGGGCTACACGTTGGAATGAAAACGGGACCGTGACCATGACCGCATACTTCTATAGAGGTACAATGATCCTGAAAACGAAGCATATTTTTGAGAAAAAGATCAAATCATATCAATAATTGAATGCAAAATCTTCGGTAGCAAGATAAATTTTGAAGACGTCCATTATCTTCAATTTTCCCTTTTTATATGCGTTGCTGGGATCCCGCTGCGGCTTTTGCGGCGGAGGTTTTCTGAGAACAGAGCCCCAGGGATTCGGGTCCCTGCCTTGTGGAAAATCCCAAGCCGATTCCTTCATCAGTCCTTTACTGGTGGCGTCGGTTCGGCACTTAATTCATGCAGTGGCAAAAGCACTCGTGGCAGCCACATCTCCTAGTCATCCCAACCGCGCACGCGCGTGCCAGGTAGGACTTCGAGATTTATGAACATAACGTGCAATGCCTAAGGTGGCCTGTACAATAAGTACTTAGAGCTGGCATCTTGCCCCCTCGGATCATTTCAGAAGCATGTCTTGAATCTTGACACTGTGCTGTGCAAATTCGAAGGCCCCAAGTGCACCAGCATACTGCATACCAAGACAAACTGAAATAAACCTTTTCTGCTCGGGTCATGTGCAAAGCCTGGCATGGTACTTTACCCCCGTCTGGTTAAAACAGGTGCCGTAAGCTTTACACATAGAACACTTGACATTTAAGAGAGATGAGTGTTAGACTGGCTGAGCCGCTTTGTCATCGTCGGTGCAAAAATGCCACACTGTCGTCCTCAGCTTAAATCATGCAGATTCACTTGTAGACTCCATTGCAACCATGCTGTAACGTCTGCAGCTGGTCGTCGCAACGCCCAAAGGGATGAAGTTCAAGGCCGAGAGCCTGCAAAAGAGTGAGTGCACAAAGAACGTGCTCAGATGAATCCCACTGTTGCACTGCAGAACTTGCAGCTATGGGGCAAAGACCACCCGAGCCGAAGACCGAAGAGAGTCAGTGGCCGGACCTTGCCTTCAAAGTCCAGCTCTTCACCTTAAGACGCCACCAATGCAGCGCTCTCGTTTCAGGAAACAACAGACTGGCATAGCTCGCCTTCCCAGCGTGAAGGTCCAAAACGGTGCAATCCAAGCAACCCAGTGCCCCAAGCATCTCGGTGCACTCATCCAATGGCATCTCTGTAGACTGTACAGCTCGCAGCTTCTCACATCTCCTGTTGCTGCAGAGCTTTCCACTGCACACAGGCCCCAATACCTCAAGGACTCTTGTACCGCCTGCTGATCCATTATGCCAAGCTGCTCTGCCTTGTTGAAGCGAAGGGCCAGCATGAGACTGCGCTGGCCTCCAGCCATGAAGGGTCCAGTCAAAATGGCATCTTGGTGTGGTGAACGAATATAGAAGGAAGATATCCATTTCGCAATGCGCTGAGAATGTGGCGAAAGAGCAGATAGATGTGGCGCTCCTTGTGTTCAGCATATAGGAGATCTCTTGCCGACAGCTTCTTGTGGAACGTGATATGTACATAGAGAGATCTGTACTCTCGGCTTCCAAATGTCTGAGACTTTGGGTTCACAAAAAAAACGGTGCACTACACAAATACATGCCATAGTATACATCTAGCACATGTAATTTGCGCTGTAAGTGTGCAGCTATATAGATTTGTGACATGTCATTGCAGATACACATGCATTGTGGTGGCATAGTGCGGTGGCAGAGTAGCTGCTGCCGGGAAGCCACTGAAGCGTTGACCTGGCATAACAACTTTAGGATAGCATGACTCATAACACCAAGAACGATGCTGAAGTTATTCTGAGAATAAGGGCCCTCTCACAACTTGAGCCAACAAGTGCAGGGCCACTGGCTTTTGCGAGGAGGCGGAAAACTTCACTCAGGATTAATGTCGTTTCCTCTATCTATCACGGGAGCTGTTCAGGGCGGCCCTTCACAAAGGGAGCCAACATAAACCCTGGTGGCCTGGTCTGGGGGAATGTCCCACCGTGGCCCCGCCAATGAAAATCGAGAGTCTTGAGTTGTGAAGCTTAAGCCCAGGGAGGCTTGGGCCACTGACCGGACTGTTGCGGGGAGGCTTCACGGGTTGCGGGTGCCGCAATCAGCCGTCGGGTAGAAGGTACAGCTTGAGAGTGTGGGCTTGGGACACAGAAGCCCGAGCTTGGTACCTCGCAGCTTGAGTTTTTCACAGGTAAAACCTATATTTCCAAGTAAGGCAAAAGCTGCAGTACGGGTGCGGGATTGCTCATGTAAAGCCAAACGCTCCGCAGTCTACACCCGCAGCTTTCAGTTTAGGGCTTAAGGGCTGCCGTCCTTGGACGAAGCTGAAGAGCTGGCCTCGTTGCCGAGATATACCATCAGGACAATGCCAGAGATTAGAAGGGCTGAAATTCCAGCAGATACCACCATGGAGGTCAAAGTCACTTTGGTGATGTCAGAGCTGTAGGCCTCACAGCAGCAACTTCATTCTCCTAGGGCAAGGCTAATTCATGAGTGCAACCTGCTTTCATGGTCTCAGCATGCGCTTCGGGACGCCTCTCCTTCAACAGTTCCTGAACCATCCGTCAATCTTCCCTCCTCAACCGTTGACCTGCTGCTTTATCATGCTTTCTGGGACACGGGGTAGATGAGCATGCCAGCTACAAGCTCACCAACGATGATGAGCAGGAGGAATAAAAACTGTGCCTTGGTTCGACGCATAAGCCATCATGCCTCTGGCGCTTCTGCTGTGTTTCTACATGGGCCTACAAGAAGCAGTAGAGCCTGCCCTGGAGTCTTTGCTGAATTCAGTGACAGGTTCTGTGAATGCCCGAATGCGGACATGGTAGAACTTGCCCCACTCGTGGCAGAGTTGCCTTAACTTGCGCCACCCGCCGATGGTTGTGATGTCCTCAGACAGGTGTGGGCCGCACAATGTTAGCAGAATACAGCAGCAGCTCGAGAAAGCACCCACCCCCCCTGTTACATTTCTTCCACATAAGCTCACTCCAGGCTTCGCTGAGATCCAGGATAGGAAGCATGTCCACCTCCAGGCAGCTCAAATCTGATCACTATTGGCTCCGGACATGCGTGTCGCATTTACTTGTTCCACCTCCGGCGGGCAATGGCGGCGAAACTCCCGTTGCACCGACAGCATTGCGGCGCAACTTCGCATTAGCGCTCGCCTCCTGACTCACCCATGCTGACTCTATCTCTCCTGTGCTCAGTGGTGGCTGTGCTGAAAGTGCAGACATAAGACTACAAATCTGTGCTACCCTCTCCTCCAAACATCAAGTGCACCAGTCACCATGAAAATGCCTGGACAGGGAAATCCGACTTGCACAAAAAGACAACACAAAATCAACCTGCTTGCTTGGGCAGTTGCTGGAAGACAGGAAGCAGGCAATCGCTGAGGGGAACATGCCAATGATGGCAATGCGAGCACCAACTCCTGCACACTAGATCCCACGACGAGCGAATGCAAGGCATGCAGTGAAATCAAAACTCCTGGCCTGTGCCGAACATGCCGGGCCAGCCATAACCATCGCTTTTCGCCCCACGAAGAATGGAAGGCAAAAGCACGAGGGTTATAGTGAACATGAGCAGCCTGCAGGGTTTGGGTCGCGACAAGTTGTGGAGCCCGTGCCATGTTACTGACAACATGTGCAAGAGCGGCCAGGATACGGTAGAAAAACTGGCGGTTTCACAGCTCGCTCATCCCGCAGAACACTGCGAAGTATGTAGAGGAACCTTAGCCGCCAGTATATCAGTGAGTGTACAAGAATCTATGATCGAAAGGATGATGTCAATGGCTTGCTCCAGCCTTTAACATTGAGTGCGCATGTCATGCCTCATGACTTTCACATAGAATCTGTGGATCAAGAGCATGCATTGAGGCTGGGACAGATCTTCAATGGGAACCGGTTTTCCATTAGCAGCTGCACGGAAAATGTCAGCATCCCAGTCCTTCAAACACGAGCAAGCTGCCTAGTACTGGCACCGTGACTGCTGCTGCACCTCCTCCTCCCGCTATGACGAATAATAACCATGGGCGAGCACTTTGTGCAGCCCTCCGTTTTCCTGATGTAACACCCCAAGCCCTCAAACACCAACACTTCTAGCGCCCTAGTTAAGATGCGAAGCCTGTATTCCTCAAACCCACTCAAACTGAGGACCTACTGCAAACTCTCACTCCCCAACCCTTCGTTCTTCGAAGCTGGAAAAACTCGTGAAGCCCTAAACCCTCGGTCCCCCAAATCTCAAGGCGAGTGGTTTGAAGCTGCTCCCGGGAAGTCTGATTCCTAACCGTTGATCCTTGCAATCCCATTTGCCACTGAATGAAGGCCATTGTCGTTTCAGTTCCTGATCAACACAATTCTGCGGCAAGGCCTTGTTGCCCTGCCTGCATGATGTGTACATGGATTGCTGATTCCCCGCATGTTGCCCCCCTGGTTCCATTTCGAAAAATGTCTTCTCCAGAAGGACAGCACCTGTCAGCTGTCTGCTGTTCTCTATTTACCTGTTTTGCTGCTTGAAACGTAAGCATGAGAAAGAAGGCTTCTTCTGTCCATTCTTTCCCCTTTTGCATCATCCCCTGCGCAATGATGCTTGAGGTAGGTTGGTCAATGTGAATGGTGAAAGACTACACAGCAATTTATTGGAATCTCCTTGTGCTCATCGATAAGGCCCGGCTTCGAAATGGATCCATCGCGAGGTAATGTACTTAACCTGCATGAATACGTACACAGAGATTTCTATGCATGTGTGCCAAGCGAGCGCGAGACAAGATGCAGGATTTGCGACATTTGAACTAAAATCTCAGTTCAGGACGATGCTGTCACCAATCCGGCTCCTGGGGTCATGCATCATGGCACAGAGACGACGAGCACATGACAAAAGAAAGATCATACTGCTTTCGCACAGAAATCTAAAAACATCTAGGGAGGTTTTCTGGGAAGCTTTTGCACATGCCTGTCCGGGCACCGGGCATGGTCCTACACAATGCGACGCGTGAGATATTGATAGGAAGACGGCGGACACCGTCGATTAACGTATACTCCATGCCCAGCCGCTGATTTGCCCCAAGTCTGTCCTTACCAGACATTCACAAGCAAGTTGAACATACATACCCTCACCCTCTCTCTCTCTCCAGTGGTTGCTGGCAAGATACAGACTGCGCTGCTTCCAGGAGACCGCATTGTTTGGACTTCCTTCTGCCTCTTCGTCATACTGCCTTGACAGAGTTTGTCCACTATGGCCCCTTCCGTACCTTGTGCGGATAAAGCACAAATCGGTCCGAGTCACAAGATTGGCCGTCGCTCCGCTCTTCTTCGCCCGCGAGAGCTTTCTTGAAGCATTCGCCCAGTCGGAGCCTTGGGAAAATGGGATTAAATCGTCTCCTGCTACACCTTCTCGAGGCAAAGGCGGATGCTAGGGAATTTCTCATCGCTAGGGCGTCGGCAGAGAACATGGTTTTGCTTGTTATGTCGACCCGCTCGCGCATGATGAGAAGCTCTTGCTCCGAACGTGGCCATGGAAGAAACTTCAGGAGCGTTTGACCTCGTGTTATGAACCAGGCGCACGGAGATGTTCTGCGAAATGGGAGGCAAGGTCTCAAAATGAGGCTGTCAAGCCCCGGAAGGTACAAGAAAAGGATCTACTCTGTCCCTACATATTATAGTATATTATACCATTACAGAATATACCATATTATTCTGCATGATAATATATTATCTCATTATATCCCATGCTTTCCGTTTAGATTTAAGGATGTGACCATCTGCAGTGAAAGCCGGGGGGCATCTCTGGTTGCGGGAGCCGAGGATGGTAACCTGAAAGCCCGTTCCATTTTCAGGATGGGTTGTAATGGGTCATATAGAGGTTATAATGGGTTATATAGAGGTTATAATGGGTTATAATGGATTATATAGGGTTTAGGGTAGAGGTTATAGTGGAGAATCAGATGAAAAAGCAAACGGAAACTGAAATGGAAGCTGGAATTATAGACCCGGATAGACCGTAAAGGGGATTCTAGACTTACTGGTTCGTAGTATAATATGGGCAATATAGTGATAATGGAAAAGACAATGGAAACTACTATAGTATATTGGGGTTCTTAGTAGGCAATAAGGGAACATGGATATATAGGGATTGCATAGCGATTATATCCCATTATTCCCGTAGGAACCAGTAAGCGGGTTTTATGGCGGTCTAGCAAGGTGAAATGCAGGGTCTATTGTACAAACAACTAAACAGAGGTCATCACAGTTGCAAAAGATCAGAAGATGCGAAATCATGACATATCGTGAAGCATCATATGAGCTATAGTCTAAACTCCTTAAAGGGTGTTATATAGGGATTATATAGGGGACTATAATAAGGGTTATTAAGGGAGATACTAGGAGTTTCGACAATGGCTCATGTGGAGCCTCGAGAATGCAATCTAAGGAGCAAAGGCCACCTCTGCTTGCAGCTCAAAGTTTTCAGCGGGAATGTGCAGCCACCCTGTAAGCAAGTTCATGTACCTTGGTTTCCAGGCCTTGCTGAAGGCCAACATAGCTTTCTCATCTTCATCCAAGAACATTAGTCTTTCTGAAACTTAGGGTCCCTGTGTATACCCCTAATTGCTGTAGGCTCGCTGGACAGACCCCTCCAATTTAGGGACCAGCCATTCTAGGTTGTTGTCACTGCTTTGAATCTTCTGCTGAGCTGCGACCGGTACTTCCCATCAATAAACTTTGTGTTCATCTCCTTCCAGGTCGGTGTTGAAGTATATGCGTACTTTGTGGCCACCGGAGCATTCCTCATGTTCAAAAGCGCGTGATGGTACCATGTGGGACTCAGAAGCAGCCGCGGCAAAAGTTCAAGTAGCTACAGAAAAACTATGATCTAGTCATGGCAGTTTTTGTTCTTCTGTCCATGAGGAAACGCAGGAAAGAACATACAGAGTGCCAGAATACTAATATTTGGCCTCCACTCTGGGAACCAAGACCAAGCTCAGCGTCCGCATTAGCAAGCCAAGGAAAGTCAATCTCCTCTCAATCCGTGTGACTTCATTCTTGTCATCGAAGAAGCACATGGCAATTATCGCTGAAAATAGGCAGGCCCAGGTGAGGAACTGCATAATTGTGGCTCTGTCAGGTTCTCAGTTGCGGCAAGCTGTCCATTTTTAGGGATCCCATGCAACATGATATTGGATTCAACTGCATGCTGCCTGGGCACTGGCGAATATCCAGAAGCCTCTATTCTTCAGACCAACTATGCCTTCACATGGGTCAAGTGAGGACCCTCAATTTTGGAAGTCTCCTAAAGTCTCAACCCTACATTACCCTGTATGGTTCCTATACCGCCTACGCCCACTTTCAACCCACCTCCATACAATGGCAGCAGCACAGGGTATGAGAGGGGACCGAGCACGCTGTAGAGCAGCTGCCCAAACAGCTCCTCAGCCACAGACTTTGCTGGAGGACTCACCGCCAGTCATGGTCGTGAAAGCATTGGCAAGCAAAACTGGAACTACATGCATATTCAAATGACACGACATGACCACAGTGATTGCCACAAAAGGCCATTGCACCTATCATGCTGCTTACACCATGGTCATCGCATCGCGCCCTTGGCACTATTTCAAAATGTCGGAGTGACGTGTAACCAACAATGGTGACACAACGAGAATGCAATAGTGACATCATAACACAACGAAAAAGGTAGCTAGATGGCAGAGAAGGCTCGATGAAGAAGACCTTGTAGTGGAAGACTTCAGATACTTCGGTCACCCAGTTGTTCAAGTCTTTGTGGAAGTCATTGGCGGACTCATGGAACTCACGAAGTGCCTGCTATGTGTGGCTTGGACAGGGATTACTCAGGGATGTTTGAGCTAGAGGGGTTGCCGGCAAACGCGGAGGATCATCCCCGTTGTGCTGCAAGTACTGACCACAAGAAACAGCTTGTTTTCAAAGCCCGCGGCAGCCTTCTGACACACAGTTTGTTCGTCGCAGTCACCAAACAGGTGTTGTTTCACCCGCTCATGCTCCTCTGGACGCTCGCCTGTTCAGCTTCTTGGATGCGCACTTTGCGTGCAATGGAGATTAAAGGCTAATAGTCAGACCGCCGCATAGGTCTGTTGCACAGGTACATTTCCACCCGAAAAAGCTTCAAAATTGCAAAGAGCACTGTAATCTTGAGGTCTGTTGCTGCGGTTTGCCTTCTATATCTACTCTAGTCACTGTCTGAAGGAGCGAGGCCTTGCCGGCTCCGAAGACCATCGCCGAGGACACTTGTAAAGCCCTGCCAGCACAAGTCATGGTCAGGTCAAGACCATTTTGAGCTTGAAAGACGTGAGCCATAGTCTGAACTCTAGTATCCCCCTTAATAACCCCTACAGCAGTCCCCCATATAATCCCATACATAACCCCCTTGAAGGAGTTTAGCCAACGGCCTCCGAAAGCTGCAGATCGCTACCAGCAGGGGCGTGCATGGTGCTGTGTGCAAAACCTGGTGCTACGTGCATGATGCTATTCTGGACAGCTATGTGCTGTCTGCATTGGTACTCGAAATCTTGCTGCTTGCATGTGTGAGGCTTGGCATTGTAAAGCTGTCGCTAGAGCTTAGAGCTTAGGGCCAGCACGGCTCTCCGGGCTACGCCCAATGTGATCCAAACGTACATCCTCCTGTGTACTTCACAGGCGTCATCTTGGATGTGCCGCAATTAAAATATTCCCATTTTGGGACTGTAGCGGTTGTCCCAGGGTTCGTTCAGAAGGATTATATACACCGGGGTCCAAGGCGTCAGGTAAGGATTGCAGAACGACCCAAGCACATACCCACTTGACTTCAACAAGGGCAATGGTAAGGGTGTACAAGCGCACCATGGAACAGTCTAGGCTGCTGAGCTAAGACAGAGCAAGCTTGTGGCAGGATAGACCAACGTAGTACCCAAGTGGTAACCGTCCGTGCAAAACCCCCCAAGGCTATAATCCTTAACGTGGGGAATCATTGTTGGAAACCCTCAAGATTATGTGCGTTCAAGCCTGCAAGCCTACGGCGGTTGGACAGGTCCTTTACTGGTTCATCATCTGTCACGATGCTTTCAAAATGGCAAGAACTTCGCCAAGAATGTTACCAAGGGTGGCTTAACACTAGCAACAGAACTTGAAGACTCCATAGGTTTTTCCAGCTTCTAAAACTCATGATAAGTCAAGAGCTGGAGCATCCATGAAACTAGCTTTTTCAAGGATATCTAATTTTCCGCAAAATTATTAGCAGCATGACTGCCTGGATAAACTGATATGACCAGTCAATCCAGTAGCACCTGGAAACAAAAGTTGATGATGAAGTACCGTCCAAGGTTGTCTCTTGGAAAAAAAGATACTTTACATTTTGCAGAATGGACAAATGCAAGAGTCTTTCAACAATAAGATCAGCTTTAAATGCTGCTGTACAAAAAACTCTCCCAGTGGTATTGCTTGCTGCAGCATGAAAATGCAATTAGCATCCTTCATTCACCAGGTAAGTCCTTCTTCCTTGCGTGGTATAGAAGGCAGGCCTTTTTGAAGGCATAAGGGGATCAAAAAGAACGGGTATCGAATAGGCTTACTGATTTGAATTAGATGGTTGAAATATGTGGACTTTTTTTGGAATATGAAGGATGAGTTTTCACAAGGACTAAGTTGGACAGTCTTACGCACAATTTTGGAGAGATCATTGCATGTATGTCTAGCTTGCCGTCTTTATGGTTCTATGCGCGTTCATTCGGCGAAAAGCTTCAGTCATGATAAGCTGCGTATGAACCTAGAAGCCACCAAATGGAGCGTAATTGGAAACCATCATTTTTGTTGTCGGCCAGGCTGTCCTTTGAGCTGAGGAGTCGCTCCATCAATGCGCAAACCTGTCTGCCAGGTATGTGGAGCAACCAGGCAGCATCTCTACAAGCTTGGAAGGCAGCCTTCTGCGAGCTCTTCGGCTAGTCGCTGGTGCAACCTGGAGTACAGGCTCTGGCAGCAACGCGCAATCTTCATGTATTTTTGCATGGTGTAAACTGAAGTACTCATGTACGTAGAATGACGAGAAAATCTCGGCACTTGGCGCATCATCCACAAGTTTGGCTTGATCCTGGGTGAGGACTTCCTGCCAAGAACCTAAGCCATGGAACAGCTTTGAACCAGCCGCACCAAAGGCAAACATGCTACTTCAAGCTACTATTTTTCTTCGAACGAGAGCGCACATTTTTTCATATGTCTGCCGCATCTCAGCCAATACTGGGCACCTGTCCAAGAGGGAGCTCGCCCTGGCGTCGCCGCTCGATGACCCGGGCCGAGAGATGGGCTAACGACTCCACAGCTTCGGGTTGTCGAAACCCTGGGCCTCCATGCAGGTCTTGGAAGCGGATTCCCAACCGGGACTCCGATCCAGCCTTAGCCGGCTCGGCCGGCTGAGGCTTAGGATCCTCTGGCTCAGCAAGTTCTACCTCGTTTGTGCCGATGAAATCCTCGAGGTGCGACAAAAGCGATCCATCTTGCAGAACTTCCCGCAGCAACCTGAGCTCCTTGCAGGGTGAGAAACTCAAGAGGCTGAACCCTCTAGAACGGAACTCACTGCTTTGAATCACTCAGGCTATAAGTCCTGGGCCAGCAAAGCGGTTTGGTCTCGTAGCAGCCGCACCTCTTCCGTGTGCTCTTCGACATTGGAGGTTGGCAGCTCTGCCTCTAGTCTCTCCAAGAGAGCTTGTCGGGGTGGTGCAGGGACCTCAAAGGTTTCGCGTGCTGGGAAATGGCCTACAGCATCTCGCTGCATGCTGCGGGTTCTCTGGGGTGCGCTAGCTGAGCAGAGCAGATCCAAGCCAGCAAAGGCAAAGCTGCACGAAGCGCAAAGACCCCAGCATCCCAGCCAAACACCTGCAAAGCGGCGCGCCATTGCAAGTCGTCCGGCCCTACCTCATACTAACCCGTCTGGAGCCAATGGCGTATGCGGCCGGGATCTGAAGTTAGAAAGTCGAATTGGGACTGCCAGAAGGCAGGCAAAGAAGCTCAATTTTTCCTGAGCATTGAACTGAACAGGATCTTTTTTAAGCAGGCACAGGCCACTGGCAGTTCAACTGCATTTCACGATGCTCTGAGAGTAGAGCATCTGCGAGCAGCAGAAGTTCGGATGTGGCAGCACCCATAAAGCTGGCAGCTACTGAGATTGGAGACCCATCTGGTTCAAGCCCAGGCTTCCCCAGCAGCTTTCAGAAGCTCCTCTGCTCACACATGGCGCTTTTGTTGGCTCCTTTTGCCTGCAAACTCCTGCATGGGATAACCTAGTAGCAGCGGAAACCACATCGCCTTGTTCGGGACCGCGCCCATCTTTGACATCTGTGTGGCCATCGCCTGCTAGAGCTTTACACGCGCACGAAAGTGAGATGCCGCAGCCAGTGAGATGAACCTCTTTCAAAACAGAACCATCGCAAGTTGCACGCACCTTTGCGACCGCTTCTCGCTTAGCCTGCTACATGTGCTAAGCACGTGTCGGCCCTTGGAGAATCATGACACGGCAAACGGTACTAAAGGGCAGGAACGGAACCTCACCCAGCCATGTCCTCAAGCAGATCTCAACCTGCAAGGAGAGGCTAAAATCCTCGTAATAGTAACAGTGATAATACGAATGGTGATCGCAATGGGAATTGGTAATTAATGGTTGCGTGGTATGTTGGAGCACTGGATTGCCTCTGTGAGAGTGAACTCCTGGGAGCTGATTGTTTCGCAGCCACCTTTCCTTGCGGCCTCTATCCACATTGGCACCTGGCAGGGCTCCCCGTGAACTGAATATTTTTGGGGTTGTATCGCGATTATGTATGGGTTACATAGGGATCATAGAGGGTAAATATACGGATACATAGAGATCAGGTAGGGGTTAGGTAATATCACCCCAGGAGTGGAGAATCACATTCAAAAGAACATGAACAACAAAATGCAAACTTATACCTAGCCATGGCGATGCTGCTTGCAACCAAAGCTGCTCCCCCTGAGAGTGGTGGGGATGCATCAATGACTTTGGGCTTTAATGTCCTCAGATCCGGAAACGACGGCTTTGGCAAGTTGGGAGCTGAAATTGAATCTCCCACTTACCCATGAGCGAAACAGCACATGTGCCAACAAGGCTCTGGAAAATTGGGGCGAAGACTTCTCCGAGGATGTCGTCAGACCATTCAAACCTTGCTGAGATGCTGCAGGTCACAGAAAATGGACTCTGCAGCGCTATAGGGATTTCAGGCCGAAAGGCTCGGCAGAGACCACGACGTCCAGAGTGTTGCAACTCCGCACCTCGTCAGAAAAAATTGCAAATCCCGTGCAGGTCTCTTCCATGGGAACTCCGCGTGCAAGTCTATTCCATTAGAAATTTCAATCATTGAAGGCTGAAGTGTTTAGCCCCATCGCAACCTCCGTAAGCCAGCCTTCTTCTCAAAAGCAATGCTAACTATGTTCCTGCAGTTGACGCGTGTTTGCGTGGCTGGCAAACGCTGAAGTGTCGAAGAAGTGCAAGTGTGGCACAGGAGGCCTAAACAAGGCACACGAGCGAGTCAGCGTTTGGTCTCGATCCAAAACAGGTATGTACTTGCAAACCCGTAGTGCGTACCTTGCGACGCATGATGGTCCAGTCTACGCCTTTTGCTTCATTGCTGGGGATCTCTCTCCTGAATGCTACTGCTTCCCCTTGTACTCACAATTTGACAGACTTGCAGAAAGCTGATGCAGCGCCTCGCTGAGCTTCTGCTGGTCAGACAATCTCGAAGCCTCAGATCGACCAAGCCTAGCTGAAGCATTCGGAAAAGTTCGGACATGTAAGCGAGGGCAATTGAGCTTCCAACCTCGCAATGTCTAACCTCGTCAAAGCCTGCGGCCTGCAGGCCTCCAAGTATGGCTTCTTTCAGAGGGCCGGAGCCGAGGACAAGCGCTGTCCTCTTGCGACCCTGGCTCAGGTGTTCTAAAAGCGCCTGAGACTTCAGGTTGTGGCCTTGCACCTCTGAGTCGGAGCGAGCAATGCAGTCCACGAAGTTTGAGGACTTTGCCAAATCCGTGAAGCACATCCCCGTCCCTTCAGCTTTGGAGAACTGACCGCATAGCGCATCCAACAGGAAAATGCCACCAGTCGAGGCCAAAGAGGACAGTCGAGAAGCCTCTTGGGCTGTGCTTGCAAAGTCCATGTCACAAACGTGAGGCAAGCCAGCCAGCTTGAAGTAGCCACGGAAGACGTCCCTGTAAAAGCCTGATGCTTTGCCTTGCTCTTTTTTACAGGAACCTTCCCAAGGTCCAATGACGGCAAACTGTCGTGATGTTCCGAAGAGACTCAGAGATCTACGAATGGTCAGAATGTCTTGTACGGACATCTGCCCTGGCGCGCCCGGAGTCAATCCAGGATGCATGGAAGGGCACATGACCTGGTTGAGCACTCTTGACAGCTTTCCAGTTTCACCAAGGCAGAGCCCGATAAAGGAGACGGCTTCTGGGACAGTAGCCTTCCTAAGCTTACTCTGTCTGCAAACGAATGCACTGCACGCGCCCAAGAATCAGACTGAGGTTCTAGCCCTACTTCCTGGACCACCCAGCTATCCTCTCGCGCTGCTGGCTTCACCACCACTTTTGCTATGGCAGCCGTACCCTCAAGCAAGCACTTGCTATACCTTAGTTTCACTGCAAGACGTGAAGGCAGCAGTCTATGAGGACCCATATCGCTTGTGCTCCAAGCCACACCTGCGCCAGCTCATCTCGACTGAGCATCCTCAACACACGTCAGCCACGAATGGTGTGCCTGTCCTGTGCCCTGGAGCCGATGCCAACTCCCGGCCCAAAAGACCCCTGTTACTGTATGTGTAAAGATATCAAACGTTGTGATGCATTCCAGTACACCAAGCAGCAATTGTGTTTTGGCTTGGCTTGCCCTGCTACTTGCATTTGACGCGTCGTGACTCTTAAAGTCGAAAAAAAAGACAAAGGCAGTCCCTACGGCGGTGAGGCGTTGGCCGATGATGAGGGGTTTTGATAATGTGAAGATTTCATTTTTCCTTTCAGGCCCCAGTAGAGGGCTGAATTGAAGTGTCAAATTTAAGAAAGAGGCCCAACACCAATCTATCTGATGTTACTAAAGTGCCACCGGCGGTGAGCCATCATGCATCCCATGTGAAATGCAACCGTCCTGTCAAAGTTGTGATAGGAGCCCACCAGCTTGGAGGGACCCCTTCTGGCAGCAAGGGAGGCGATCTTTGAAGCATCCCAGGTGCACTCCTCAGCGCTATCTTGACAGCAAGCTACTTTTGCTTGATGGTTGCTTTCCTCGGCCATGCTGCTGCGATATGCTCATCCAGACATTGACAAGTCTCTACGTCAAGCAATTCTGCGCCCAGCTGAAGCCCGAGCATGTTCAGCTCAAAATACCTGGGCCAAGGCAGGGCCAAGGCAAGCGAAGACAGCTTCAGCACGAATAGACTGGGTTGCTGTTAAGGAACTTAATTTACGTTACTATATTGGCATGGGGAAGCCCTATAAATTACTATATATACTCATCATGGTAACTTCATTTAAGTTCCTTAACAGCAACCCAGTAGAAGGCAGCCAGGCTGCTCGTCTTCGGACCCCGTGAACTTGCCGCCATGATCCTTGGAACCTCGTCAGTGGAGCTGAGTCTGTGACCTCCTTAAAGGGGATTATATAGGGGATTATATAGGGGACTACGATTGGGGTTATTAAGGGGGATACTAGGAGTTTAGACAAGAGTCTGTGACATCCTGCCAATCTCCTCTGCCTGTTTTGTACTCTCCTGTCCCATATGTCTTCCTCTCTTTCGAAAGTGCAAGGGTGGATGCTACTTGCGTTGACAGTGGTACTATCATGCTTGCTACAGCTGACCACAGCTCTGGCATGACTAGTATCACCACTGCATCACTTGAAAACATGCCACTATCGCTAAATCGTCTAGAGTCTAGGGTTTCACAATGCAGCAGAGCACGCACTGTGTAGAGCAGAGGCGTTCCGGGAGCTATTCGGCGCACAGTGGCCACCTGTACATCAGCAGCCGCAGCGTCCCTCTGAAACTTGTGAATACTTACCAAGATTCAAGGCGGCTTGGCTTCCCAATCAACAACTGTAGTACGAGGAAGGCCCAACAACAAAAAGGATTGTATCCGCACAATCAAGCTATCGCAGCAATGCATGTCATACATGTTACACAAACCAGCACAGTGCGCTCTACTACAATGACAGTTACACCTGTCCAACTGAATTGTTGGCCGGCTTGCCTGATGTACGATGTTACTGTGCTCCAGGGACCCGAGGAGATCAACTCGGAACTCCAGAGTGTCAGCAGCTCGAGCCGCTGAGCGAAGAATGTCTGGAGAGACCTGTTCAGAGCGATTTCAACCACTTGAAAAACGAGGATAGCTATGAATAGGGATACATAGGGACGTATAAATGCAGCAATGCTATTGCTAGTCCAGAACCTTAGCACTCAGTGCTGCAGCACCACACGCGCAATGTCATAGCAGCAAGGGCAACAAGAATGACTCATGGGACGACGGGCGACGGAACCAGCAGCATTGCTTGCAACAACGACCCTGACTGTAGAACAAGGCAGCGAGGTCCATGAGGCAAAGCGTCAGCAGCTGGCGCAGAGATGGGGAGAATTGGGAGAGCTGCACTGCACTAGATGCAGCCTGGTTGTAATCGGATGCTGTCAGCGTGATGAAGAACGAATCGCTCACAATAGCAGGAGCAGTGTGGCCAAGGGCGGCATTGACCTTGGAGAATTGCGCAGAAGCTTGAACGCGAGAAGCGAATCTGTAAGGCTGTAGCAAAGCGAGCGAAAGCCACTGTGAGTGTGTTGAGGTCTCCCTCACCCCGAGCAACAGGGAACCGGAAGTCAGCGGCCTGCACCTGCCAAAGCAAGAAAGACCTATGAAAGTTTCTGATTGACCCTGGCTAAATGTCGCTTGCAATTAGATCTGCTCACTCTCCTCTGCTGGACACGCTTTGCTGAGCTAGCACTCCGCAAGACAAGGAGCATATTTCGGCAGGCGGCGCTTATAGGTGTCCTTCCGGGCTCAAGCTTTCTTGCCGCAGAGACGAGTAGCACATCACATGCTTTACCCAAGAGCGTGTAGCTGGGTCCCTTGGATGCTCGCCAAGAGAAGCTCGGTGAACTTGGGCAGCCGGGTCGCTCCTGCAGCTACAGTGACTACAGGATCCAGTCCAAGGTAGCGATATCCCCCTAATCCTCCCACCCCTCCCCAATCTTCAATTTTTTCAATATTAGTAAATACCACAATGAGGAATATTCAACTTTGGGGGGGGGGGGTGGTGTCACACTGCCCGCAGAGCCTCTAGGTTACAGTGCAAGAAGTCGTGTACAGCTCTCAGTTATTGGCCGGTGGCACTGCAAACTAGCCAAGCTTCTCCAAAGTGGCCACTATATCATCAATCGAACGATCAATGAGCATTACCTTGGCAAGGCCAGGAGCAGAGTGGTTGCAACTAGGTTGCTGCAGTTGCATGCTCCAAAAAAGCCGCTCAGTGGCTGGATGATGCTTGCACAATAGATCCATGCCCTGGGTGGTTTCTATAATGCCACCACCACATGCAATGATCTTGGCCTTTCAATGCAATGTCAGGTGCTGCATGCTCTCATCGCTGCAACGCAAACATGCCGGCCTTGTCGCCTAATGCCACTTTTTGAAAACACTCCGCTTCCAAGGCACGAAACTTTTCCCAGCCTCCCACGGGTCACGGACAAAGCAAGACTGGGTCTTCCCATTCCGGTCTGTTTTCTGGTGCAGCCTTGTTCTGCTACTATTTGCGGCGGAAGTTTCCCACCAGCCGAGCGAGTAATGACCTAAGCACCCATCCACTTTTCCATGAACCGCATGGATTTCTGCAACAACACCTATGCCTATGCCTCGTCCAAGTCGTCGAACTCGAACCCGAGCATCTTTGCAGCATCTCGACCCAAAGTGGTCTTTCCTGCCTTGCAGAACTCTCGAAATAGCTGGCCTTTAAGCTTTGAATCTGTTTGTGAAGTCCAAGCTTCGCCGCGCATACCAATCAAAGCCACCTGAACTGCAGGCCATGCACACAGAACCAGCCAGCCGTGTCCAATGCGATAAGAAATTGTGACAAGCCAATGGTCTGGTGCCAACAGCCTAAAGCGATGGCAAGTGGCCACAGGCGGCCCGGAGTGTGGCTCCGCCATAGCTGCGGCAGGGGAGAGGTAAATGTCTTGCTTCGTAATTTTTTGTGGATGAGCTCAGGAACTCTGGACCGAGTGCATTTGGCTGCACAAGTGAGGAAGGAGTCACTGGCGGGCTGGTCTTGGGTTTATAGGCCTGATCTCCTGCTTGAGCCCCAACAAGCAAACAGTGCTGTGTGTTGTGCAGGGCGGCAGTGCTTCCACATGCTTCCGGCTCGGCTTTGACTGGGTCAAACACCCACTCTTCCAGCCCGGAAATGATCAGGATTGACTCGGCCTGGGAAGGGCCCCGACACTCTCTAAATCAATTTCTTCTGTGCAGGTGGAGGCGATCACTTTTCAAAGCGATGGTTCTTGTATTTCGGCCGCAACGCGGCAAAACGCACCAGCTGTTGCTGGCGAGGGCAGGTGAGGATCATCACCAGGTTGCGCTGCGAGCTTAGCTCTCAGGCCAACAGACATGTCGGAGCTAGGTCATTTTTGACGCCAAGCCAATGCTGCATCTCGCTCCCCGAGGACTGAGCATGAATTCCACTACTCTCCTACAATGGGGCGGGCCTGCACCAAATGAATTTCTCTCGATCCAGCTCGCTCCAGCACTACGCCTTCCATGTCCATAGGCACACCGTAACCTTGCAAAGCTTGGCTGTGGCAGCATGCCTCGACATAACAAATGCTACAGTATGCTACAGTACTGTTGGCCTAGGCTGATCACACGCCCCCACCCACATGCAGCAGTTGCACCTTCTTCAATGCCGATGGCGACTTTGCCGATGTCACGCGCCATCTGTACTAGGTATTCCCGGTCGTTGCTAAGGCGTTCCTGGGAGTAATCGATTTGGACACGCTGGAGGCCACCTGGCATATCTTGGAGGCCATACGAGAAACTTCCCAAAGACGCCACCTCAACCTCATGTGGCGGCTGCTTCTGCACGATCAAACGATAAGGAGTTCCGGGTTCATTGGCTGATGCCAGTGTCTCGCCTGAGTAGATCACTTGCAATAAGGTGGGAAACCATAGCAAGTTTCAAACACATCCCGTTTCTTATTCATGAGGTCTACAGTCTACAGCCCGCGATCGATCAGCCCTCCCTCGATATCCCTCGACTTATATTCAAGTTTCATTTTCAAGTTGCCAAGACCAATGCACAGCTCAATGTACACGGCTTTGTCGTTTCGTGCCACTGCATCTTTCGAGAATGCAATGAAGGCGAAGGCGCTGCCAGCCAAAGAGACCATTGGTTGAATCAGCACGCCCATGGCAATGCCTTCGTACAATGGCATGCCTGCAGCATGTCGACTCTGTACAGCTCGCAATGTGAACATGCTGCTCCAGACCTGGAGCACGGCGCTTTGAAGCTTGGCCTGATCCTTAACCTCCACGCCCAAGACAGAGTCGTGCAGACCAGCCCCAGACACCTTCTCCAAGTCTTCGCTGTTGGCAGAGGACCGGACCGCAACCCGTTCTACTTTTGGCAGCTTGGCTGCAATCTCCTTGAGCACATTGGCAGGAACTGACAGCTTTTCAACCGCTGCTCGCACGGCCAAGGCTGCAGCCTCGACCTCGAGAGAATTGGAATTGCTGTCCAGCTTGGACTGCAAGGCTTTGAGGGCAGACTCAAAGTCGGCTCCTTGGACAGCCTTCTTCATGACGCCAAAGGGTATGGCAAGGCCCTTGGGGGCCTTGAAGCCCAGCTGCCCGGCGAGTTTCTCCAGCTTCCCCGAAGAGGCTGCTTTGCTGCCAGCAAACTTGGGCTGGTCCGCGATCTCGACCTTAGAGAACATGTGCTGCACACAGACCCCCTCTCCAATGCTGGCGTCTCCAACACGGATTGTCTGAGGTTCGGGCTGTTTCGAAAAGCTTGTTGCTCTCCAGGCTGAGCTCGCCAAGCTTAGGCTTCGTGATCGAAGCTGGCTTGGAATCGCCAGTCATGACAGAGAGCTCGGAGTCACTCACCCCTTCCGCACGCACATCACCAGAGGGGCTCACAGACAGACGCACGGCCTTCCCTTGTTGAGTAGCTCCCTTGACTTTCTGGAAAAGCTGTGACTCAGCCGTGCAGGCAAACACCACTCCGAGCTGTCGTGCGCGCAAAGCCAGGTGGCTAAGCACGGGCAGGTCACGTGCAACTATCACTCCCCGAGCCAAGTTTGGAATCTCTTCATCACCGCTGGCTTCCTCACAAAAGACCACGGTGCCTTCCTTCGGCAGATTCTGGCTCCAGGCGTCTGCCAAAGCGCGCAAGCATAAGCAGCGGCCGACGCAAACACCTGCCGAGATGGCTGTCCAGAGTGGAAGGCCTGCGCACGCCTTTGCTTGCTGCATGGCAAGCTGTGCAAGCTTTGAAACCTGGAATAAGACAGATGCCCGAAGCTCAGCCTCAACGAAGACAGAAATGGCGTGAGAGTCAATGTTAAGGGCTCTTCCAAGCTCGGGCACGCCAGAATATGCCTGCTCAAGGGAGGCCTGGAGCTTGAAACAGATGCGCAGTGTCCGGTCCATGGTTGCTACAAGCCGCTGTGGAATGAATGGGTTCGAAGTATCGGAGATCGATGGAGCAACAGACTCTGTCTCGTGGATGGCTACCGCGCACTCCTTCTCAGAAATGCCAGTAAGCTGAGTTTGTGCAAGGGCCGATGTCAGGGACTTCAGCAGGCGTTCCCACCAAGAGCGAGATCCCCTGTGCTCATTCTCTAGCTGTCCAGCTAACTGGCTAAGAAGCACAAAGGCATACTTCTCCAACTCGATGTCCAGCCTCAACCAATTCTGCTCAGCCACCCTCTGGGCCACCGCTTTGCGCAGGTCCACGAGTGCAGTAAGCTGTCCAAAGGGATCCGCATTGGAATTCTTCAGGTGCAGGAGCATGTCAACCGCGCCCTTCACACTTCCGTCCTCCTGGGCTATCTTCCTGGCAGAATCGTCCAAGCCTCAGACTAAGACACAAAATCCAGACCGTACGTCGTAGATATCTTGATTTTGCACCCGAAAGTCATGCTGAGGCCCAGGCCAGTGGCATTGAAGAAGTCTCGCAACTCAACTTGGAAGATATGCATCTCCCGGACAAAGCCCTCAGAGTAGCCACCTTCACGGTCAATTCGTTCCACCAGCTGGTCCAGCTTCACCAAGTCGCCCGGGTCTGCGCAGCGGTGAAGCTTGTTCTGCAGCTCGTGCCTGCATGGGCAATGTACATGCAGCTCCGCTCGGGTCGTGTCTATGGCTTCGCTACGCACTCTTGCAAAACTTACTATCCAAGCAAGATGCTTGATGTACAGCTTTATGTCCTTGGGGATGTCATTACGGTGTGCGATATCACGAATTCGTGTCATGGGCACAGCACAGGTGAACTCATCAGAAAAAGATGGCAAGCATGGGAAGATGCGACGAGCAATGAAAAGCTCTGCGTCACCATGGGTGGCCAAATCCCAAAGAGCTTCTGTCACAGCCTTGGCAGAGTTGGCTGCCGCACAAGGCCTGTGGTGACCTCCATCTTCCTTGCACGTAATCTGGCCACTGGAAATCCATGTCAGGTAGGCTTGCAGGCAAGCCAGCTCTGTTAGAGAGTTAAGCTGTTCCTCCTCCATGAGAACACGTGGAAGCTCCAGCTTCAGGCGATAGCTAGTCCGTTCCCGGTTTTCTTCCGCAATCCGGTTGACAAACTCTGACGACTTTGAGAACGTGGTGCTCAACTTCTTTCCGTGGCCGGGAGCCTTCTTTGGTCGCTCATTCTGCGTGCTGTCCCAGATGTTGGTAACAACAGGCGCCTCGGCCTCTCGCCAGTGCCTATTGGCTCGACCTTCCCACTTCGGCTGTCCCTTCTCCATGATTACATACTTGAACTGTGTGCCTGCACCCACACCATGCGGCATCTCAGCTAGAATGTAAACATCTTCATGCTTCCGCATTGGGGCCCCAGAAGCCGGGGTCCAGGAGCCCAAGCTCGGCACCTCACCGCAAACAACAACGCGGGTGTTGGGTTTATCCAAGTTCTTTGGCAGCCGGAGCTTCAAGCAAATATCGATGCTTGGAACACGCTGGAGTTCCGGCTGCTCTTCTTCCACACGAGGTGCTGGTTCAAAGCTCGGAGCGGTCTCCTGAGCTGCTACTGGGCTTCGCTCAGTTGGGGCACTCTGGACTGGTGCTGGGAGGCCAGCCTGCGCGGCTTGGGCAGATTGTGCGGCTTCGTAGCTTGCCTTGGCTGCCTTGCTGATCCAAACACACCAGGCGTGTCCTGAAGCACCCTTCTGCCAGTAGTTTCGATCATACTCGGGGCCAAGCTTGGGCCCCAAAGCGACCCTCAGCACTGCTGGAGAACCCATCTCTGCAATGTACAGGTCGTGATCTGCGCGCAGGATCTTTACGACAGAATCTACCTTCATGCCGGACTCTATGCGCAGCCTCATCAGCTTCTTGATGTCATTGCGGACATTGTCGCCCCAGTCACATACATGATCCCAAAAGACACATGGGATACCAGGATGGGTAAGGATGTATGCGTATCCAATCAGGATTTTGTCGTTTGGAAAGGGCCAGTGGGCTTGAGTGCTGCCCGTATCATGATTGTCTAGAAAGGTGACAGCATGAGTGGGCATCCAGCCGATAACTCCTGGAGGCTTGCCTCTTGAATCCTTCAAACGCCAGTACTGGCAGTTCCGGACAGCTTCCTGCAGGACACCTTTAGTGGTGAAGTCAAATGCCGTGGAAGTTTTTCCAGTACCGTTGATCCAATTGATAGTGTCTTGACGGTGTCGATCTTGGTTGTGAGCCAAACCATTCTCGTCATATGCCATGTCAAGCCAGAGTTCTCCCACCGCCCATGAGGGTTCGGATTTCTTGCAATACATTCCGACATACTCTGCCGAATATCCCTTGACAAAGTCAAAGCGCCATCCATCAAATCCCAGTTCCAGGCGAAGCCACCGCAACCAAACTTGGATGCTCTTCTGCACCTTCTGGTTTCCGTGATCGATATCGGGTGCTGCGTCAAACTTGCCATCATATTTTCCTGGCCCTCGCTCGCCGGTCCCATCAGAGAACTTGTCTCCTAAGGTGATGGCCCAACCTTGCCAGTCCATCACGCCGGCAAAGCTTTTGCGGTGCTCGATGCCTGTGCTCGTGAATACATTCCATCGCCCTTCTGAGTCCTGCTTGTCTCCGCACCGGTGGTTGATGACAATGTCTGCCATTCCACGCATGTCAGCCTTATGAAGCTTTGAGAGCAAGCTTTGCAAGGAAGCCTTGTTGCCATACTTGGAGCCATCAACGTTGAAGAGCTGCGAAGGCAAGTAGCCCTGGGGGGCGACGGACTGAGAGCAAGGTGGCAGCCAAAGGTCCGTGATCCCCATGTCTTTGAACATTGGGATTTTGGATGCCACAATGCTGTACCAGTCACCATTGCCGGCCTGATGACTCTCCCAGTTGAATGCCTGCAGCAGTATAGTCCTAGAGGGGTCAGCATAATCTGTGATGTCCTGCATCTCCTGCAGAATTGTGTGGCTGGAAACTCGCCTCTGCCTCATATTGAGATCTGCTCTCTCCAGGTCTTTGACGTGTTGCTCCTCAGCTTCAGCTTCACGGAAAAGCTCCTCGGCATCAAACATCATGAGACTTGGTGTTCTACTCATCTGGAAGTTTGTGGAACCATCTTCATTGAGCATAAGGTGTCGGGATGTGTTCTGCTTCATGAAGGAGGGCCTGCTTTCCGCAGGCTTCGGCGTCTCAGCTGGTGGGGCTGGCGCTTGCGACGCTGCCAGCCGAGAGGTCTCGACTCGGAGATCGGGCTTGCCATACTCGCATCGGATGATGACCATCTTTGGCTCGTCGAGTTGAAGCTGCAACTTCTTGTTGTTGCCGCCCTCCCACTTGGCATCTTGCCCGTTCTCCCCGGCCACAACCACCTTGAACTCGACAATGCTGGAGGACTTGAGTGCCACATCGGCTGACGTCCACTTCGGAAAGCTCTGAGCCGTCGTCATACAAGGGACGCCTGGACATCGCATGGCATTGCGCTAGCTCTGCTTACCCCGGCCAAAGCAACCCAAATTCCCTAGATAGTAATAGTAATAGTAATGATAGTAATAATAGTAATAGTAATAAAAATAAGAACAGGAATAACAAATAGAGCGCCTTCCTCCACTTTCCAGGTCCCGAGCTCCGGAGTTGAGCCCACGATGTACACCGCTTGCCCGGGCTTCGTGCGCGAGCACTCCACGCGGAACTGGAGCACGGAGGTCCCGGAGGTCGTCATTTCGCTTGGGCGAGGTGTGTGCAGCATGGGGTAGTACGGAGCTTGCTTAGGTTTACGGAAAGTACAGATTTGGTACCAAAGCAGTTCAGCAGAGAATCAGCTATTCCAGATCACCTGTGCACCTGCCCATGTTTTTGAGCATTTCATCTTCTGATCATGCATGTCTCGGAATGCAATTGAAACAGAACCAATCAGGGCACAAAAGGCTGCGCAGAAATGCAGAAAAGGTATCACGTACCGTTCCGCAAGGTCCTCACCCCTTGCCCAAAAGTCATCCCCAGTGCAAGCGCATGGCTGCGGATATCCTCGGCCACCCGGTGCCTGAAAAGGAGATTGTCTTCTCTCACTTCAGCTTGACTGATCCCATCTGCTCCGCTTACCACGCCTGCTTCGCATGGCATCAAACTGGCAACATGCCGCAGCCTGACATTACGGTGTCAAAGGGGTCTAAAAGTTTAAAAGGCCACCGAACCTCAGCCAAGACTTCCGAGGTCAAAGACTTGCCCAGGAAGGAGGCCACCCGAGTAATTTCCCCGAGCAGGTCGGCCTGGACATCAAGGCTCTGCGACGCGACTGTTGGTGTTTACCAGCATTTTACAAAGTTATTTCATGGCCCACCGACCTTCAGATCCTCAAAGTAGACAATGCCTGGGAGGGAAGCCGCCACATCTTTGTCCGAACAATTCAGCTCAGGTTCGCCAAACTCATCATTGGAGTTGAGGACCGACCTCTAAACTCGGGACTGAGAGCTACACAGATGCGATCAGGGTGCTGCTTTGACAATTTCCACCTCAAAGCATTCCCAAGAAAACCTGGAATGATCGGCTGCCCCTAGGCGAGCCTACCTAGATCCACAACGCTTGAATTTAAGTGGCAATCCATCCCTTCACATGGTCGAAGTACGACCCGCCATACTCCAGGGATCTGCCGTTGTGAGCAGTCGATGCCACGCAACTCGGACCTGTTGCTTGGCAAAGGCCTTTGTCCGCTGATCCACTGCTCCACCCACTCGTTCCAACCTGCTTTGCATGGCACATGTATCGTCTCATGCGTATCATACAAAGGCAAACTGGGGGAGCTACTACCTTCCCAGCCGATGGCCTGGTTGTTGGCATGATGATGCCTGGCCCCCGAAAGGTCCCACAACTTGAGCGATGTAGGACCATACTGTAGCTTGTGGCATAACGGCATAACCAAAGTTTGCATTGCCTGAGGGAGATCAACGCGTCCTACAAGCATGGCCATCTTCTACCCCTCCACATGCAATATGTGGGAAGTTGTCCTTTGGGTTGCGCGCAACGTAAACCACCTGATGCCAGGAATGGCGGAAAAGCTCACAACATGATCTTGCTGGCATCTCGCACGCCTTGCCGTGCTTCTGCAAGATGTGGTCCTCGCCACGTGCAAGTCCTGGATACCTTGATGGCTGTGATGTGTTCCTACGGTTGGTAGGCGCTAGGACCTGCCTGTTCACGACTGGGCTACCAGGCATGTCGGCAGGCACGTGGCTTTTGAGAATGCGAGGGTGCGGAAGTTCCTCGATCCTTCTGACCTGCTCCAAACGCTTTGCCACCAGCAGCAGCCCTCGCTAAGTGATCTTCATGCCAACGCTTCGGAGAAGGTAGGTCGCCCTCAGTGGCTGGCATAGCTTGCAGAGGATGCGATGCCTCAGCGCAAGCTTTCCTAGGACCATTTGAAGAGCCGTGAGGAGAACTGGAGCTTGAGTTGGGCACTGCCCTCGAGGAAAAGAGCGTGATCCTCCTTGGCTGCTCTGGCAAAGAGGTGGAAGGCCCCTGCATTCCCTGCGCATCAGTATTGATTGCCTTTCTTTTTTGCGCTATGGATTCAAATCTTGTCTTAATGAAGTGAGACAGGTTCCACCGAAACTAGAATAGGACCGATGCGGGGCCCAAGAACCCAGGAATAAGATCACGCAACTCCTGGCGTTCTTCGATGTCGATTCCGCACGCGCGGAAATCCAGAAGCATCGTGGCCAGGCTGCTAGGAAGGCGCTGTAAGAGAGCTTTTGCACCCACGAAGCTTATTCGGCATCGTGCAAAATCCACATGTAGGCAGGCCAAGGAAGACAGCTGCTGCAGACCGTAGGATAGTGCACATGCTCCATCTCGTCCGACAGAGCAGCCACCTAGGCCCAAATGCAGCTTTTCAAGGTTTGGAGGGAAATGTCTCGAGAGAGCGGCACTTCCATCTGCTTGGATGTTGCACCAGTCTAAATCCAAGTGCAAGGTCTTCAAACCTTGGGGAAGGCCCGCTGCCACAGCATTGGCTCCATTGGATCCCAGCGGACAGCCCTCAAATCCCAATTGGAGAGTCTCAAGGCTGGCAGGCAGCTGGGACATGACCACGCAGGCATCCTCGGCAAGGAGGTCACATCCACCGAGCTGTAGCCGTAGTTCTTGCAACTTCTCCGGCAAGTTCTGGGCAATGGCATGGACACCTGTGGCTGGCAGCCGGCAATCCCTAAAATCCAGGCAAAGCTCAGACAAATCTCTGGGAAGGTGTCGGGCCACTGCTCGGGCCCCATCTCCACCAACGGGGCAGCCCCGCATCGATAAATGCAGCTTCTGCAAAGTAGCAGGCAAGAACTCTGCCAGGGCTCGCAGTCCAGGTGCTCCAATTCCACAGCCTCGGAACATTAGCTGAAGATTTGTCAAGCCCTTGGGTAATCTTTGGGCCAGGACGGCAGCCCCATCACTCCCAATGCTGCACCATCGGAAACGAAGCTCTAACTGCTGCAGCTCGGAGGGAAGCCGCGAGACCAAGTGCTGCATGCCTTTACGGCCCATGTCGCATGAGGCGAACCGCATTCCAGACCGAAATGCCAGGTACCAAACATCTGCGCTCTGTAAGCGCCTCCAAGAACTTTTGCAAAGCCGTTGCAGGCAAAAAAGGCCCGCAGGCACGAAAGCGGCAATGTGTAGTGTCACTGCATCATGAGCAAGGGACATGGGACAAACGCGCCATGCAGATGGCTTGAGTGACTGGCCGCTTTGCTTCTTATCACTCCATGAGTAAATGTTGTCAGTGCACAGCCTCAGGATGCACAGGCTCTTACAGTTGCTCGATATTTGCGGGCCCGTTGCGGAGCCTAAAATCCGAATTTTCAGTTTGCAGCATCTCATGACACCGGCTATCTAGCTGCGAGTTGTGAGCCCGGCAAAGCATTCAATGCTTCTCCACGGCCATGTTTGGCACATGACGACACGTGCTGCACACGCTCGGAGAACTGCGTAGTTCGCTTTCGGTCCGAACAAGCAGCTCACCACGATCTGAACCTGCAACTGAAGAGATGCGCTTGTCCGGCACAGAATCCGACAAAACCACTTGAGTGCAACGCATTTTTCGTGCATGTTGTAAGGACACATTGCTACTGTACCAAGACCCTCGCCATCCACGTGGTGCCACAGCGTGGGAAGGTGACAATGAAGACCTGCTTCCCGTGTTCCCCAGTGCACTGGCAAAGGCATGGCCGTATATGCTCTGTTCACATAATCTTCTCAGGCAGCAACATCCTCTGGCTTGCAGTGGAAGACTTCCCGCAAGGCAAGAAACCTTATTGTTCGTGCTGGTTGCAGGCTGCATCTGCAACCCTGTCATACACAAGATGATGACAAGCAAGCTCTCGGAACTGTGCGTGGAAGCAGGATCCAAACCACACAAGCGCTCTGCAGTCGCTATGGCCTACGGAGTGGCAGTCCGAAGATTGACAGGTCAAATTTGGAGTTAATTGAGTTCTGCCGCAGGTAGCCATCCGGCCTCTGAATGGCGCCCAAGTCCTGCGGATTGATCTGAAGCAACTTCCCCAGTCACTACACGACAGCTGCTAGAATGATAAGGTCCTTCCAGGCAGCGGCAGGCCAACGCAAGGCCTCAGCAACTGAACTTCCAACCCAGCACTCTGCACTAAAATTGTCGCCAAGTACGGATTCGAACCCAGTGAGGAGACTGGACATCAGATTGAGGAGATGGCAACTCAAGTCGGTCGGGGCAATCTTCAAAGCCTTCCAAGAGTGAGCATCAATGTTTCTTCCGGCCATTCAGCTCATACGCGAGATTGGTACTTTGCTCCAACGACCACTAAATAGCTGAGAACCGGACTTCTTGCAGTGCAGACAGAGCATCTGAGAAGTCGCCCTCCTTCGCTTGCAAAAACTACTTGAGCAGGCAACCACTCTGAGCCATTTTTTCTGCATGCACCTCCGCCATTATCGCGGCCAAATGGAACCTTGCCTTGCGAGGTGTCGTGCAAGTGCTGCGCCGAGCGGAACACGCAAACACTGGCCTGTGGTAAGCTGGGAATGAAGGAATGGAAAGAAAACGGATACTACTATATTGGGTTATATAATGTTATATAGTGACTACTACAGGGATCCATTCCTTCATTCCTAGCTAGCCATTGGCCAGAACAAGCAGCCTCGACTCGCAGGGGCTCTACACGCATTGCCTTACATTCGAGGCCCCGTCCAAACAAGCAGAGGAACTATCAGACTGCGCCTCTTTCAGCTGAAGCTTCCTGGTACCGTTGCCCTGGGCACGCTCTCCCATCCCAGTTCTCTTGCAATAACGATGATGTTGCTTGTGGAGGTAGGGCGCAGACCGAGTCAAGAGCACAAGCCAAGTTGACACCTCATGGAATGGCCGGGCATTTGCGGATCACTGAATCAGTGAAGGCGCCTGAGGCCGGCACGCAAAGCATACTCCAAAGCACTCGAGCCTGTGCAGAGACTTCCAAGGCTACTGACTCACCGTGCGACCACGACAAATGACTTCTGTCGATTGGTGCCTGGACGGCCTTGACCCTTCAAGCGCTCAAGTTGCAGTACTGCCTCCTGCGAAACCTGCCAGTGGCTTACAATGCGATAAGCTTCATGCTTGGGGCAATTCGGGCCTCTTGTGCCCGCAATCGCTGCCCACCCCGCAGCAATGCCTAATGCTTTGAGGATTTTTGCAGCCACGTTTTGTACAGCAGACTTGTGAACGCAACGCCAATGAGATGCGCAAGCCAGGTTGACTCTGTGCTCCAGTTGGGAGATCTCACTGACTTTGCAGTTGGTGACCTGCACAGTGCGAACACACATTCTGCAAAGCGAACGGAACTTAAACGCCTCTGGACCGGATGTCTTCGCAGGCAAAATCTCAGCAGTGGATCCTCTGCTGGACCTTATGCGCAACAGCTGGATGAGGTTGAGCGGTGGCGTGCATTCTGAAAGCAGCTAATCCAAGATTCAAGTGTCCGACGATATGAGCTTTCGACGCCTGCGAGGTGCCTTGACTATCCAGCTTTGCGCAGTTCCACAATTTTGGCGCTTGCTCGGCTTGGGGCCCATTGGCTCCGCCGCAGATATGGCACCTAAGTCGCGTGCAACCCCTTGAGCGATTTTCACGGGCGCCAATCTGTCTGTCCATGTCAGGCAGGCACACGGCATATTCGCTGCGATGCGTGCAAGCCCTGGGCGATGTCAATCTTGATATTCAGCGGACATGCTGTGGGTCAATAGTCAACGTACAATTCTACCTGATAGGCTGCAATGCGTCAACGGGGATTCCTTGCTTCATGCCTGTAGTGGTCGGGGATATCCGCCCAGCACACACTCCACATCATGATGTAATTTCCCTTGGCTCCACACTCTAATCTCAGCGGAATGCGAGACCTTGAGCTGGTTGCGTTGGATCATCGTGTCTGCGGGCTGCTTGTGCAAGCTACTCAAGGGCACCCACCCTGTGGCCACTGGTTTGAGACCTGACCTGTGCGCAAGCAAACATCTTATTGCAAGAAACATGCTTTGAAGCTGAGCAGTCTGGAACTCAGAGCCTGTGGGCTCGTCCCATCACCAAACCACATTCCAAGGACACTGGTGCGAGGGCCATGGCAGGTAGCTTTCGTGGCTGGCCATCAGGCCGCCGGATAAGAAGTTGCGTTGAATGTGCTATCGGTCTCGGTAGCTTAGTAGGGCCTCCAATTATGCGGTCTCTGTGTTGTAAGGCTGCTGGACGGTGTCGAGAATTTCGACCTTGATGGATGCTCCGGGCCTGCTGACTGGCACCAGACTTCACTGCTTGGCTCATGCTGAGGAGTGACGAGGCCAACTCGCTAGCATCTTCAACGTGCCAGAGACATGCACGCCCTCCTAGAATGCAATGGCCCACCCAAGACCTCCCCACACTGGTCTGCGGCATTCACGTTTTGCTGCCTGTCAAGAGCGCCAGGGCATATCGGCAGGCACCGAGGTCTCTAGACCTCGGAATGCACCATACAGGACGGCACGAAATGCGTCTGCTGCTCCTTTGGAAGGCTTTGCACTCCATGTTTTTTCGGACTTGACATGCTGTCATGGAGCGGTCGACTTAATTGCTGTGCACCCTGGGCGCCCTTTTGCGCAGTAAGGTCTACTGCTTGCTGCTACCCATGACCTCATGCTCACTGCTCTGCCGCTGCGTTAGAGGCCCAAGCACCATCAGTGGCGTGTTAGGCCCCGCTGACTGCTTGTCCAAATGCCGCAAAACAGGCGGAATGCCCATTGTCATCCGCTCAGCCTTGTTTGTCGTGTCCACTTCCGTACCAAGCCTTCGCAAAGAGCAGTCTCTTCCCTTCAACACTTTGCAGCTGCGCAGTATGTTGTTTTTTTGCTACACTGGCCTGGCCCTGCGGCTCCTGCCCAACCTCTGCGCAGCGCTCGAGTTTGCTGCCTTCAGTGCCAAAAAATTGACGGTCTGGAAGTTGCCTCCACCTCACTGCGCTTCCCTGAGGCTCTAGCCCTGTGACCACCAGCTGCCTCGCGCAGTCTCTTTGCTGAAGGCAGCGATCCAAAGAGCGAGAGACGAGAGCCCAAAGGCAAAATGATTGGTCGCTCTACGTTTTCACGCTCGGCCGCGTCACTGCATAAGGTCAGGAGAGCCAGGGCACCTTCTGCACCTACTTCGCGTTCAGAATCTGATCCAGGTATGACTGGCCAAGAGTCGAGTCATACCTCAGAAGCGACTTTCTTATCCTGGCTTGTGAACGTGCAGGCCTAGCTGGACATGTGGACGGCTCCACATGCCATGAGCTCGAGAGACAGCCAACGCCGATGAAAGCTAGAAAGGTGCACCTGATACTGCTACATCAAACTCGCAGCCAGATGGTGTTTGATGGCTGGTAAGGAACGGCACGAAGTCAAACAGTCACGTAGTGGTGGTGATGGTGAGTGAGCTGGTGGACGTGGGGATGAGGAGGATGGGAAAGTAAAAGGGGCCTAAGAAGCAGCAACATAACAAGATGAAAGACGACAACAGAACATCATGAGACGGAGCACTGTACCACGGGACTGGTGATGGTGAGGACTTTGACGATATCATAATGGCCCTAGCCAAGTGCCACAACCAGCATCTGACTGTGGCGGAATGGATGTTGACGCATTCTGAAGATTATGAATCATGATTGTGCTACATATCATCACGCTCACCATGTTTGTTAAGTAGTGTTTGTACCGGTGTGATTGTTGCCCTTCTGGGACAGAGGATGGTACTGTAGTGATGGTGGTGGTTGCGGCGGCAACGGCATGATGATGATGATGATGATGTTGATGACTTCTACGACGACGAGGAGGATGATGATGTGGTGGGAGTGTGCCAGCGATGGTGGTGGGGTGGCGGTGGCAGGCAGAACAATGATGGCAGTAGTGCGCATCATGCATGCTGAAGAAGAATTCAGCATTGATGGCAACAACTATAATCCTGATGGCAGCAGTGATGGGCAGACTTCATGAGAGCCTTGACTTCTGCAAGCGCTGCATCCCCACGGCCCCTTCAACAAGACCAACGTCTGAGGAAAGCTTCCAAGGCCTGCTCAAAACTGTGATAGAACCAGCTTGCGCAAGCTTTCGTAACACCCAATGACATTGCAATGAAGTAGCTTCTGCAGAACGTGCAGGACGACGTCGTAGGAGTGATAGATCTCGTGCAGGATCAGCGCCTAAAATGCAAAAGGCCATGACATGAAGGTGGCTTCTTTTCAGTGAACGCTTGGCAGGGCACGAGTTTGAGGAGCTGGTCTCTGGAGTGGCTCTGCAGTTCCCAAAGGTCACGGACGTACACCGCGTCGGCCCAGAGTTGCTGGGAGATGGGTTGCAAAGGGTTTGCCGAAAGATGCAGGGGCTTCATAGGCCTCCCGTGCAGCGAAACGAAACGGTGGAACACGAAGCCCTGACCTCGCAAGAAGCTATCCACATCCGCAAAAAGTGGCTGGTGCTCGTACATGTCCACAAACTCGACCTCGCATGCAGGGGCGTGACAGCATTGGGGCAGTGGGCAGGAGATGTCTAATATCAAGAGCTGACTTGAGAGCCTCTGTATGAACCACCAGGACATCCTTGAGAGCCTGCTCGGCTCCCTTCAGTACAGATAGCTCGAAGCCCTGCACATCGATCTTCAAGTAGTCAACTCCTCTGCCCGGAATTTGAGGCAAAAGGTCATCAAGCCTCCTAGTTTCCATCTCGCTGCGCTCCACAACTGTGGTAACCTCCTCTAGCTGCACAAATCGGCGCAGCAGCGGAATGTTAGGTTCAAGCATTGAGGAGGTCATCGCTGCAGAACAGCGGCGGAATTGTCCCCGAGAGCCATCGCCCAAAGCCCAAGGAAGGAATTTGAAAACGCAGGAGCTGGAGCCTCCGTCAGCGCCATCTGCACTCAAGCTGTCAATCAAGGTGTTGAGCCGATCGCACTCTTCTGAGCACGGCTCGAAACCCACCACGGATTCACAGTGGCCTCTTCTCTGCAGTGGACGCCAAACTTCCTCGGCCTCGTCGAGGAACATTGCGCCTACATCAACGACTCGAGTCCTGGGCAGAGCAGCCACGCCACCCTTTGCAAGAAATTCCCGCAAAGGGAAAAGAGGCGGCGGGTGCTTCGGCGCTGATGCAGCAGGCGTAGCTTGACCATTTGGTGTAGCAGAAGGTTGAGGCGGACCGGATGCTGTTGATGACGTGCCAGCCGGTGCCGACGCCAGTGCAGGCTCCATCAACAACGAGCTAGGCTAAGTTGGCTAAACCTTCCAACATCAGCAGGTATAGCTGTTGACTCGCTATACGGTGCTGGCAGGGTGCATGCGCATAGAGAGCCATGCGCAGTTTGTTGCTCGGTCAGTATTGGAAATTTGTGACTGAGGCATTGTGTAGACAGCTGCCGGCTAATAGCTGCAAAGACTTTACCCACGTGCCGCTTCATGGTCCTAATCATGTTGTACAGCCTGTTCACCAGCCAGAAGAGATACAGTTCCTATCTCCATGGTTGCGGAGGTCCAAGCATGACATGCGCGGCAGTTGAAGTTCGACACAGGCCTATGGAAATCGTCGACGTGTCCGTAGAAGCCCATTGAAAGTTGGAGCTGCCACGATTGCGCCTGCAGATTCGCCCAATGGCATATTTCAAATTTAGATGCCGGGGGGTCTATGTGCATAGAGAATGAAGACGAATCGAGTAGGATGGCATGATACAACAAGCGTCCTAGCTCATTGTTGACTTCATGTCTGCAACTGATTTTTGATAATGTTTCATCTACTGTACTCTGCAATCTTCAGATCCCTTCCACAAAGACCTCCCTAGTGTTCATGTCAAAACAGCTATATAGAACCCGCAGGACGATGGATTTCATTTGAAATCGCCAGATGCAAAAATGCAGCTGAGGATCAATGTGGTGCCATGCTGGCAACTATCTTCTCACCATGTGCGAGCCGATAGCAGGGTCCACGCACAAAGCCAGGGTTGCCATCGCCAGGCTCAGTCATAAACAGTTCGCCTAAGCTGCACTGTGTGCATCACATCAATCAGTGCCTCTTTGCCAAGGGCAGAGCCATTGCATGGCAACAGCTTCAAGGGAGGCAAACTGCCTGCATTAGAAGATTACGGTTTTGCCAGGAGCTGCAGGGCGCCTTGTTCCATCAAAGTGGATGGACTTATGTAGAGGACGGCATGTGCACGAAAGGCTGTGTGAAAATCAGGCTCTTGAGTTTGTGCATCTTGTCTACTGTCTTATCAACCCCCCTGTGTACCAACTAGGTGGAAGTCCGTAGTTCATAAACCCCGGGTGGAACCTGAGGCCCTCACTTCGGCTCCGCCTGAATTGGAGCAGCTACGGGGAAAGGCGCGCGGCCATCACTTGAGCCATGCAGCTGCACAGCCGTTCTTCCCAAAGCCGATGTTTGCTCTGCTGGGCGTCAGACCCTGAAGACCTTCCTGAGACCTTGCTTCACGGACAAATATGACTGCTTAGTCATGTTTGCCTGTCGCTGCGGAGACTAGGCGCATGGCACTTTCTTCCCTGCAACTGCACAGGCGCATCCTTAGTCTCATACGCACTCACTTTAAGATGACGACACAGACTTCTGGGGAGTGGACTCAAAGCCTGCTGTGGATCTGCACCGTTTCCCAGCGCCTCAGTCGCTTCTTGGACATGGCGTGCAGCCGTGACAAAAAGAACTGAAGCCGCCGCGCACAGGCTTGCGGCGACAAAAGTGTCGCCAGCACCCAAGGAATCCACGGCCTACCCCACGGCTAAAAGTCAAAGCGTGGATGCAGGGAAGAAGCTTCAGTAGCGCGGCTGCGGCGGCCTTGACCACAAGCGCCCTCTCAAAGTAAACCTCGCCAGGCCAGACAGCCAAGACACCGTATTCGCCTATTGCAGCTGCTGCTGTGCTTCTTGTTGTCGTTGCTGCTGGCGCTGCTTTGAATACTATGCCGGTAGCAGAAGTCAATCCCTCATCTCATGGCGCCTCGCCGTCAGGAAGCTCCTTAGCTATTGGGCATATTTTGAATCTGGAAAACTTCTGGACACCAGGGACAGGGAAGAAACGATCTGAAATGTAAAGCTGCGAATCGCAATGCCTTCAGAATGCGGGCTTTGCCTCTAGGCTTCAAAAACTTCCTGCTCTCAAGAAGTTGGGCAATCGAAGCCCTTCCCAAGGCAATTTTTTGCACTTCAAATTGCTGGTAACAGCATGTCGGGCCCCTCCATGAGCCCAGTGATTCAAGCTGAGCCCTTGGCCAGCGCAAACGCACCAAAGGCTCCCCAGGGACAGATCTGCAGCCAGGGTCTCAAGTATATGTTTTGCTCGATTGATTCGGACGGTCTCAGGACACTGCCCACAGCGCTTGCCGGCAGTTGGCCTGCTTTGCCACATGCCAAGTCAACCACAATTACACCACCCCCTCCCTCTGCCTTGGCTGCCAGGGCCTGCAAGCACTTGACGGCTAAGTGCGCCCGCCTTGGCCAATTCATGTTGTGGAGCCTGCGGAAAACAAGTGATCCCAAACTCGGGTCCTGGCCAGTTCTGGTTGCTTTGACCAGGGGCGGATGCGGTGGCAGCCTGCAAAACTGGTTTCAAATGATTCCTCTGGAGGCCAAAGCTCCTCCACAGCCTCCTCGCCAAGTAAGTCGGAGGCTCGGCCCCTCATAAAGTCACTGGAGAAGAACGCCACGTCACCTCAGCCCAGTTGCGCTGCAAAAGCTAGCAGCTTCTTGCAAGGCTTTGGCTTCCAGCAACGCTGCAGCAGCGGAAGAAGAGCCGCCACTTCGAGGTTGGGTTTCTCCACCTCCAAACTGAATGGGTGCATCAGAGCGTTGTCCCAGCATTAAATAAACACCTTCTGCAAATATCGGCCTCAACTGAAAGGATTGGAGTCAGGGGCACCCTGCGTGCAAGACATCCACAAGCCTGATTTGTTCCTATGTACTATGCTGACCTGAAGTCGGGCACTTCTGGGCGCAGAATTGATGCCATTTGGAGCACCTGGTTCCGAAGCACGTGGCTGTGATTGCTCCAACTTGTTTCGTAAAGAAATCTTAAGCGCATGACTCCGGGCATCTGGCGGCATTCCAAGTGACACCTCTGAACATGGTGCGGGACTGATCTTATCTGGGCTAGAAGGGGATAAGGGAATATGTCATACAGGGATTATGTTCCCGTATTCCCTACTAACCCCCAGTAAGTAATTGCGAAGACTCTCTCCTTGAACTCTGGTGCACTTGAGCTGGGGCTGGTACCATCCGGCAGGCTCACCAGCGGCTTTGACCTCCCAATAACCCTTGATAACGCTTGAGGACCGACGAGGGGTGTACGGACACTTAAATGACACATGTGATCTCTCCGTGCACCAAGGAAAGCTTACACCTGCAGAGCTCTGAATTATTGCTGCGGGGCTAGGGTGCTACGTCATGCAAAGAAGCAGCAGGTGCAAAATTTCTTGCATGCGCATGCTGATGATCTATTGCCTGCTTGAACACCTCATGTAGGTGCTCCGCGCGCATCTCGCTAAGACCACGTCGCCTTCTGTGGAGAGCTCGCGAGTTATAGGAAGAAACTGCTTGGGCGTTTCATACAGATGCAAATACCATTCACCACCAAGTACTTGTTGGCAGACTTTGCACATGCCACTTCCAAGCCACGCACGATGAAATGATCGTACGCGCTCCGGAGTCTGCACCTTCAACGCTCACCAAGCCCCAAAAGCCCAAAGACCGCTCCATAATTACACGTTTGCCAAATGTCTCAAGATATCTTGCTTACTACTCAGATTGGCGATCACGAGCAACGTTCAGAATTTCAAACCAACCAGCTGACATCAGCGGACATTCCTAAGCACAGAGCTGAGCAACACGAAGCTCGTTGGCAGCCCGGCACCATCCGCATCCTGGTTTCTCTTCATCTCACAGTCACGCTCTGCAAAGGCTAAGCTGAGTCAGCAACTTCCTGGAGCAACCTGAGCCATCATACGAAAGAGACTTCAAACCTGCTTCTGATGGGAAAGTGGTGGGCATTCCCTGATCTGAGCTCCTGTGAGTGCAAGTTAGGAGCCGAGGCACGATGTATCAACTCCTAGAAGTCAAGTGTGCTTCTGCAGGCCCAAGTGAGTTTGTGGCCTGCCTGCTGCGTGAAGACTTGCCAAGGCGAACTGGGCATCTGCATCCCCTTTGCTAGGGATGATGCCTGCAAAACGGAGATGTGAGACGCTGGCAGCTGGCGGTGACCTGCTGATATGTGACAAACAAGGCCCGGGCCCAATGCGCTCACGCGCTGCCTGCCAGGAGTCATGGTCTCTGTTGTATAAACCGCTTTAATGACCAAATCCAGCGCGGCCCTACCTTTTTTCACCACTTTGTTAGAAGTACGATTGGATAGCATACTTGGGATTAGCATCCGTTGTACCAATTGCATTCTGTAGCGATCCGACCCTGGCGGGACCAGCTGCTTGAGCACCTTTCACGAAGCGCAGGCCACAGTGTAAGGAGAACATGCGGTTTCTTTTGTATGAGCATCTTCGTAACATATCATACCATATCATATCAAACCCATATGTGCACATCATATGGTATCGAAAATTCAAAGCAATATAACATATGAGATAGACAGCCAGGGCGTTGGCTCGGCAGCTGTTGGCGCCATTGCCTACAAGGCCAGCGGGCGGCTAGCGTGGCACTTGCAACTGTACTGCTAGCCCTGTGTCAAGCTGTTCAACTTTTACTCTTAAATGCCTGTGCTTTGCACGGGATGGATGTCCCTTTCAACAGTGGCAAGGATGGAAAACCAGGACATTTGATGCATCGCAAAAGGGAGTCAGGGGTCACTCCGTCAACAGGGCTGATTGTCCATCCATGGGGGTCTTGCTGACCATGGGAGCAACGATTTCGAACTTGCGACAGGAAACCCTCCACAGATCCTCACTTCTAGCAAAATCCAGGTAGAAAGCTTCGGGCCTCCCAGCGTTTTGGTGAAGGATGTTGCCCTGCCAGGATTGCCAAAACGAGTGCACTGTTCAGCTTCGCGCACGCTACATCTAGCGGCAAAGCTGACCGTGTATTGATATGTATTGGTTCTGCTGTTTTGCCCGTGCTGTACAAACGGAGGAGCGCTCCACATCAGTGGGTCAAGCGAGCAAGTACGAGCAAAACCGAAAGTTACCGAAATCAATCAGCTGCTAACTCGCTGCACTCACGTTGGCAAGTGCCGTCGAAAGTCGGATGTCCTTTGACATGACGGCGCCAGCTGTCTGCGTTGACACTCGAGAAGCTGTCAAGGTCCTAGTTGGTTCACATTCAAAGGTCCTGATTGATTTCGTAGATCATCGCGCCCACTGCCCAATCGATAGGTTTGCCAGCGTGCGATGTCTTGAAAACGAGGTTGTTCTGCTCCTGTGAAGTGCCAAAAGCTGTAGCGAGGCTTGCCCAAATGTTTTTAGCCACGAGCAGTCCTCCATACCATAACCAAAATTGAGTAGAACATACGCGAAGGTTGCATGAAAGCACAAGTGAGTGCGGGAATAGTTGTCCTGCAGCACAGTACATATCAAGGAGAGCTTCTGTTGCCGTGACCCACCCAAGCCCTCCTCCACGCGGGAAAACAGCGCGTCGAGGATCTCGAGGGTCAGGGAGCACCTTAGAGCTGCATGGTGCGAAGTTGCGAATCGCTAAACACAAAGAACAGCAGGGCCCAAACACGTACTGCGTGGCAGCTCTGAAGTCCTCGAGCTGTGCCGTCTCGGGGAGGCCGAGATTTTTGGCAATGAGTGCGAAGTGCGCCTCAGGCTGCATCAGCTGCCAGACTCCATGGCTACCTGCACAGTTTGCAAATCCCCAAAAAAACTTGCAGCCATGGTGCGAAAGCAAGGAAACGCTCTGTATAGAGCCGTGGCTGATATACTCCATAGAATGAGCCTCAGGTTCACATTGCTCCGGCCAAGCGCCTGGCCCGTCACCATGCTTCAAGTGCAAGCAAGGGGCATTGCGCCACCAAGCATGGGGCATCTTTGTTGAAGATCCTCTTCATCAATTTTTCGCATTGCAAGAAGTCGCTAGTTCCCTGCATCTGCACCTGCCGCAGGCAAAGAGATGCTTCCCCTGTCTTCAATGCAGAGTTGGCCGAACGACTGCCTTGATGGCATGAAACCTGGCAGTGTTGTACGAGAACTTTGGAGTGTAGATGTAGCCTTTGGCAAAACATGGGTGATAGACTTCCGTCTCCTTGGTTTTTAAGTAGATGTCTCTTGAAAACATGCCCATCTTCGCATCAAAAACTGATGACTTACACTAATTAAGTTGGGTGGCAGACTGGACAGCCAGAAGGGCATCAGAAATCACCCGGCTGGCAGTGCTGTGGGCAGCCTTCCAGTGATTTGCTGCTCAAGTGCGCTGCTGTTGAAGCTAAAGGCATCTCAAGGCCTCCCGCACTCCGAAATGCAGGAAGGAGAACGAGTAAACTTGTAGCCGGTGTGGACCTCCCGGAATAGGTTTGACCAGCCGAAACTTTGTGCTCCTTTGTGCATTGAGCCGCTGGCCCAGCTTCAAGGGGAATGCGTGCTGAATAATCGACTTCTGGGGCATGAAAACGATTTGAGCCTTGGTGCTGTCCCATCCCATCCTTCATTGAGAATCTGTTACCTTCTCGCCAAGGCACCGAAGCTCCACCCAAATCCAGGGAGCCAACGGTAGTGTTTGATGAAGGGTTGCGGGCTGGCCCAAGGTTGCCCATCAAGTAGTTCCTCCCAGGCTTTCACTTGCAGCAGATTCAGGTCACATGGGGGGAGATGCTTGGAGGCCCACGCAGAAATCCAGCCGAAGACCCCCTCTTCCTGCAGGCGAAGCTTATCGCCATGCTTCAAGCCCCATCTACCCGAAGCAGTCAGGTGAGGTCCTCACCCGTGGCAACCGATGCCATGTCATTGCCTGTACCATCCAATGCAGCAATCAACCCGATTCCCCCTTCATCCCACTTCACCGGGAAAGCCAAGAGGTTGACGGAACATGAAGGGTGAAGTCTGGAAGTAGGCTCGAATGTCTTCCTCAGGAGAGGCATTCAACTCCAACTTTCAAATAGCTCACTCATGACGTTCTACCAAATACAAAAGGAACAGAAAGAGATTGCTTCTCAGCTATGCATCCAGGATGGCTTCACGCTCATCTGGATAAAGCAAGCGCATGCCAGCTGTAGCTCGCAGGTAAAGAGGAGTTTGGGGCCAAAAGGCCACTTCCTGAAGTGCAGTTGCTCGCTATATAATCCCTATATAGAACCCTTCAGGTCTATGAATCCATCCGGCTACATCAATCGAGCTGAAGGTCGTGCTTCAATTGCTGCTTCATGTAATCCAGCAGTGGCTTCAAAGACTCGCCGGCTTGATTGGGATGCTGTGCAAAGGATGCCACTCCAGGCTCCGTGCCTTGGGTTTGGGGTTTCAACTTTCCGAGGGTTGTGGTGCATCTTTAGATCCTCCTTGGAAGAACTGGGTTACTTGGAGCGCATAGATGGCGGACTGCAAATTCGTCAAGGCAAAGTTCAACTAGTCAAGTCATCCCTCTCCAGAGGCAAGCGGCTCAGATCACCCACTGACTCAGGAGAAATGATCTCGCCTGCACCAGCTTCTGGGTATGATCGGATGGCTAGTGCATGTAGAAGGATGAGCTTCCATCTGAGCTGGCCGCGATTCGTGTCTGCAGGTTGCCAGCGCAGTACGTAGATGCGCGATCCTTCGCTGCCTGTTGATGTTTTAGACTGAATCTAGCTGACAAAGAGAGAGATCGGCTTTTGTTGATGTGGCGAAGGGACCCTGTGCATGTCGGTGCTCTGCACTTCGTTAAATCTTCCGGGTATGTGCTCAAGATGCTCATGCGCATGCGCTGCCAAGTGGCCTGCATCGATAAAGGCACCTGGCATGGAGACGCAACATGATTCTGACAAACAGTCGCAGCTGGCAGGTCACATGAATCAAACAAAAACTCCCCAAGGGGCCGTATCGCCAGACCGACTTTGTGTTCGCCTTCTTGCTCCAACGCAGTTGCTTCAAGACGCTGCTCTTCCTAATTGCTAAGGGCTGGACAGCGACTGTTGCTGGAGACAGCAGAAGGACGAGGATCCGAAGCAGCATGTTGGTTCTAAGGTTCATGGATCTTGCGTGTTCCAATGTCTGGCTCAATCCGCGTCTACCCAGGCATCCCTGCGACAGTGCGACAGCGTATCATGATGTGCCTCTTCAATTCAAGGACTTCATATCTAAGTATGTAGCTGCAGTAGCCCTGCCCTGCACAACTTGCGTCGTCTGTAACTTGGTGACTTGTGCACTTCGCTTGAAAGCTGGTACCGCAACGCCATGCTGGAAGTCTCAAAATTAGCGACGCCCCTATCCGGCATCATTCAAGCTGAGTCCGCTTCATGCCCTGCCTCTGCGAAGAATCCTCTTTGGGATACGTTGGGACCTCTGCGTCCTAGCATGCCTCCTTCTAGCCTTCGGTCCTAAGACCTCTAGCAAAAAGATCTCCGGCCTGCAGGACGCAGTCAAGGCAAATGTTTCCGTACAGCAAGAAGCCGCCTGCTGCAACTGTAGGCCTTCACTGCATGTTATGCACGAGAACGCGTGGTCTTTTTACGAGACTGTATCCCGAACCGCTCCAATTCTGGACTGATCTAGTTGCGCGCTAACATCGCGTTGATAGCATCGTGGTGAAACTCTGGCTTTGCCAGTGCATGAGGTGCTCATTAAAATCTGCTTTTAATTTGTTAAGGCATTGGAATTGGATCCAAGAGTTGAGTCCAAATACTTCTGGAGTCTATCTTCCACACCATCCTCGAAGCGTGGCTTCGACAAATCCTTCGTGGGCCTCTTTGGGAAGAGCGCCGCTTGTGAGCGAAATCTATGCTTCAACACGTGCCTGAGACGTTTACGCGAGACGTCCATTCCTTTTTGGGTCAACATCACGCGCACGGCGCCGCAGCAGACCTGTCGCACAGTTGCCAAATAGTTTGTTGTCAATACCAGGTCCACCTGCACTGTTACTTCTGCCCGCTCGGAAGCTAAAATGTTGCCATGCTCTTGAAGCTGGCTCGACGCTTCCTCCAGAATCTCATGGTAGGTTACGATGTTATAAATATCGTCTTGTACCTCAAAGTCCGAGTCTGAAGGCGCCAAAGTGAAAACAGCTCCTATCCAATCCATGTCAACAAGGTATGTGGATGTACAGCCAGGCACATAGTGGCAGCTGTCATGGCCGTACTTCTGCGCCCCATGCTTGACCAGCGCTGGGTTTTCAAGCTTGGAGCAAAGCTTACCGTCAGCATAGATCATGATGCCCAAGAGAGCAATATCACTCGAGCGGATCCATTCTGGGTTGCCCTGCAAGGCACTGAAAGGCTTCAAGGACAAGTTTAGTTAAGGTCTTTGGCAGAACTCACAACCATCAAAAAGATGAGACAAGATAACTAGTGATTTTCTGCTTCTGCCTCGTACTTGCCCAAGCAAATCAGGCCAGCGTGAACCGGTAGCGCTGCATGAAAATACAATGGCTCTGCCGCATCGACCTGCTCCACCCACACCTGGAGGCACGCTGCTCTTGGGCGCGAAGCTGCTCATGTTACTGTACTACGGTAAGCCTCGCGATCATGGTGGCTCTCGGGGGGCTAATTAGCTACTCGAGGCGCAGAAGGAGCCAAACTCTACTCAAGGCTATGAAGAGACCCGGTTATCAAGAGATGGCGGCGAGTTGTTGCTTTGAAGAGCTGCCATCAAGGCACCTCCATTCTGGGATAGGCGGGGCCAACCTTGAAGGTGGATGCAAACTTGACCTTCCCTGCAAATTTGCCCCAGGTGTCTACGAACTCACGGTCCACCACAAGGTGCTCTGCAGGTCTAGGATGGGCTTGGTAGCCTGCAGGGTACCCTTGCATCTCGCTTGTAGAGCACATGCGCATTACACTCACACGTCAAAAGCAACAGGAATCACGACCACTTTAACACTTATTGGCATTGGTCATGCACTCCTTCCGAGTCAGCTGCATCCTTCCCAACAAATGGCCCACGAAGGATCGGATTCGTCACTGGCCGAGGAGTCTGAAGTTGACGCAGGGCATCCTTGATGCGCTGCCTTATGGGCCACACATCGTCTATCCTGGCCTGAATCTTGCGGTCCAGAAGCCAATCCGAATCTGGAGGCGTCTTGGAGGGCGACGTGCGCAAGGCGCTATCCTTGGGCTTGCTCAGTTGCTTCAGCTGCACGTTTTCCAGTAAGGAGCCGTCGGGAAATCGCACCTGAAACACTCCATCCGCCGTTCGCCGGATGAGCTCTGCCACAAATTTCTTGGCACCATGCGTCTCGACCCCAACGGCGACTTCACGTGAATGAGGGCTCACCCAATCGAGCTCGTGTAAATAGAGACCCTGTAAGTACTGCTCCTCCACGCACTCGGTCTCCCCGCTGTCAATCTGTACGGTATACTCGTAGTTGTGTCTCTGCAGGGCAGCACAAACACCAGTGACTTTTCCGAATCGTAAACTCCCGCTAAAGTCCCGCTTGCGAGATTCATCAATTTTGACATAACATCCCACGCGATGATTGCTAGCAGGTGCCGAGCCCATTTCAGCGGGCACCTGCAAACCTTAGAACTACAGCTTGAACCAATTTGCAGCGTAACATCCATCAGGGTCACACCAGTGGGCCCCCGAACCTGAAGCAACTTTACAAGGCTTCTGTGCCAAAAGCGTTGACAAGGTGGGCTCGCGCCCTGCAACTTCTGCGGAAGAGGAAAGAGCTTTTGCGAAGGATGCTCCTGCAGCAAGCCACAACATCAGTTTGCGCACATCTCTGCGAGCTCAGCTGCGCTTGTCTTGTTGTGAGCCTCGTCTTCCCGTTTGCGCTTCATTCTTGGACGGCAGGCACCCCGGGTAGTGCAAACACAAAGTCTTAGCCTGCAGTACAAGCTCTGGATACCTGTTCTGATAGCTGCGAATTACATTTGCCCTGTCTGAAGCCACTGTTGTTGCTCGAGCCGATCGACCAGAGTAAGATTCTGAGCCGCGAGGCCTTTCAGCTTTTGCCTGTATCATGGCATGATGCAGCCGCTGGCTTTTTTCTAAGTCTCTTTGAGCTTCAGCCGCTGCAGAGCTTCCCTGGCAAACCCCAGCTCCTTTGCCACTCTGGCACGGTTGAAGATCACTGGACAACCCACGTTGAGGCACGTCTCCCGGATCTCACCCTTACCCTTCTCTGCATCAGGCGCAGGCTGGTCGGGTGGTAGCTGTGGAAACCTGCAGCCAGCTCAGCACTCCAAAGTCTAAAGCTCCAGAGCTGTCAAGGGTGCTTACGAGATCTCCATTCAACCCAAGAGGATGCCAACAAAAACAAAACAATAACTGGTTTCTGTGTATGAGGCAGGCTACGCGCCGGAAGGAACTTTGCACTCTTGCTGGCAGTGCAAGCGCAAGGCATCCAGCTGTTCTCGCAAGGCACGGACTTTGCTCAAGGACTGCTCTTGCAACACTGGCAGCTTGTCATCGCATCTTGTACAAACAGCTGCACCGTTGCTGACATCGGCAGAGCACGCCAGGCATTTGGGCTTTGGTTTCATAAACTTTCCCATGCCCGCCTTTGAGGTTGAGGACACCACCACCTTCTGAGAGTTAAGGTTTCCAAACAGCAAGCTTTCGGCTTTCTGCGCATCGCCGCAAACGAGCTCGAAGACTCTAAGCAACGGTTGCTTCAACTGGTGCTCCAAATAGTAATCAGCATCGATAGGTAAATCGTTTTCTAGCGCATAGAGAGGGTCCTCCGCCTTTTCATAGACTTTGGCCTTGGCGGTTCCTGCCAGAACCAGGTAGGAAACACGATCTCCCAAGCGCGGAGCCGTTGCCGGGTCTCGCTTCTTCAGCTTTTCAGCAACTTCTGCATGAGGCATTTTGGATGCATACTCGTTCCTTCCCAGCGATTTTGAAATTACCAGGGATTTGAAATCTGTCTTGCTCTGCCGCAGATCATTGCACACATCGCGCACGTATGTAATAGCTTTCTGAGAGCCGTCAGACCCATCGGGTGTCATCAAGTGCTTCAGTGTCTCCTCCAGGCCGTGGCGAACCAAATCGCACCAATCACGTCTAACAGTTTCGATTCCTTTGGTCTCCAGCTCAGGTGCCTTATCTACAGAAGTGAAGGCCAGGCCTGCATATCGCTTCTTGGCCATTAGCAGGAAGGGCCGGTAGATTTTCTCAAACTCAAGGCGTACAGGGGCTGGAAAGATGGAGGAGCACACTTTGCAAGCCTCGTTGCTGAGTTTGCTTGCCTCTTCAAGAGGGAAGCCTTCAGGGCCAAACTTGACCATCACAGAATCTGTATCTCCGTAGACAACCTCCGCATTGTGGGCATAGCCGTTTGTAATTGAAAAGTGGGACTCCACCTTTGCCTTGGTTGCCTGGATCATCTCCCTTCCAAAGGCAGTGACGGCGCCTGCAACTTCCAAGCATGGCAGTGGGCCGTTGGTTGCCCCCGTGAACCCGTAGACAGAGTTGGCAGATAGTTTCAGGGCCAGCTGGCGTCCGTGGAGTACTTTGCGGCGTGTGGCTGCTGCCTCGCCCGAGCAGGTGGCTAGCTGGGACTTTGCCGCTTTTCTCGCTGCAAGCAACCGCTCAAGGATGGAAGGAAGGAGCCCCTTTCGGACGTGCGGCTTCACGAAGCATGTTGCTTGGTCGCTCAAAGCCGGGGGGGACTCGGTAAAGTCTGGACAGTCCGGCTTCTTTTCGCGACCTGGAGGGAGCAAGGTGGAGTAGCAAAGGTTGTGCGCCATCATGATGGACGGGTACAGAGAAGCGAAGTCCAGGACGGCAACCGGGCAACGATAGAAGTTGTTGATGGGCTCCAGGACCGTGGCACCTTCATAGGTCGCTTCTTCGCCGGTGCCTGAAGACATTGCATGGTTTGGTGATAGGGCCGCTAAGTACTTGCTCAATGCGCACGTCTCTCCGAGTTGCCCTGTAGCGCAAGTCAATGATGTGTTAGCACAGAGACATGGCAAGAATACCGAAGGGACCAGAATCATGAGGCAGCAGTGGCAAAGGAACAACGGCAAGGAGTTCAAGGTAAGGTGCAGAAAGCAGCAATAGATAAGGACCCCTCTCTGCAAGGCTGTAGTAGGCATGGGTGGAAAACACATGGGCGACGAAGACGTGAGCTGCAATTCACTACTGTCTCGAATTGTTTGCAGCCTGCCTGGTCGCTGTGGGAGGACAAACCCTCTCACTCGAGCTTCACGAAGCAGCTGCGTCTGGACCTGCGAAGGTGCAGGAGTGCGAAGTCCTGTAGATTAAAGCCTACAGGATTCTCCACGGCCTTGATGGCTTGGCCACGCTCGAGCAAGTATGACAGGGGGCAACCGGTGACCCGCGCCATCTCCTTGTACAGCAACATTGTCTGCAATTACAATTGCAGAACATTGCACATCCTGATCTGCCAAGCCACGATGAAGTTGTAGAGGTAGGCGAGGTGATCAAAGATGGCTGCAGATGCTTCTGCTTGCCGGAGCACGTGCTGTGCGTACGCGCGCGGGCGTCCGTCAAGGATGTTTTTAAGAGTTGCTGCGCTGAGCTCAGACAAAGGTGTTCGGCAAAAATGCTGGGATAGGGCACCCAAGGAGTAATCCACCAACCGATGATCTTTCTCCACCTGCTTCTGTAAGTCAAAGCCCAATCGTCCAGTGATGCCAGACACCTCGTTGCTCTTTGCTGTAAGCTTGACTTCCACTCCCAGGCGCCGGGAAAGGCTGCGAGCCAGCGGAGATCCTGCTTTGGCAACACCTTTCTTGCCCAGCATCCGGCGCACTGTCTCTGGCAAGTCATATGTCAGAATGATATCGGCATCCATCATGGCCAATGTCCTGAGATGTGCCAACTTGAGTGGCAACTATAGCACACTTCAAAAACAGCTTCCGGCGGTGAAGATACTGCGGCTAGGGCTCTCGCCAAAATGCTGTAGCAAAACATCTTCATCGTCTGCCACGAACAGAACGGGCGCTTCCTTGACCGGCTCCTGGTCCTGCTCTCGCCAGACCAGGCCCCAGCAAGCACAAAACTGGCCTCCGCTACGAACGCACTTGGATCTTTGACGCGTCCTGTGGTGCTGGCTCCTGAGAAGCCTTAGTAACATTTGACAGCTTCTTGGCTTGAATCGACGCCTATCGACGCTTGCAAGGCCCTAATCCCATTGCTTGTGGATCCAAGGACAAGCGGCTTGCGAGCGAAGCCACACTGCTCTGGCTGCCGGTTGCGCTTGTCCCTCCACGATCATCACGCAGGCAGCGCCCATTACCGATTGAGACTCCGCATCAACCTTGCGTCAGCATTTGAGCCACGAACTATATAAGCTCATGTCAACTCATGATATCTCATGATCCAGCTGCAGTGCAGGGCGCTGATAGCTCAAGAGCAACAGTACGCAGTGGTGGAACAAGAGATCCCGCATCTGTGTCCTTGCACGAACTACATCACAGTACGTGAACGTTGCCCAGCGTATCCAAGCATGCTTGTCGGTTGTAAGCCTCAACGTTTAACAAGCTTGCTCCAAGCTGCTAGGGGCAGTGCGTGGAACTTTGTGCCATGTCCAAGGTGTACGTCCAGCTCAAGTTGTGTAGACGTACTCCTTTCAGGAGCACTCATCGGTGTAACAACTTCGCTGGCATGCTGCAAGCGGGCCTGGAAGCTTGGTTCACCAAGAAAGCCCCGGCTTCAAACCTGACTGTTTGATAGTGAGTGGGAATTTGCCAAGCTCTTAGTACTGAAGCCAGGCCGCTCGATCCACCGCCCACCTCCCAAGTCATGGTCGATCAGGAAGCGCAAGATTAAGGCCTCACATGCAGCGCCAAGTCTGAGATATTCCTCCAAGGTGCAACAGATTTCCAGCTTTGAATGCCGCTCAGAAACTATGTTTGCTTCGAAGGCTGCAGTACTCTGTATTTGCAGGCTGCCCAGCTGCAGGTTTTCGAGAGCCTCTGCATCTTAGCAAGAGCTGCGCCCAAACGCACCAGAAAAAGAATCACGACTTGGTGGGCTGCCTTCAAGCACGGAGACACAAACCTTAAGTGCGGTGCTCCAGGCCATGGTGCACTTTGAATATCTAGTGACTGCAGCTCAAGACAAGATGAAACTTTAAGTCGAAAACTTTGGGGTGGCCACGGTGACCCTGAGCAGCAGCTCTTCTGGCTGGAAAAACAGGATCGGCGTCCGTCGGACTGCCTCTACCTAGGGTTTCCCAAAGATGAGGGGCACTCTTTTGGCAGTCTACAAGAAGGATTATAATAATTTGGGGGTCTACAGTGAGGTCCCCCCCATGTATGGAAACTACTACCGTGGCAAGCGAGCGAAACAAATGAAAGGCGCACCTAGATGCTGACAAGATGCTGCCAAGACTGTTTGCAAGTTTGCTGACCCACCCGTAGCTGCTTGCAGTGCAGCCTGGATTTCGTTCTCATGGCCCTCCACTTCAGGGCCACACCGCACATAGAAATAGGGATGGAACTTATGTATTTTTGCGCAGACAGAATGGCCCTGCAGCGTGATGCCATAAAGCCGGAGCTCATGCTCTCCGCTGGCGGATGGACCATCCTCGATGTCGAGGAGGAAAACGGCCAAGGGATCTCGTTCGCTCAGAGTGGCCGGGGCTGGCCGCGCCCAATCTTCAGGAGCCGCTGCGGGTGAGGCCTTGATTCGCTTGGCCTTGGCAGGTGTCGCTGGTGGCTTCGCTTTTGGCGCTGCTCGTTTTCCCATCGGCTGCTAGGCTCCGCGCGAGCTGTTGCAAATCTATGCTGGATATGCTGGATCATCTCAGTGTAGTAAGGTTGTTGGTAGATGTTATCATTACAGACCGAGCATATACCCAGTTGCGAGAACTGCAGTTCTATCCATCAGGCTCGATGATTCTCACATCTTCATGGTCGCTTGGGGTGGGGGTCGATGTGCAGCTTGGTAAGTGTTCTATCCTGTCCGAGAGATGCTTTAGATCGAGGAGAAGCGACAGGATATACATCAAGATCAGCAAATTGATCTTGCATGCAAACATGTAACATCCAGAAAAGTCCTTTACCAAGCTGACTGTGTTGTTGGCGCAACTTTAGAACTTGGAATTAGTACTTGGGTCGATATCTGGTCTTGCTTGCTTGGAGTAGAGGTCGAGATGGAAGCGTTCAAGGATGGCATTGGGGATCAGAGAGGCCATGCTGTCCATCCATGTGGAGATCTTCCCAGGGAAGGAACCCTATCCCTGCATGCACCACAAACGTGTTGCCTGCGTAGGTAAAAAAATTATGGTGTGCTGCTGCCAGCTCTTGCTTCGCAAAGGTTGCCAATATACCAGCCGACCACCCAACGTAGTCGGCTCAATATTCTTGTTTGTCTGCGGCAGCTATGATAGGGTTGCGTGCAGGCACCTGAGCCGCAGGCGAACATATATCGCTCTTATTGAGCATTTGAGAGCTAGCCGCTGAAGGCATCTGCACGTTGCAGCTCCTGGCTCCCGGGAGCGTGCTGCTTGCTCAATGTCTTTGCTATGTTCAGGAATTCTCCTTGGCTATAAATGCTTGACAGCCTCTGGGTCGTCTACCCCCAAACCGTCGTTTTGCAGCATCCTGCTTGAACAAAGAGGGCCCCTAGCACCGCCTGCAACAAAAGCTGTCAACACACCTTTTATGGCCTCGTGGAAGCGGCGTGCTGTACAGGCATTGGACGACGGTAGGCTTCCATTTACAACTGCAAGTTGCTCGGCCCGAATCAAAAGCAGCTGCACGTGAGTTGCCTTGCTAGAAGCAGATAGCAAACATCTAGTATGCAATGAAAAAGCTGACTAAGAACAGAAGGCCAGCAGGTTCCAGCATGTGGAGCTAAAGCAGTGCGCCTATGCCGACCATAGCTCTGCCAGCCAAAGCTGGAACAGAGCATAGACACTCTGTACAAAAAACCATTGGTGAGACACTAGTATTTATCGAACGGATCGAACAAATGCGTCCAAGCTGAGCTTTACAAGCTGCTTGTTCTGGACCGCCAGGAAATCCTGAGAGAGAGTCAGTCTGCATAAACGGCTCGCACCAGAGCTACTCCTTACTGTGCTGCCCCGGATGCGTTGCAGACCTCGCGCAAGAGACGCCGGTCGTGAGAGGTCACAACCACGCTGCCCTCGAACTCCTCTCAACCATTTAGGTTTCCGACCCAAAGATTAGGTGATTAGGTCGGCTTGCCCTTCAGCCAATATCCTTGAGGGCATTGCCAAGGGCCTCTACGGTCTGCAAATCTAAGTGGTTCGTTGGCTCATCCAAGACCTGGTGGCAGGAAGGAAGGAAGACCGTCTAAAAGGGGGCAATGGCTTGAGAATGGTGGAGCCCCTGCCAGAACGTGGGGTGGTCTCAGTGTAGCAGCTGCCAAGGCCACTCGGCTGCGCTCACCACCAGAAAGGCACCTGGAACATGTCCAATTTCAGCAGCAAAGCAGGAAGACACCCTACCAAGGCAACGGGCCTGATTGGCGACACGGCCAACCTGCCCAGGCCGAAGCTCCCCAAGTGTGCGCGGACCTCGCCCTCTGTGAGGTGGGGATGCCCTGATTCGACACCGCAATGCAATCAGATGCCGGAAATTAAGTGCAAACGCCTTTAGCGGCATCTCAAGATTGGCTTTAGGTGCGGTCCGGTGATCTTGCTTGTTTCGCTACATTTGCTACACCTGCGCGGAGGTCTCTGGCAACAACCATGTGGAGCCAAGCTGCTCTCACACAGCGCCTCGAGCGCTGTGGAATCGCTGGGCAAACTGTCCGCCTTGCTGGAGGCGTTCCGCACAGGGCACGCAGGACTGGAAAGCTTACGCATCTCTTGCTTTCCGGTTGCAGAGGCCGCCCGAAATCTCAAAGCCTTTTGTTCGCGGCCAGTGGTGGCCCTACAACCTTCGACAAAAACCCTGCTGCCTGCCTGATGCTGACTGAAGAAGCCGACGACAACACCTTGGGCTTGCACATCGTCACATATTCTCCATTTCAGGCGGAGTTGCTTTGGGAGCTGCTTACAAACTTGGCAAGCCCAAGCGGCGTGGCTGCTGGTAGACCTCACCCCCGAGGCAGGGCAGCTCTTGGACCAAGCTCCGCAGCAAGGTCGTCTTGCCGCTCCCATTGACTCCCAGGATTCCTGCAAGCCAACACTTACGTCCCACAGCACATGTTCATAGAAACAGAACATGTACGGACCTGCATGCATTGCAACCTTCTTTTTTAAAGCGGTAAGGTCGGCATGCTGATTCTGCATGCTGTCTTCATTGATGCAAAGCAGTACGAATCATCCAATCACACTTCTGAATTCTGAGTGCACATGCCTCGAAGCCCGCTTTTGAAGGATACAGTTGCAATACGCGTTTGGCACAACAGCAGCAAGTTAACAATCTGAATGAAAGATATGGGAGCACCCTTGGCCTTGGGGCAGGCACTTTGCCTGGATACCTCCATGGGCTGGCAAGCCAAAAGCGCTGTCCTATGCGGGACTTGGCTCGGACGTCCAGATCGAACTTTTTCACAAGGGGGGCTCCCTTCTCCTGAGTCAAAGGGTGCAGCTCTGCCTATGGCGCCTGGCAACTTAAGGTGCTAAAGCATCTCACACCATTCACAAAAGCTTCTCAACCTTACCCAGGTTCATAGCCGATTACGACGTCGCGACATTGCAAAAGGGCAGCCTCGAAGCCCAAGGGGGCGGCAGCCTTCAGTTTGAGGCGCACGGCCTGCTCCTTCGTCTCTACGGCCATCTCTGCCATCGCCTCGAAGTGTGTCGCGTAGGAGAACTTGAACTTGTGTCCACCAGCGCGTTCCAAGCCCACACGGTTGAAAGACCAGGGTTTGTCATCCAGGCCAAGCTTGGTGCGACGGCTCACAGCAGCTTTCAGCAAACTGTCGTTGTTTGTCTTCCTGCCACGCTGTTCCATCTCCTTGATCTGTTTCTCCACTTTGTCTTGCTTATCCTGTTGCCTCTGAGCCAGCTCGGCGCGATGCTGTTGGTCCCGCTCATGTGATTCTTCAAACGTTGAAAAGTTGCCGTTGTACACTTGAAGCTTCATCTCAAACAGGCGAAGAATCATTGTGCTCACCTTGTCCAGAAAGTCTCGGTCGTGAGAGACAACAACCAAAGCGATTTCGCTCATCTCCTCAGACACCAAATACCTTTCCAGCCAAAGAATTGCCTGCCAATCCAAGTGATTGGTGGGCTCGTCTAGCAATAGGACATTGGGCTTTGCCAGGAGGGCTTTGGCAAGGGCAACTCTCATTCGCCAGCCTCCACTTAGCAAGCGTGTTGGCTTCTGAAGGTCTGCTTCCTTGAATCCCAAGCCTTTCAAAATTACTTCGGCCTGACCTCGCATGGCATCCGCACCGAGGATGCGAAGCCGATCCCGGATGTCTGCCAACAGCTCCACGACCTGTGCCTGTGCTTCTGCCGTTGCCTCCGAGCTCGAGACGTCAGTCTCCATCACCTGGGCGCATTTTGCTTCTTCGTGTTCCGCCTTGAGCAAAGCTTCCCGCGCGGCCTTCCCACGTGCGCCACTAAGCTTGCTCTCGTACATGGCAGCCTTGAACCTGGCTCTCTTAGCCATCAAGTAGGTGTATGCGCGCAGGGCTTTCACAGCTGCTTCGTAGCTGCCCAGTTCACCAGCTTGGAGAGCAGACTCCTCCTCCAATGCGTCACATAATTCTTGGTGAGCAGCCATAACAGTCTCCACGGCCAAGCGATCGTCTCCGACGTCCTCCTGGTCGACCAGGAGTGTTATGCAGTTCGGAGGGTATCCGGGGATCCGCCTGGACACCATGGCCCGAAACAAGCTAGACTTGCCCGACCCATTGCGACCCACGAAGCCATAACGCTGACCAGGGCAGAGCTTCAGATGAGCGTCCTTCAGCAGGTCCCGCCCAGCCACCGAAATACAAAGGTCGTGGATATCAACTTCGGCCACTGCTGATGTCATTTCATCCTCCACCGCCTCTTTGTGAAAGCGTGAGACGCGTGCTCGCACTTCCAGGAGTTCCTCAAGAGGCTTCTCCTTCTCGCCGTCCTTCTCCTGTACAGCAAAGCCACTGCGCGCGACAAAGCTCTTTGTTACAAGGAGGCTCTCTCTGGAACGGATCCTAGTAGTAGTCCCTTATAACCCATTGTAGTAGTTTCCGTTTTCTTTTGTTACTAGAAGGCTCCCTCTCCTTAACCTTCTTCTTGGCCTTGGCCTTAGCCTTCAGCTTGCTACCTTGACTGGTATCATAAACAAGTTGGTGGGCCAACTGCACACTTTGGGCTTTGAGACGTGGCCATGCTCGGGAAGAGGAGTCTGTGAGCTTAGCCATCCTGCCCAGCCACCTTTGTCGGCTGCAGGGTCGGGGAGGTCGTCGGCCTCTTTGTGCTCTTCATTGCAATCGTGTGCTGCCTGGCGATGGGGCTTGTAGCACCTTTGCCTGGAGATCACACAGACCAGCAAGAAGGCACTCCTTGGACGCTTCATCTTCTTCCGAGGGCTTCGGGTAGCCAGCCAAACCTGAGCAGCCTTCTCATCTGCTGACTGAGCAGTGCAATCTTCTGAGGCAGTCGCTCGCCAGCCTTGTTGCTGCAGGAGCAATCTCCTTTGCGTCCCGGAGATAGTACGTTGGATGGAGGAAATCTTGCACTACCTAGGGATCTGCAACAGGATCCTTGTGCACTGTAATTCATGGGACTTTAGGGACTTGAGGTGGTGCAAGATTTTCTCCATCAACAGTAGGCCACGGTAACTTAGCAGAAGCCTGTCAGCCTGTCCTGCAACGGCGCAGGCTCGTCAACTGTGTCAGACAATCCTAGGAAGTCGCAAAGGCTGCTGACGCCACCATCAACCTTCAAAAAGAAGGTGGGAGACAAAAACAAAGGATCCCAATGGGCCAATGTTCCTGAAGTTGCCATCGCCTCTTCAAGCCACGCCTCGCAACACTCCTTCACCTCGTCCTGTCAAAGCAGCGCAATACCTCCAACTTACGAAAAAACTTATCGTTTTAGCCGATTGGTGCTCCTCAGAGACTGCGTCGGCCAGCGTTGAAACCAGGAAGCTTCGCACAGTATCCTACAGGGGCCAATCGACAGCACGCTGCTCTTCTTGGGCATGCACAGGGCAAGCCCCAGGAGGACTTGAGTACACCTCAATATCCGCCTCCAAATTTGGGGCCAGCTGCTGGAGAAAGTCGGCGATCTCGCTTTCAGTTCTCTTCGGCATGTTGGGCAAGTAAGAATAATTCCACCAACCTAGACTAAATAGGCTATGTGATGGCATGCAACTTCTTAGCACTGTCCAGAATATTGCTAAGCAGGGCAATGTTTATATGAATGGTTCCAAGATGAAATTTGCCTTCTGCTTGCTGACAAACATGTTGAATGCTAACGAAACACGTAAGAGGTTTCAGCATGGCGCTGACAGCCCCAATGTGGCACAGCAGGAGGCCAGTTGGTATTTGTCAAAGTTGCCAGTCAACAGGGGCTGTTCAGAATCACATTCTTGCATCACGCCAATTTTCTGGCTGCAGGCCCAGGTGGGCAGCCCGGCCGGACTCATTTAATGTTGGCCCGGGGCCTGCAAACAAAAATTACTCATTGGGCGTGTTGCAACACAGCCACCGAGGCCTTCAAAGATATCAAACTCCTCTGCGGGGTCCATAGCCCGCTGTCTTGGCCTTCTCCGGCATCTCAGGAGGGCCTTTCAGCATAGTCTACGCATCAGCTTGAGGCCGGAGCCCTCCTAGAGGTTTTGTTTAGAGCTTGCAAGCACCCACTGAAGCTGTGTTTGGTAGTTCTTGCTCTTCTATGCTTTGATTCATGCTCAACCTTGCTCTGCATTTTCCTTTTTGGCGCTTAAACCACATGATGTGGGTAGAGCAACGACACGTGAACACTTTCGCAGCACAAACTGGGAACTACACAGCGCGGACTGACATAATCTGACATGCTTGTTCAACTGGCTCTGCACAAGCTCATGCAAGTGTACTGTAGTGGCGCCTGCAGCAGGCGGACACTCTGCAGGGCAGCCGCTGTCTGGGCCGGACTTTGAGTGCACCTGCCACGTCAACTAGTCAAGAACACATCATAAGGGCAAAGCTGCCAAACTGCCCAACCCTGCCGAGAAGAGTGCAACAAACTGGCGCGTTTTCAATTTCATTTCTGGTGGCGGTACCAGCAGTCCTCTCCAAATTTACAACAGCCCCTGACGTAAAAGGTGCAGAGAGGTCTATCGCCATAATCGCAATCAACGTCTTCATCGTCGCTACCATCCGTTCGAGATGTATGCTGTACATAGCCATCTCGGTAAAACTGCTCAGGCCAAGCATCATCTGCTTTCGGCCAGAAGTATGCCACAGAATGGTATGACCAGCATTGAGCGCAGTAAGTTTTCCTCAGATGTTGCATGATGTTGCTCTCCTTTTGGCTATAGGTTATATTATGGCACCTATAATATTTAGGGGCACCACGGTGGGACCCTAATTTTGGGAACTACCCCTATAACCCCAATATATACCTTATTATAATGAGAAGTTTTCATTTCTTTTCCATTATCCCTTACTAACACCAAAATGTAGGCAAGTCTCATGGAGCCAGGGTCTAAGGCCCGGCCAGCACGAGGACAAGCCCGATTCTTTGTTCGGATGCTGCATCGCTCCTGGGCCGACACATCAGTTTGCCTTGAGACAATTTGCGCATAGTTTTTTCATGTTTGTTTGCATATACATACAGAAAATGTGTGCATGTATGTATCGTTTTCATATAAGATGTTGCGGACGTCTTATACATACAAGTACACATATATGTATGTATGCTGGAAAGCAATTGCGGACTCGCCAAAAACCTCAGGCGTCAATGACCTTGCTTGTTATAGGCTTCCATGAAAGCAGGAGTCTCATGTGTTGTCATCTGCAGCCGCTTTCTGAGGTATGACCTTCTAAGCGTTCTAGCCAATTCCAATCTCCTGGGTGAACATCGCAGCCGGGTGTCGGACTGAGAATCACTAGGCCAAACACGGCCCTCAGTGTCCACAGGCCCTTGATTCCTGGGTGAGCAGACAGACTTGGGCTAACCCCTTGGCAGACTTGAAGCCATAGTTCTTCCAAAATCAGCCAGGGCTCGGCAAAGGCACCGCGGCTGCATCTGGCTTTGCGAACTGATCAAGGTGCCGCTTTATGCTTTCTGCATGGCAGCGCACCTTACTTTCAGACCCTTGGCGCAAGCTCAGGTCCGAACCCTATAAACCCTTAATTGAGATGAGACGGTCAAGGCGCGTAAGGTCGGCAGTGACATAAAAGTCGGAAAAATGTCCCTTTCGAAACCTCTGATGCCAAGGCATCTAGCGCATTGCGCACGTCTTCTCGCTTCAGCTCTTGCTTCTCCCACGCTTCAGAGAGCAACAGCGAGCGTCTGGCAGCAATTCCTGGAAACATCGACACAAAGTGGAGTCCTTTCTTTTTGCCTCGGACCTGATATTGGATTCAATGTTCTTGGTTGCATGTCCCGGAGCCCTTTGCAAAAGTGCCAGCACCTGCTATGTTGCGCATGTGGCGCTGATGTTTTCTTTGTCTTCTCTTGATACACATACTTGTGTTGCTGTTGGTGTATCTCTAGGGCAACTTTTTAACTAATATTGATTACGGTGATAAGAGATGACAGGATTACGGTTACTGATACTGAGCAAGCCAAATCTAGGCGGTCATTCGACACCTTGAATCTGGGCAACGGGCAGTCGTTTGTTGCAGGTTTTGTTGTTTGTTGTTCTCACCACTTGAAGGCAACGATTCAAGACCTGGATACGTGTTGGGAATTTCGCGGCAAGAAGCAGCTGCACTACGCATGCTTGCCATTGTCTTATCGCGGCAGGTGAATCTTTCAAGCCTCGGCCAAGGAGTTTGGGCAATGAGTTTAAAAACAAACCATAAGACAGCATCCCATCAATCATGCTACCAGTTCACTGCTGTCCATATGAATTTGCCGTCGTGGCACGCTGAACCTCCTTGTATAAGTCCACGTTGGGTTCCTCATCGCTGATGACAACCTGTCCACACAGTCAAAATGCATGGGCCATTTGTTCATATGTCCTTTTGCGAACGTGCCTGCAGGTACTCATCGAACGCAGAAACGAGCACCTGGCAGTTAGGTTTTGAAACTCAGACTCAGGAAGTCTCACCAATGCAATTCAACCAGAAACATTGAGCACCCCTTGGCGGCACTGCCACTTCTACCCCCAGGCTACCCTGGGCAACACAGTCTTGATTGGGGGAATGGCAGTGACTGGAGGCAATGCTTTGCATCCAGCTTTGGTCCTCTCTACAAACATCAATATCCGTTCCACGTGAGGTTGAGCTGCCCCTAGCAAGGACATTCTCGCGAGGGAGCTCTGACTTTTCGGTAGAACCAGCAAGGGAGAATGAGTTCGGTAGAAAATACCAGACCGGGACGACCAGCCACTTCAAGTCGCAGCTGCATTTCGCGCGGAGAATGGACCGTGTGTTTGATGTTTTTGCGAAAGACGTGCTCAGGTATGCTTCACAGGACAGCGCAGCAATCAGCACCTCATGCTCTCCAGCGCACCACCCAGCAGCGTCTACAGGAGGGCGCTCAGAGGGGTCGGCATAGCCTGGGAGAGTTGCCAGTACTTGTGAAGTTGAAAGGCCTTCATTTCTATGCCAAAGCAAGTAAAACCACCAAGGCCGGGAAGCTGCAGCTGCCAAATGGATTCCCCAAGCAGGTGGTGCCTCATCTTCGCATCAGAGCGGCGACGTGGCAGTGATGCCACCAAGATCCACCAAGTGTCTCTCCATCTCTGAGTCTGAAGCGGTTGCACACCACGTCCCGTATGCCAACTGGTGGTAGGTCCCAAAACATGGCGTGCTCCACCACTCCGATTGACACTTGTCCTGTCTTGAATTGCGCAGAGGGTTGACATATCAATTTAATTACTCGTCTGCAGGAACATGAGTTCCGATGCCCAGCCATTCGTACCCCAGGCACACGTAAATGCTGGCTTTTTATGGTGTATTCTCCTCTCCAGTGCTTGGCCACAGGCTCAGACCACGGATAAGGGCGCAACTCCGCCGCTGAGTGAGCAAACCTTGAAGAAGGGAAAAAAGAGCACGGAGTGGAAGTTTCAGGTGTGCTTTGTTTAAACGCTTGCCGCCAGCTTCAAAGATCCCTCTCTAGCTCGCATCAAATGCATCAGTTGTCTGTGCATGCGTGGCATAACTGCATTTCAATATCGGGGCCGCTTCTGAATTCCTTGGCTACGTTGTCACCATAACGTACCTTCACGCCCAAGCAGCGTGCACTCCTCCCCCAGTCCTGGGCTGGCAAAGACATGAGGGAGCACTCGCTAACTGCTTCGAGTTAAAATGGAGGCCTCTAACAACTCACGAACCTACCCGTAGCTGGCAGCTAACGGGTTGAGGCATGCCAAAACTTGTCATCCAGTCCATTCCAGTGAGGCTCGGCAGGGTGCCTCTGCAACGATTGCCTTGGAGTAGAAGGGTGGTGCATTGACAGTCGCTCTCTTCCAAACTTAGCCTTAACAGGAAAGAAGTCCGTGAGGATTCACGCTGCCGCACCCGGACAAGAGGCTTTGCATCGTCTTGTCTTGTACAGCTCGTCCGTCATGCCATTGGCCACGAAAGCTGACCCTCTTGCATGCTGTTGTAAATTTGTGCGTCAGGACTATTGTGATGAGTGTTGCCTCGCGCAGAAGGACAGCGTGTTGCCGGCAGATGGCATATGTCTGTGGTCTTCGGCGGCCATAAGTGCCATCTTGCGTTTTCAATCCAGGCTGGGCACCAGCAAAGCAAGCAAGCAAAAGGACGCGTGAAAACATCCAGAACTTTCTGATTGAAGTATGCTCACGCTTCCGAGTGCGGCACCTCTTCGCTCGGCTCCGATTCATCTGTGGATCTGCCAAACAGCAGTTAGCAACACAACACAACAACACATGCATACACATTTACAGATGTGCACAAACGCGTTGTTAGTAATATGAGAGTGTGCAAGCCTTGGCAAGTTGGGTTCGCCCAACCTGATGTGTGACCAAAAGATGTGAACAAACACTGCAGTACAGGCTAACGTGCATTGCTCATCTGCTTTGTGCCCGGCTGGGTGAGAAGCGCTTCAGCAGCTGCCTTCATTTCAGCAGCCTGTCATTGGGGAGGATGGCTGCCAATTCCGCGTCATCACAAGTTCAGTCTGCAGAATTGATGCGGCAGTTATTTCGACAATGCCTCATCTTCGAGCTCTTCCCTGTCTTCTTCCACAGCATCCTGCCAAAGCATTCAGCATTTCGCGTGACTTGCTTTTATCCTGGGAGAGCTCCTCTGAAGGCGCTTGAAGCTGCACCGTGTCCTCCGCAAAGTAGCTGTCAGACCACAGCCAAGGCTACCAAGGTTTTCAGTCATTTCATGTCCTGTTTCTCTGGCTCAGGCGACTTGCCCCGCACAGACGCTGCGGATCCTGCAGTGTCTCAGGTGTCGGGTTGTACTCGGTAAAGTTTTCGCTGATGGCCTTTGCCGCGCTTTGGATTTGGGGGCTTCTTCTTGATGCCTGAACTCCAGAAGATCCCCGAAAATACCATGCCAGCACGATCTTTCAGAAGCGGTGCTGTGCCCCTCGCGTTCTGGCCGCTTCTTCTTAACCAGGTACACCTCCAACGGTGGGACCTTTCTCACTCTACGGAAAGACGAGGCACTTCTGCCGGCCCAAGCTCAAAGTCATACCAAGTGCACTCGTGCAAAGCTTCCAAGCAAAAAACGCCTCAGGACGTGACTCCACCCATCTCTTCATCGTCCATGCCTTCACACCATGGACTGTGGGGTGCGTGACTTGCCTGGTTTCCTGTGTCAAATAGGCCCCCCCAGCCTTAAGAAGAACAGACTCTAGTTGATGACGACACTTCAAAGGGCTTTAGTGAGGCTGCTTGGATGCAAGTACGAAAACACTGCGGGCTTTTCCCCTCCTCCCAGAAGCAGCTACTGAACGTGACCTGCCCACGAGGGCCCGGCCAAGGTGCAATGAACGAAGGTCGTAGCCCAAAACATAGTCCTGGACCAACTCCATGCATTCCGAGCTGCACTCTGGCTTACACATCACAACAAGCGGTCCCCAACATGAAGAAGAGCACCTGCAGCTACAAGCTCACGGGTTGGCGGACAACATGAACTACCCAGCCTAGGTGGCAGCGAACAGTTATCCGCTCATCCTTAGCAATGGCTGCATGTCAAGAGCTGTTTGCTTGAACCACTTATGAAGTCTCTCAGGATCAGGGCTATGGGCCTGCATACATATGCGGTGTCCCTGTTGATTGCATGTTTGCAAAGATCTAAAAATTCCTCCCAGCTTAAGAGCAGCCCTGTTTTTGATTGCACGTTGGCAGAGATATCAAAAAGACCCACAAAACCAAGAGCAGCCCTGCTGCCGCGCAGTCCCGTTCCAATGCCCGGGCACCAGACATTGTGCCCAAAGTCCGCGACCCGCGCAATCTAGCAAAAGTGCGTTTTAAACTGTAACATCTAGAGCGCCAAGCAGATGTGGCTGCTGGTGCTATGCGACGATGATCCGTGCCTCGACTTCGCAAGGACAAATAGATCCAACACCTGCAACAACCAAAGCACGAATCTCTGCAATTGCAAGGCCACCTAACGAGAAAAGAGAAGAACGCCACAATGAACATGCATTAAACATTGCAATTCAGCAGCAGTACGGGTTGCCAATCCCAATGACAACATAATCTGTAGCTGGCCTCCCCGACCGCTTGGGTGGCCAAACCTTCCATGAACAAGCTTCCCTAACCGTGAGTGGGCCAAGCAAATCAAAGAACAGCATAAGCTTTCGACTCTTCTATATCCAGCACGATGAACTCCTGTTGATTTTGGCTGGGGTCTCACCAATGGCAGCAAGCAATGAAAAGCAGTCAACATCTCGGAGTAAGGCCGTCAACTTGGACGGAATGCTAACGGACTGAAAGGGCTTGCGCCAGTACTCTGCGGCAGCAACCTTCCGTCTCCAATCTCTCTCGAGATCAACATGCCTTGCTTGCAATGGGTTGCTGGCCTCCACTACACGTGAGGAGGCCGGGTCCACAAAACTAAGGTGCGAGGAAGCTTTGGTACATAGCCTTGGCATTCGACATCTTGGTCGCCAGACACCGCGCATGGCATGTCGGCACCCAAGTTCTGAGTTAAGGTTTGCGCATTAAGGGCGGCAAGCCGCCCAGTGCCTTGCACAGTGAAAGTCCACAACAAATGGCACCAGACTTGCATGCGAAACTGGTGAGCTTGCGATCCTTCAGTCACTCTAGCTCACCAAAATTTGCAAATCCTCCATGCACATCCCACAAATCCAAGCGCAAGATTTGTGGGTGAACTACTTCCGGTTCCGCCTTCAAATACGTTGCCATATGAAGATTGCAGAATGACAGTGCCATCTTAATGATACCTCCGGACTACTACGCAGCTGCAGTACCCCTTCTGCACGAGAGCCTGGGCGATCTTGCGCGGTAGGAAGACCAAGTCATCCCTACCTGATGAAGTGGAGCTTCGGTTTCTTGTCTAATTGTTGGGTTGTCGCGCAAGGCACGGGCAAATTGGGCAGACTTCTACCTCAGACTGAATCGTTGCAACTGCTGAGTACTCCATGCCCCCCAACCCTCCATGCCCCTGTAGCCTATTGCTGAGCGACGGCACGCAAGTGGTACGCTTGAAGCGGTACCTGCCAAGCAAGTCAAGTGCCTTTCACCTCGGGCATCCTGGCAAACTCCGCTCTGTACACGTCGCCACAGCTGGGAAGCCACACGTGGTGTTTTGTGCGTTGTGGCTGACCAAGTGCTTGGACTCGTGGTGTCGAACCTGCAGAGGTGACCAATGGATTGCGACTGCTGCCGAGCTACAGCCACCTGAGGGTGCCGCCACGGCCCAATTCTTGAGAAACGAGACGAAGTCCTCGTCACAAAGCGAGAAGTTACCCGAAAAAAGTTTTGCGATTCCTCGCCTGCGCATCACGCTCCTTATTGAAGAAGAAATCCAGGCCCTCCTCCCAGCCCAGTAGATTTTTGACAAAGCACCTATAACAGTTCGCTGCATACCCGGGCCTTACAGGGAGTAAGCTGGATCAGCTTCGTGTGTGCCTACATGGCACCAGCTGTCTCAAAGGTACCAGCACTATGAGACATGTAAGCCTTAGTCTGAACTCCTAGCATCTCCCTTAAGAACCCCTATAGTGGTCCCCTATATAGTCCCTTATAACCCCCTTCAAGGAGTCTAGATTATGGCTCATGTCAATGTCACGCCTTGTGCTTCAGAATCAACTGCTCAAGCATCATCAACGTCCGTCTGTGCCTGGAGAGGCTTCAGCTTTAGAATCCGGTGCCATCCGAGATCGTCTGAGGGACATGCTCTGACCGTTGTCTGACCTGTACAAGGCAGATGTGAACTGCTAACGACATGAGTGCAGGATGGATAAGTTATGGACGACTCTGTCGCTGACGTAACTACATCTAGCGAACATAGCGCTGCACACTCAATTTTGCGCCGGGCACGAGCCTTAAATGCCTCACAAATCCTGGCTTCGGATTGAGGCAGGTGCTGCTGCAGTCACCACATGTCAGCACGATCTGGGCTTGCACTGCCTGGGTCACTGGTTCGCGTCCATCTCAGCCGAGCTATCAAACACCAGCGTTCCAGATCCGCTTCATCCAAGGGCCTTGATGCACCTACATGCGATAGGCTCGTCTGGCAGTGCCACTGAACAGGTGTTGGATTGCCTCCTCCGGATATGCCTGCGTCAGGAGTTGATGGGATCAAAGCTCAACAAATCCACCTTTGATCCTCATCACGGTCAAGTATATATGAACGTTCCAAATTTGATATTAATAATGCTCCAGGTGCCTTTGCAATCTCCAAGAATGCTGCCAGCAGGCGCTTGGGTGGCCACCCGTCTTTGGCATCAACGGGATGGTTAGTTGCAAACAAGCAACGCTGCGGCGTAAATAACTTGATTATGCGGTGTACTGCGTCCAGGACAATGGAATTTGAATCCCAGTTCGGGTCTGTATAGCAGAGCATGCTGATTTTTATGTATGTGTTGGGTAGCCGGGCTAGCTCCGTGATGCCCGCCCAGTATTGTTCAGCATCGTCGGTAAGATCTTGTAAGCGGGGGCTGCCAAGGTGGTTAATAATTACGGTGGTTCCCTCATGACTAGCTAGGAATTTGGCTGCCTTCTGGAACTGATGTGGGTTCAGCTGCAAATCAAAGCTGAGATTAAAGTTTTTCAGCAGTGCGAAGCCGTCCTTCCATGACTGGTTGTCAAGCAGGTCCCCGAGTTGTCCATTGCGTGGCCAGTCAGGCTTGCAGTTTAAGATCTGTCGAATACCACGAACACCAGGCTTGCTGCTTAAGGCCGTCAGCACCTCCTCAGCATCTGGCTGCTCCAGGGGACAGGTTGGAACCAGCACATAGTGTTTGGGGCCTGGCTTGCCCACTAGCTCTGCAGCTGCAAAGTCTGCTTCACTGAGACAGTGCTTGGAGTACGATGGCCCAGCAAGTCCGGGATAGCACACACTCACAGCCTCAAGAAACACACCTCCCTCATGCTGGAAGCTGTCGCCCAAGCTGCATGCTCCATTTTCGTATGCCAGGCGATCAAACAACTCAATGCCGTCTGGAGCGAAAAGAACCTTCGAATCATGTCCTGTCTGTGTACCGTCTGTGACATCCCACACGTGAAAGTGAGCGTCTATGAAGCTGATCTTCTTGCTTGCGGGCTCCATGTTTTGACTTGGTTCGGAGCTACCTCGAGCTAGGCATCTGTGGGATTGAGCCGACATCAGTTGCAATGACGGCTATTCAAAAAGAGTTCTTGGAGTGGCCCCCCAGCTTGACACTACAAATAAGGCGCGCAGGCACACGGCATCAAGTCAGTAATGAAAGCCTGAACTGAGCTGTCCCAGGTATGCTTGGTGTAGCTCTTCTTGCAGTCGTCGCACTGGAGGTTATTCACACGCAGCCTAGGCTATCTCGCGCTCGGCACAGCGCCCAGCTTTCTCACACGAAGCTGACAAGACATCAGGAAGCGGCTCTACGACGACGGTTTGCCTCACAACCACGCCGACCTTGCAAGGTCACCATTGCAAAGGGAAGCTTTCTCAGACTCGGGCCGCTGCAATTGCTTCTTGCCTCAGTGGACGGCAAAGGCGTGCGCCAAGCAAAGGAGGTGAGTCTTCGTGAATTCGGCTTCCGGCTGCAGTTCAAGCTTCACTTTCAGCTCTTTGCTGTGGGGCTCTGTCCTGTGGGGCACGAAGCTAGTGGAGGTCACCCAACCTAACACCTAAATAGTAGCCTCCATTTTCTTTTCCATTATCCAATATAACCCCAATATAACCAATAGTACATTATAATACCTTGTAGTATATCATAAAATACTATGATATAATACATTATAGTGTATTATCATTGGATAAAAGGCATAGCTCCAGATGAAGCTCGCATTGGCCTGGGCCGAAAAAGGGTCCGCTTTTCTGGGCTTCCTTTTGGGTGTATAAATAAAGAAATATATGTATATATACATATATACATATATACTGAAGTCATGTACCCTATTATAAAGGGTATATATTGGGGTTTTACAGGGAAAATGGATGATAATGGAACAGAAAATGGAAACTACAATTTAGGGCTTAGGGTAACATTCAAGGGCACAGCCTGACAAATGCTATAAGCGCACTGAGACAGTCACCAGCTGCACATCCTTCCCAATGCCTTTGATGTTCTTGAGGCATATGCCCAACCTGCCAAGACAAGCTACAACCTAAGAACTCTCAAAGGTCACTGTGGCTGAAACCATTCTCAACAACAGAGCAACAAGCTCTTCAGGCCCGTGCAACTCGCGGCTCTCAGTCTCAGCTATGGCGTATGTCCCTCCAGGCCTGAAGTTAAGCAAGCTGGACGTCAATGCAAAAAACAGCATCTTAGAAGCCGGCCGCAGCCAGCGCCGACATGTGCCGCACCTAGTGCTCTTGGGAAGCCCTGCATTTGATAACATGTTAACGTGCCACTTGGCTTTCAAGCTGAGGAGTCATACGAGTAAGTCTTACACACAACAACTTCGCAACTGCGTGAAGGCACTGGGTTTGGAATCTGCCTAGCTCTGTGAAACCTGGCAACACTAAAGTCCGTGCTGGTACACGTTTGCTCGCCGCGCAACTCCAGCTGCAACATCAACCTGCAAACGTCCGTTGGAGGATGCGTTCCCTGTTTTGCACCCCATCGTTCCAGCATGCCTCGCTCCGCAGACACTGCACCTGAGTGTACGTGGTAACATCCGACTGGACCCAGCGTAGAGCCAAACAATAAGACAAAAACGCAGCGAGCACCGGCGGAGATCGTGGAGGTGATTTCCACCTCATTTAGGTTCAGCTGCAGCAGCAAAGCATATTGGAGTGGCAGGTCTTACGCTAGCCGCTTGGCCCTGCGCGCCACAAATGCAACACAGCACCATGGCTGGACATGCTGACAGATTCTACGATTGCACGGGCTTTGCAGTTCTCTTTCGTCTGATTCCATGCGTTATGGCTGTGTAGGTAAGCATTGGGGTCTGCTGAATCTGTTCTGCTCACCGTGTTGCGGGCAAGCGGGTGGCTTTTGTTGCATCTGGCCATGTTCAGGCTTGGTCCTTACTACGCTGCGGGATGCTGCGGGACTGCAGGCCAAGTGAGCTAGACCTAGACCCTTTGTAGCGAGAAACATCCGCTATCTTCCGCCATGCTTTTTTTTATCAGCTGGCTCTGTTCTTGCCAGCGGATGGGCAAGTAAGTTTTGTCTAGCTGGTGCGGCCAATGCCACCGTCACATGCTTCCGATCGAAGCATACAAGCTGATGGCCCACATCTAATAGCACGAATTGTAGCATATTTGTGGCACGTGACATCCTTCAGCATATTGGTAAGTCACAGGGTGCAAGCAGAGATGGCGCTCCAGCCAGAATCTGTTCAGCGGTATGCAAAAGACCACAAACTCCTAGCCCCACCAGACTTCTCGATTTGCGATGTGCATGGTCATGCGTCTTGCACGAGATATCAAGCACGCACCCTGCTTCACCAAAAATCACGGTGCTCCTTTAGGAGCTCCCATGCGAAGTCTTGCTCAATGAGGTGCCAAGCAGGTCATCTTGCTAAAACCTGGGCCCCACGACAGCTCCGAAGATCTCATGCTGTGACAGAAATGCTTGGAACTACTCTGCCTAGGCATAGGGCTGAGTAAAGCCGGCTGATGTACCGGACATCAGCTCGCGGGCTGGACCATTCCCGCCCATCCTGGCCGATGGATGGGCTCGCGGAGCAAGCATAGGCTGACACCAAACCTCACATCCTATATGCCCCCCCCCGCCCCCCCGCATGCTTTCAAGCCAATACTCAACCAGCCCACTAAAGCAACGTTTCCAAAACCAAGCACCTCCCAAATCCCATGCCCAAATCCCAAATACAATCCAAAACCGGCGCAACATGGGGGGTATGGGATGTGAGTGCTGTAGTCAGCCAATGCTTGGTCTAGGCAGGATACATGCACGAAACCATGGTGCCGTAGGACCCGCGCCACAAGCTAGTGGGCTGATCTCCATGCACCGGGTCCTGTGTTGGCAAATTCATCAGGGAAGATGCTAAGATGTGCCATGCATGTCGCACGCAGTTTCGCAGTCAGTGCAGGCTCTGCTTTTTGATCACAGCTGTGCCCTGTACAGGATCCTGGCATGCGTGTGAAAGATCTCCGCCTCCGAGGTTTCACGCTCTCGGCACAGATGCCGCAGGAGGCGACGGCGTTCAAAGATCTGTCGCCCGCCACCACTGCAGGCGAATCTGGGAGCTCGTGGCATTGGCACGTCAGCGGCTCTGGCTGACACCCACCCATTCCGCATCACGACCTACTAGCTGCTTAAAAGCGCTGTGGTAGAAGTCTGGACTTGGAGTCCTGCCATCAGCGGCACAATTCAATCAACACATGTTGGCGTTTGTCATCTTGTTATATAATTAGGGAGAATGGAAAATCAAATGGAAACTACTATAATATATTGGGGTTATATTGGGATAATGAAAAAGAAAGATGGAAAATACTATAGTAAGATTGGTCTCGCTCCTGATGCGGACCTCGTCGCGGCGCTTGGCACGTGCTACTCGTTGTCGTGTGCGTCCGCTTCTGCGGGCCTTCGGCCTGCCACGATTCGACACGGCAACTTCTACACATCTGTGCACGGTGCTTCAAGAGGGTGGCTACAAACACCTCCAAAGCAGCACGGCCGGAGGGCAAATCGGAGCGGCCTGTTGTCCTCCGCTAGCTCTCTTCCGGAACTAGAGGAGCTGGTTCCAGCAGCATTGCCTCATCACAACCATAGAGGAATTTGGAGTTGAATTTCGACAGAACCCACGTAGAAGAAGGTAGCTGTGGTTCCACATGATCGAAATCGAGCCACAAGCGTTTTGCTCACCCAAATCTTTCCAGGATTCGGAAGATCCCGAGAGTGAGGTGCATGAGTTTTGCTCCACGAGCTCGAAACTGTCCTGCGTCACTCACTGCGCTTATCCGGACAGCATGCAGTCATATGCAGTCATCGATCCACAACGGACAAACGCTGTCCTCGCTTCTGGCGGGCTCACCTGTCCGAAGCACTCGCACTTACACTTGTCTCATCGAATCTATCATCTGATCATCTCAAGTTCTGAAAGCTTAAGCAGGCTATCGCTCTGCGAGCACCTGAAGCTCTGTCATCTGCTGTCGCTCGGAGAAGCGACTGGAGGCGCTCAGCCCTTGCAACATCATCCCCATGAGGTGGCTGACAACATCCAGGAAAGCATTTGTGCTTCGAAGATTCTCCGTGTTTGTTGGTACCGCTGACGCTTTGGCCTCACGCAGGGATGCGTTGGAAATCAAGAATCCGACTGTGTGATGTGTCCTGGTTGTGGTCAGGGTAGGCATGAGCAATCTCTCCATGACCCTCAGAAACAGCCAGGTGGCGCTGACAGTTTGCAGCAAGCCTTAGGTCATGAGAGGGGATGATGACTGAAGCTGCAAAATCAAAATGCTGCTCTCGCAGCTGTTGCAGAATTTCTCAGAGTCCAAGTCGCCTCGGAGCCTCTGCGACTCAGAGCTGGCCGCGTTGGCTGCAGCTCGAGATGAGCTACTGGCTTGGGCTGGGCTTGCCCATCCCATCCTTGGCATGGTCTTCATTTAAGATGCTTCGATTGCGGAGGTAGGGTCTGCGTAGAGATGCTTTGCACTTGGCTGCCCAGGTCTTCGAATGAGCGGCTCTGGCTCAGCCGATGGAAGATGTCACCTACACAACTCCTCTACAAATGCTCTACACCTGCTTCGAACTGCTTCGAACCCGTAGCTGTGATGCAGGGCAGCGGAAGGTAAAGAAACGGACATACGGCAGCCGACAGAAGAGCAGAGCGGTCCCCTTCTGTGAGTTCTGTATCTGCCAGAAGGGGCGCCGGTGTTCGTTTTGGACCTGTCAACCTCAGATCGGCAAAATGCCATGGTGGTCAGCGGCACTTTTAGTACTGGGTGCTAGGCCACTTGAAGCACTGCCAAGCAGAGATGACAGCGCAAACTGCGACCTGCGACGGCAAAGCCGATAAAATGGCTTGCTGTGTACATGAAATGCCCCTTCTGCACGTCTGCAACCAAGACTGAGACCAATCCACCCAGAACCATACCCATCATCGGCTGCGTCTCCATCTCCATCACTTCCTGTAATGAACCCAAGGCAGAGGCAAGGGACGGTAAAATGATGCCAGTTTTGCGCTATTGCAGTGGAAGCCTAAGATCTGTGAGGCGCTGGGGGTTAAGAGTGCTCAAATCAAGTGCTTTGATGTGTGAGTGAAGGGGAATACTTGTACTTATACCGACCGTAGCCACGAAGGTTTACCTGCCATCAACTCATATTACTCGTTGTGGGGCAGATTCAATTCAACAAGCCAACGCCATTCAGGAAGCCAGTGCCGTTTTAGGAAAGCATATCTTTGGGCAGCTGAGCAAGTAAGAAGAAGTGCCTCGAGGATTCCTGTTGCATTCGAGGAATTGGAGGAGTTGGATGTCGAATTGTGCGTCCGGTTCACCTGGGATCTTAGGATGCTTGCATCAATCTGCAACTTTGGGAAGCCCACCTTGTCAGCTACTGGCAGCCCTGCAGCGGCCTGGTCAAAGAGCGAGATCAATACCTCTGTCTCTGCAGAAGAGTGCTGACAGCACCTGCTTGGTGCTGTTGTCGTTCACATCGCAATTGGCAAATCGCACTGCCAGGAAGAAAGCGACCTGGCTGTCATGCACAGGTTCTGAGTTGAAAGCAGCACATTGCCATGTGCCAGTATGCTTTGAGGGCACAGCGAGGCACCGCATTGGCGACGTTGGCTTCATCGGCAGAGGTTTGCTATGCCAACGGCTTCTCTAAAGACAAGGAGCTGCCTCATGCACTAGGCCCTGTGACATCTGCCTTTGACAAATGCATCTTCACATATACCTGAGAGACCCTGTAAGCCAAGCGATCATTTGTGTGAAATCGACGGCTACCTGCTACTTGGCAGGTGCTAGACGGCGGTGCACGTCCCTTACCCACCCCTGCGGATCTGTTCACCTTGTCTGCAAGTGTGAACAGCTTCCAACCAAGCTTCAATTCTTGAAGTCCGGTGGGTGAGACAAGTGTTGGAATGCAGCAGGGGATTCTAAGAAAGGCCAGGTATAAAGTCAATTTCTGATTGGTGCATTAAAAAAACCTTAAAGTACCCGGGAGGGTCCTAGCTAGCAAAAACCACAAGCTCGCAAATCTCATGGCACGCTCACGGCTCTACCCAAACGAGTTTTGTGATATTTGTCGACATCAGCCTCCAAGCCATCTCTTTTTTGCGAGAATGCATGCTCGGTGCCACATACTGAGATGCTTACCAGAGAGTACCCTTGTTGAGATGCCAGCCAATCGCGCCGCCTCGCGGAGCAGAGTGATTGGGAATGTGATGACTTTTGGAGTATGGAGAAGAGCACCTCTCGATCTCTGTTCGCGGTGCCTCCATAATACGATCACGCCTGGATTTGGCCATGTAGTCAAGAGTAGCAACTCTGTGACGTTAGAAGCCAGCACAGTTAAACAGGCCAGCAGTGCCAAACATCATAGTCCGACATCTTCTGCTCATAGAGGGCAACCGCGCTTGCACACTTGTTGAACTTGCGCTGAGCTGGCAAGGGACGTGGATGGATATGGATTGTACAGCTTACGCAGCTTTGTGCAGAATCCCTGCATGGACCTTGGAACTGTCGCCACTGGTGTGCCGCTTCTGCGCGCGCTGCCCACATCTCGTTACGTGTGCGGAACCGCCTCGGTGACAGGAGTTCATCGACAGTTTCTGCATCTCCTTCAGAGCTTCAACTGCCAGGCAGCCCCTCGCTGATTAAGGAGTCTTCTTTTCACCAGGCCCGCAATGAAGTCTTTGACGGCCAGAATTGGAAGGGCCTGCTTTCCGATTCCGACTCCTGCTAAGTACAAACAATAGACAACAAATGATCTCCGTGCAAGCGCAAGGGCCCACGGCTCTAGCGAGCGCCTGCGAAAATTGGTGCTGCTTGCGTTTGCGCATGCAGCTCTTCACTCATTTGGCCCTCAGAAGGTAGGGCCTGATTGTGCATTTCATGGCAGTGGTGAACAAGTCGAATTGATCTGCAGAGTTTACCTAGCTACCCTGGCATGTTTTTGCGCAGCGCATCAAAAGACCTGCGTAACCGCTGACATGTAAGCTGGAACCAGAAAGTGCCTCCAACGATGTCGCGAACTCCCCGCAGAAAGGCCAGCTGCTCATCCTCATGGTCCAATCATGTACCCCCCCCTCCCCAACAATGTTCAATGTCACTCACTAGTGTGATCTGATTGGATTCCACTCTTACTACTTGTGAGGCTGGCCACTGGGCAGCCCTCTGACCTTCTTGGCCTCAAGGCTTTACTGTGGGCAATATCTCTGATATGTTTACCACAATTTTGCACAAAAAGCGCTGCACCATCTACAGTGTGCAACTGTGAGCATGCGACATCCACGCCTTGGACGCCCAAAGCAAGCCCCTTCTACCTGGCCCAGCCTCTGACCAACTTACCAGGACTGATTTTGCCTTACATGTGGAAAAGAAAATGGAAATTACTATATAGTATATAGGGGTTCTATTATAGGGATAATGGAAAACAAAATGGAAACTACTACAGTATAACAAGGTTTGTGTTCTTGGATCAAGCATTTGATTTCTCATCAGCGACAACACCTTATCAGATCTCACGCCGGCCGGTCTCCGGTCTGACTGTGAGCTTGCCTCCATGACATCTACATTCCCTATCTTTTGCAAGATGATCACAGCAAGACAGATGTAGACAGATCGGTTCCTCTGGCTCCCATGAGGTCTTCTTGCCAAACAGGAAGCCAAACGCCTGCCAACGCTACAAGAAAGCTGGATTGCACTTGCATCTCAGTGCAAATGCGAGCCTCGAGGAATTGTGCTGGCGTACAGTCAAAAGGCGCCTGCGGTCGCGCGGAGCACTCGTGTGATGGATGGCAGCCACGTTTTTGCTGGAGCGTTGCTTGTGGAGGGCGCCTGCAAGTGCGCCGGAATGATGCGGACAAACGGCCACCTGATCAGGAGAAGTCAGCCGGACATTCGGGGGTTGGGTGGAACACGGCTGCCCATCCCAGCCTTGCTACATCTTTGACCCAGGCCTCAGTGGTCAAAATCAGCAGTTCTGAGGCTCATGACAAGCCTGGTAAGCTTCTGGCGGCCGCTTGCTCGGGACAGCGGCGGTATACGATGAATCGCAGCCTCAGCAGGATCCCCCAGATCCTTGCACTTTGCCAGCTTCGCTGGACACTCATGCGACTGACAACTGGGGGCCAAACAGCGGATTGACTAAAGTTGCGGGACGCGCCAGGGCTGCGAAGTCCTCCCCAATCAGCAAGGCTGGACCTAGCCTCTCTGCTGAATTTGCAGCCCTCACCTTCAGAGGGTAGCTGAAGTGCACACTAGAACTAATATAACTATCTCCGCGCGACAAGCTCCAGATGAAATCAAAACATCCGTCCTTGCAATACACAAAATGCACTGATGTGCGCACACTCTGCGCCAGCACAACGACTCCAGGCCTTCTCATCCTGATTTCGGCCAGTTACGAAATCGAAGGCAATGGCCTTGTACCTTGAACAGCGAGGTTGCAGACTCCATTGTCTCGGCTTCTTTGCAAGAGACAGTGTCTGGCCTCCACTGCTCCAAAGAGATTGGCCCGGGAGTTCCATCGTAACCGTAGCTTTCCAGGATTTTGGGCGGATTTGCAGGCAGTTTTAAGGCACAGTCGGTGACCAGCAGGGTCCGGGTCTCCTTGTGGAAGAAAACTGCCTCGGCAAAAGTGTCCGTCACAGGTGGCTCCACGAAGAAGACTTTACAGTCCAATTCATCGGCCCAAGGTGGGGCTTGGCCTTGGCCCAGGATGCGGCTGTCGCTGGGCACCGTGATGGGGGGAGCCTGCCCGGGCGTGGCCCAGATGGTGGCTTTTGGGTAAGTCCGCTTGAATTCCGCAAGCGAAGCTTTGTGTTCCAAGGCGGTGGACGGAACAACGAGGTGAGCCACCTTCCCAAGCTCGTCCAGCAAGCGCAAACACTGCCGCGTTGGCGAGATGGGTGCCGAAACCCAAAGATCCCCATTTCGAAGCTTGACAGCGGTCATGCGTATATTAGTTGAAACCGAAGCCAGTGCAATACATTGCTCAAAGCCCCAAATATGTCCTGGCACAAGCTCAGTTCGAAGCGTTTCTTTGTACGGTGCAGGGGCTAAGATGGTGCCCAGGGCTGCATACTTCTCATCCGAGGCTCGAAAGGCCGCATCAACTCCAGTGACAGCAAGAGCGCTGCCTAAAACCGCTAGTGCTGCTCGACGAGGTGTCTCAGAGTCAGTGTCCGCAACCTGTGCGTTCCGGATCAAGCGGCATCTTAGGGGCCTGGATGGGCGGCACTTGGCAGCCATTGGCACAGCTAGAAGCCATGACCCCACCAGTCGCACGTGCGCGTGCCAAGTTTTCCTTCCCTTCTTCCCTCCTATGCCTCCTCCCTCCTTAACCTTGGGCCTAGGGATCTGGGCCTGCAGCTGTGACAAATGCACTGGCTGCAAAGCAGCCAGGCTGGAGCTGGCAGGCAGCAAAGCCATCGAAGCAAATGCAGGGAGAGGCAGCGAAATTCAATGGCGGTCTGTGTTTGGGACTAGCTGCTTTCTGGTGTTCTTATTGGTTTAGGTCTGGCCATGTTTGTTGCCCTGTGCATGACAGCTGCATTGATCCAGCCACAACAGAGATGTGGCAAGCTGAGACTTTCATCCACCAATCGGCTGACGTATGTGAAGATGTGAAGTCAGAATCTGAGGAAGCGACTCGCGGCTCTTCTCCCACTGGTGCTGTGCCTCCACATGTCTGCATCTCACACTGCGCCCTAATGGGTATCTCACGAAACTGAGGCGACCCCCTGCCTTCCAGCAAATTGCCCAATCGAAGAATGATCTAGACTCTAGACTAGAACAAGGGGCCCACAGCCCACCTGCACAACGTGCTGGCCCATGTCGCCTTTGGATTTGACCTCAGATTCTGTCGTCCAATTGGGCAGAACGGTCTGTGCTACATATCTCGCCTCAAGGTCAATCCTCTGTGACCAATCCTTCACGTACCTTGCTGTCAAACTTCAGGTAGTCATACTAGTAATTCTCAGCACTCATAATTAATACGAGTTATAGCAATCTAATAACAGTCATAGTAATAGTAAGAGTACTGGTAAATCGTAATTGTTCTAGTAGTAGTAGTAGTAGTAGTAGTAGTAGAAGGCAAGGACTGCGCAGCGGGCAACACACTGCACACGGGGCGCCTATTCTCCAAAACGTGAAGTTTGTCCATCATGGCCCTGGCAGGTTGTCTTCCACTTACTGGTTCTTTATGCCAATATGTCATATAGGGATTATATAGGGATTGCTAACCCCCAGCAAGTCTATCATCATTACTTTTTTCACTGGTCGCACGCATTACTTTTACTACTTTTACTATTATTCTTTACTACTACAATTATTCTTAGAACTGTGACTTTTATTATCATATCAATCGAACCCACAGGGAGCAAACCGCACTCAATGCTGCAAGGCTGACAGGCTTCGATTGCGAGCAGCCTCCAATGGCATGGCCTTGTACTGGGGGGGACCCCCAGCTGTCGCACCCCGAATCCCTGAGTTTTGGAACCCTGTTTCCGCTGAACCCCCTATGAACCCCTATGTACAGTTTCCATTTATCATTTTTTTGGCTTTTGATGCTCCATTCTTGGGATGATATCCCTATGTGTGTCTGGTCAATGGAACGGTTCGACAAGCAAGCTGCAGACGATGCTACGGTAGGCTACGTTTGAAGCACCGGCTTCTTGTCATGGTTAGACAAGTTGGGCCCCCACCCAGTAAAAGTGAGTAATAGTGACTATAAGGCATGATGGTCATCATCTTAGGGTCCTCTTATACTCTGGTTATATTACTAGTGCAGGGTGGGGGGTCCAATTAACGGATGGATGTGCAGCCGCTCCTGCCCCGCGCTGGCCATTCGTGCAGAGGCCAGGCTGTTCGACCTGCGAGATTTCGGCACCCCAAACCCCAAATAGTAGCTTCGATTTCTTTTCCACTATCCCTATATATCCCCTATGCAATCCCTGAATAGACCTATGACAGCCAGCTTTTGCGTCTGCTGAGTGCTTGGCATTATTCAGCTAAGATCGGCGTGTCCAGGACGCCGCAGCTGCTTACTATGGTCGTATCGAAGTTCTGAAGCAACACGTAGCTTAAACTTTAGAAGCAGTAGATTAAATTTGCATAATGTCTGCTGCAGCTTCTGCACCCAACTTCGCAGGATCTGTGTCAGAGACGGCAGCACGGAAGGTGTATCATTCAGGAGTGTCCAGTTCAAGCAGCACGCCAGAATGACAAAAGGACCTTTTCGCGCGGCAGCAGCCCGTGAAGTAAGGTGGTCCTTTCGCACCCTCGAGCCCTGATAAACCGCACAAACTACGCATGGTTAGATAGCTACACTTGCCACCACGGCAAGAGTGCAGTGAGACTGGTCAAAGGCGCAGCTCTACGCCTTCTTTTTCGATGCCTGCAGCAAGTGCAAGGGAACTGTCTAGAGAAAGTTTCAACCTTCACAGCTCAAGGTAAACGCAGAAGTAGGCACGCAGAGCCTTTTTATCCTTTTTCCTTTCTTTTTCATCCCGTTCGCTCCTCTCCTGTAAGAGACCGAAAGTGTCACCGTTGCTTGGCAAAAGTCAGCTGCTGCCCAGTCCATGGTTTGCGTGTGTCGTGTGGCTCAAGAGCCCCTGTCCTTCTGCATGAGGAGCATGATTCCGAGCCCGATGACTCCGAAGACAAAGCCCAGGGCCAGAAGCATGTACAACTGGCAATCTTTCAAACACTTGAAGTCTTTCAGGCAGTGGGCATGCATGGAATGCATTGGATCTTGTTAAGCAAGTTGGTTCTGACTTGGGGTGTACATGATGGAGACCCGACTTTCTGGGGGCATGGAGGACAACCCAGATAATCTCCTCCCCTAGTTTTCAACCCCCACCCCCTAGCATGAAACACTCCGCATTTTGGTATATCAAACTATCTTGAGAATATTTGATATTAGTGGAGATGGGGCCTAAATCCTAAATTCCAACAAATACGTGGTCTGTGGGCAAACCCATATACGATTTAGAATATGCGGACGACACCCTCCTGTTCGGAATAAGCACACAGGTAGTCGAAGAATACTTGAAACACTTGCAAGTTGAAGCAACACTCTACGAACCACTCAAAACCGAGCTACTCCGCCACCCAAAACTAGAAGCAGAACAAATACATGTTGCTAACGGCGATCCAGTTCCTATAACAGAGTCGTCTAAATATTTGGGCTCACAAGTGTCGTGGAATAAGCCTATGCTAACGGCATTGCATCACAGATTCTCCCTAGCTAAAACCTCATTTAATAAGCTCCAGCATCTTTGGCGTAGCAGACTAAACAGGCGTATAAAGGTTCACATCTTTCAGGCCAACATTGTAAGCTCTCTAATATACGGGGTGGCAACTTTAACGATGGAGCCCAAGCACTTCGCCAGGATCGACTCTTGGTACTAGGAATAAAAGCTTCGTACTACTCTGGAGTAACGAATAAGGAAGTATGGATTCAAGCAGGGCGGCCTGCACTTCCATCACAGTTAATTCTGTCACAGCAATTCCGACTACTCCTCCAGGCAATAAAGGCGGACAACATGGAACCACAGCACCATGTAGTTTTGGCCCCTGCCTACAAAGATAGAGTGGGCATGCAACGTAATCATAAAAGAGGACCCCCTCCCCCTCACTGGTTGTCAATAGTCTCCAAACATGCGTTGGAATATTACATCCCAGAGGTCAGTGCTAACCCGGATCGGCGTCAGGATCTATTGGGTTTGAAACAACATCTAGACCACTCCTCAACTTTCCCTGATCGGCTGGTGGCAGCGCCAACGCGCCACCCTTTAAGTTTTCCATCTTTTCGACAAGCATTGGAAGCGCATGGCTGTCGTAACAAGCCCTGGGGTGGGGTGGTTTAATATTAGGGGGAGGGATTATTCGGAATGTATGTGGCATTCAAGAACATAAGCTGCAGCACCTTGCTTCCAGAGCCTGGGGCCGGCGTCGGTGGCTCCTGCAACTGAGACCATATGAGATAATGGAGAAGCAAACGGAAAAGAACATGGAACATAAATGGACACTGTGAGTTTTAGGGAATGTCTGAGTTATAGCCTACACTCCCAGTATCCCCCTTAGCAACCCTTATAATAGTCCCATGTATAGGAGTTATATAGGGATATAGGGTTTAGGGATTAGAGTTTCCAAACGTTGGGGGTACTTTTTGGGGGTATCCATAATAAGGAATATAATGTCTTGGGGTCTTTTTTGGGGTCCCCGGAAACTAGCAAAGAAAACCAAACGATGCTCTGGGGACGTGTTGAGAGAATATGTGACAGGAAGGATGTGAAGTCCACCCTCGGCCCATCCCAACTGCAGGGTAAGCAGTCCTGTGGAGCTTGGCCTTGCATGCAGCTTGCAGGCACAACTCTTTTCACGAAAGGAGTACGATAAGTTAATGAGGCACCATACCGTGCATGACACTAGCCTGCCTGCGCCTGGTCGCGACTGCTGGCTTTGGCCCTGAGCCTGCGCATGCCAAACTACCCAATATCTAATAGTCACTCTAAGACTAGGCCTTCTGTTGCTCCTGCTTTTTCATTGCCTCTTGCTGTAGCTCCATGTGTTCCTCGTCAGCAAGCTGAAGGCTCTCTCCGTTGGTCCTGGCTTGGGGGACTCTCAGCTCCTTCAGCACCGTCTCCAGCAAGGACCACTGTCTGCTAGAAGCCTGGCAGAAACTCGTCCGAAGAGCGGGGGCTATCATGGGCAGCGTGCAGCAAAACACGCAGCAGCACCCGGGCCGGTGGCTCATAAAGCTGTGCATCCTGGAAGGCAGCTTTGCTCTTGCCACCATTGCCAAACGTGCGCTGATGACGCCATGCGTAACCCTGATTAAGCTGGACGCTCGGCATCTGCTCAACCTACCCAACCCCGCAGCCACCTCAGTTCGGCTGCTCCTTTGTCCCATAGTTTTGTTGCTTTTTTTGTAAATGTGTGTTTTCCCAATCCCGGCCCATGTTGTGCTTGCCCGGCAACTACCTGTTTCGATGTCTGAAGCTGGAGACAACCTTCTTCTTGCTGCACGGTCCCTGCTTCCCCTGCAATCAGCTTTCAAGACAGCACATGCAGCGCAAGTCCTTGAGGACGTCCGAATTGCCGTCCGCTGCGGCTTTGGCGTCCTCGTCGGGTATCTTAACATAGCACCTTGGTGTCTGCCGGCTGCCGGCGTCATGAACGGCATAAACCATAAAATTTCAAACTTGGAGTATTGAGCGGGTAATGAGCTGGACTTGAATCCATTAGCTGGGCTTGATGGTGGTATGAAATCGACTAGCAGATCACTTCACTCAGCGTAGTGCCTGCGCGCTCGCATCTAGCCAATCAGTGCCCCCTGATTGGAGACGGAAGCGCATCTTTTTTGCTCTTGCAGAGTCGAGCTGTGACTTTGGTCTTTGGAGAGATTTTGCACATGACTTTGGTGCGATCAGGCCTTTCGTCAAACGCTCGCAATGCCGGCGACTGTTGGATTGAGAAAGCCACAGTTTTCGAGCTCGAAATATTCTCCGTCCACGTCGGCAAAGCCACCAGCTTGAATTGTCTGAAGCGTGCGGCGATCGAAGTGGCAGCCATCCGCAGATAAAACATGGTCTGGAGTCGCAAGCTTCTGTGCGGTGGCAATGAACCCGTTGGTCTCGTCGAGCACATGCTCCACGAACAGATATTTACCGCCCGGTTTAAGAACTCGACGGATTTCAGATACGGCGTGGTCCGGGTTGGAGACTGAACACAGGGTAAGCGTGCAAATCACCTTAGACTTGCCCATTTGCGACAGAAACATCAAACAGATTCGAACCGCTCCAACCAGTACATTATTGAACACACTGGAAGACTGCTGACATCAACGAAGGGGCCGCATCAGCCACCTTGTCTTCTAACGGCAGGGCCTCTGCGATTCCTTTGACGAAGCGCAGGGAAGTTTGGCGTTCTGGCTCCAACAAACCAGCCTTCTTTGCGTTCTCTAGGACATAGGGCTCCATGTAACCATTGGGATCCACACCTACAACGTCCATCGACCTTGGTGCGGATTTGGAACCGAAGTACAGGGCATTTGGGAAGCTGCCGATACCAACCTCCACCACGACTGGGTTTGGGGGCATCAAGCTCCAAAGCTTTGCAAACAGTGCACGCTTCTTCTTGGATACCGCGCGCTCGTAATCTATCATGCCATACGCCATGCCTTTCGCAAAGTCTTCATCCTTCCGAGCGTTTCGTGGGGTAAGATCTTTGGGAGTGATTGCCACCTCTGCGTATGCAGGGTAAACGCCAGGGATGGCCGTGCTCGACAGGAGGCTGGCCACAAATAGCCGCCGACGAGGCGATGACACAGACCAAGGCGAAGCAAAAGAGGTGTCCCGCAGAAAAGTGGCCAAAAGGAGTGCTCCGACCAAGCACCAAGAAATGAGATTACACTTGCTCATCCATGGTGGCCGGCAAGGTTTCATGGCGCTTTGCAGAGGTTCCAGCTATAGAACTATGTCCACGCGTATGCTGTACTGCGGCCACCCTCCAGTAAAGCAAGGTGAGTAAACTTTGAGTAAACTTCATTAATCTATGATTATGCTGCCTTCCACTTCCCCCATGCTTCACCTTGAGCCTTCCTCAGTTGGACACGTGACGTAGATTGCCAAATGGCATGAGCTCACCACCATCATGCATAGTACAAGCGCAACAGGTGTAGGCGCCATGCGTTATCATCCAAGTATAGAAGATGGAGTTCATAGCCTGCAGCGCTACTTGGTGCCACAAGAAAGAGAAAGACATCACACGCGCCTGCTGTTTGTTTAATCCTCGCTCGGCCAGCCTGCAAATGCACGAATGTGCGCAGGCCAATTTGGGCAAGAGGTATGCCCGGAAGTGTCTCGCGCCAAGCAACTGTGCGGCCAGCTGTGCAACCTCCTCGGAGTGTGTATGTAACCTGCCATGCTGATGCATCAACGCATGTTCAAGCTTCTTTTCAACTTGCCACCTGAAGCCAAGCATCAGCAGAAGCAGAACTGCAAGTTGCCTTGCCATAGCTCCGGCAAGGCAAATCTTCATACGCATGGTGCGATCCTCCTCCGGCATGTCCTGCGAAAATGGAAGCAGAATGTTTCCACTACCAATCAAACTCCCGGGAGTCCTTGTCAAAATCCTCCCCTTCAGGCTCTCCTGGCCATCGGCAGAGCCGACTTAGGACCGATAATGGCTGTTTGTCGGCGTAATGATGAATGTCAACTTCGCATATAAAATGACCACAGGGCCGATTCAATGATAGCTCGTGCTTGATGAAAGCGTGGTGAAGATCTGAAGGCAAGACTGGCCTGCGCCTGCGCTGTCGACCTGTGACCGACGTTGCAAGGAAATCAGAAGTATCCGTGGCTGCAACAAGGAAAGCTAAATCAAAACAGTGACAGTAAACCGACAAGCGCAAGAGAAACGAATCTTCCATCGGGTGATTGGGCGAACCTCAAGGTCCTCCTCGTCGTCGGTCTCGAGGTCATCTAGGTCAAGGTCCGCATCATCCGCGGCTTCCTGATGAACACCGCCCGAAGCATCGGGCACGGCTCTGCAAATCTCAAACAAGTGTTGGATTCCAGCAGTGCAGGGGTGAAAGTAACACATTACGCCATCTTGCCTGAAACTGTAGCAAAGAAAACTCTCTGGCCTTTGCAGGGTCTGCTGCATTTCCCGTTTCTCCCGCAGGGGGCTCCTGCACATCAGCGAATTGAACCAGCTAGCCACATGCACTTAGGTATCCTTATGTAAGTGCTGGCGAGTGATGTAGCTGTTTGAGGCAAGGAGCAGAGAAGACCAACTGCGCCAGCAGCAAAAGGCATGCTGCTCGCAGCCCCTGCAGCCATGCACAGTACATGTTCGTTCATACCTGATGATATTTCATGCCAAGGCTGCTGCCCGCATCGGGGAGGAGCAACTCTGGCCAAAGAAGGCCACGCCCTACCCCTGGGCCTAAACCTAAAACCTACTGTGCCACAGAAGCTGCACGAATTTCATGCATCAAGGACTATAGACTGACTTCTGCGGAGAAAAGGCAGGAAAGATTTGTTTCAGTCTTCCCCAAGCAGCTCTGAAATGGCTGTCTACAGGCCGCACCCAGCTTTTGAGGACACCTCACTTGTTCTGCGAGAAGCATGGAAATTCCAGATCGTCCTCCGCAATTCTTTGTGCGATCGCTCAATCCATGCTGTCCAGGTCCATGACCAGCAGCTGCCGTAGCCAAGTGCGAGGCGCATGCTGCGGCAGCTGCTCCCTGGGTTGATCTCAGTCAGAAGGCGTTGGATCCAGTAATGACCAATGCGGAAGATCTTACAATCAAGCTGCCCGTAAAACCGCCCAAGCATCTCGAACACATGTCTGCCCTCAGCGTGAGCTCTCTGCAGTGCACCATCATCCGCGGCAGTCCTTCAAGTGGCAGCATGCAGTAATGGAGCCGTGATTGCCAAGACTTGATCTCCTCAGCTTTGCGACGGCCAGAATTGCAAGAATGTCCTTGGTTGTTCGTTACTTGTGAATTACCTGGATTCACGCGTTGGAAATCTCCAGCTGTGCTCACTGGTAAGTATGCTGCCCAGTTGCAGCTTTTCTGCTGGACATTTCTCCATCTGTAATGGCCAAGGAAGCTAGGACAACTGGAGCCAAGTCCACGCAAATGTTCCAGTCTCCCGCAACTTCAGCAAGTCTGAGAACACCTCAGCCAAACAGCTACTTCTATGTTGAACATTTAACTATGCCATCTTGCAAATATCAACGGGAGGCTCCAAAACAGCTTTCTGCGTCCCATCTGAAAATAGGCAAGGCGCTGGTCAGCTCCCGAAGCAGCATGTGTTGTGGCCCGAGCAGCTGTAACAGAGTCTGCATGGCTGGTCGGAGCTGTTCAATCCTCGCACAGGCTTGGGCAAGCCTACTTTTCAGAGGTTCTACCAGTTAGCTACAGTCCTTCTCTGTGCCTCTGCGGCTCCACGTTGGAGACTGTCGGCCGCGCTCAGCCTTCCAACAGTGATCGCAGCATCTGCGACCTGACCGCGGGCTGCGGGCACTTAGATCTGAAGAGGTGATGCACTGAATTGAGCCCGAGGAGCATGACGGATATCCTAAGTTGCAGAAACCGCGCATATACATTTCCAAAGGCAAAAGGTAATGCTTGGCTTGTCGGCATGCTTCCTGCAAATGCTGCTGCGTCTCTTTGTCCGATGCCGCCTGCACTGCGATACCCATTTCCCTGTTGAGAAATGCACAGACTCCGCGCGTCTTCTCCTCGCTCACAAGCAGGACCGTCCTTACAGCCAACCCGCAGCACGATTGGGGATGACCGGGCGACGCGCGATAATTTTTAATCAAGCATAGGAAAGACAACAAATGGCTAAACCAAACTCTTGGTCCCATCAGCTGCTGTCACGGCCGCTATGCTTGCTGTAATGCCTGGAGGAAGGGGAAGGTCCGCTCTCGAGCCCACAGCACCTTGGCTGAAGCCCGGTCTTCCAAGAGAGACAAGTCTGTCCACTCTCAAGCCGAGAAACGCTCCCAAGCGTTGATCTCTCCACAAACGACGCAGTCACAAATGAATCCATATGATGCCTTCCTCCAGCAGGAGCAAGCGCATGCGGCTTACCATGCTTTTACCATTAAGCACAACTTGCAAAGGCTACTACTTATGGTGCTGGCAAATTACAAAGTTGGCTGGCGGATCCACCATGGCCGCGAAGGATCCACATAGCTAATTAAAACCTCTTCGCCGGCTTGGAGATCACGAATACATCGTACCATGTGCGTCCTGTGCACAAAACTTGTTGCTCCGCTTCCTGCAGTCTAGAATTTGCTGCGTGCGCAAAACGTTTGCCTGCCGTTCACAGGGACCTGCCACACCATTGCGGCGTTTGGTTTGCACGAGTGGTTCCTGGCACATATTTCTGTCGTGCATAGCTCAGGACCAGCGGCTGCACAAACGATTGCCTTTGCCAACATTCATCCAAGTGTCAGCAGCCCTGAAATGGGATCGCACAATTGACCAACAGGTTTCTCAGCAGGGCCGCAGATTAGAAAGCTGTTGCAGGCCCTTAGAGCTGACATGCGAAAGAGCTGGAAGTTCTACAAGGCAAGCGAATGAGTAGTGCGTCGTGTCATGAAACTCCCAGGAGCATTGAGGCAACCAAATGCTACAAACAGCAAAGCTCCGAGGCTCAGTTGCTCGTAGCAGTGGCTGATCACTGTGGCCAGGTCAGGGCCATGGAGGTCGGCCGGGAACAAAGAGTTCAAGGGGGATGCAGCTAAAAGTTCCTGAGTGCCAGGAATATATTCCAAATTCATTATGCAAGGCTGTCACAACAAGGGCTGGCATTTGTATCCGTTAAACGTTGTCTCGCAGAAATGTTGAAGAACTTCCGTGAGCGATGCACTTCTCCTGTTGGTTTTGCGGAGGACTCAGCTATGGCTATGGTTTCTTCCACCTGTTATGGGAATGAGGTTTCTATACACTATTCGCTTTAGTCTTTTTAAATCGATGTGAACACAACTAAAAGCTAATACTGTATAAACAGCAGGGAATAATTACGAGGAACTCGATTCGCCATGCTTCGCACTGTAAGCGCTCTGCAGCTCAGGATGCTGAATTTGTCAAATCCGCCCCTCCACCATTCAGTACTTTCTAGGGGTTAGTAAGGAGGCAAAGGAATAAATCCCTGCATAGTCCCTATGCAATCTGTATTCCCTGCAAAACCCCGGCAACATTATCAATGCAACGCGTAGAGCTTTCCTTCTGCATGCCATCCCAGATGCAGCAAAGCCTTCCAGATCCTCCCACACATCCTCGCTTCAAAGATGCTGTAGTCAAGAGCGTGGACTCATAGAATACTTGGGCATGCCTTTTTTGCACGGAGCGCCACTCTGTCCTCGTTCGGCGTGCACAACTCTGCTAAGTCGTCCAACGACACAGCCACGGAAGCACATCGCGAAGTTGGAGGATCGAGACCGCCTTGAGACGGACCAGGGCGAATGAATGCTGCCAACTGAAAACACACTCATGGCTATTGCGGCTATTGGGTCTCTGGACGAGGTGCTATGCAGCAAACGGAGGAGCCGGGAGATGGAGAGCGCGTAGCAAACAAGCTCCTGCCAGTTGTCCTCCTTGTGGCCTCTCGCATACTCCTTGCATGACCGGAGCCTGCGCAAGGCAGGCAAATCAGCCTCAAACGCAACAGTGTTGCTTGCATCCGCGGAGCAGCGTGGCCAACACTGTGCACTCCTCACCCAGCTCTTGGTATGCTACCCTTACGTTATGAGTCCTGCAAGGGTCCTCCTTGTGCCAGCTCTCACTGGGCCAGCAGGAAGAGCAAAAGGCCAACAAGCCGCATCCCGTGCAGCACATCAAACCTAAGCGAAGACGGTCTGCCTAGTTTGCATGTGTATATCTTCGCCGGGAGCGTGGCGGTGCTCATCATCGAATTCTGTGGCGAAGCACTTCGCACAAGAGCTCTTCCATAACTCCGGAAGGCCGACCAGAAGAGGAGCCTCACAGCAAACTGCACCTGAAAAAGAGATGCTTGGATGCAGCTAGGAGTCTTTTCAGGTCGCTGCCTCACCGACAAGCAGTAACTCACCTGCTGCAAAGCTGCGGGTGCAGTACCTCAGGCTCAGCTGGCTGCAAACCAAAGCACAAACGACCTCCACCAACCAGACGTTGCAGCAATGTTGGTAGTTATGTGCAGCCATCGCGCAGCCCTCTTCCTTTGTCGTCGTCACGCACTTCAAGGCCAAGGTGTTCAAAACGGCGGCCCATGTAGCTTTATAGGCTCTCAGCAAGCATAGCAGCCGTGGTGTGTATTGTTGATGTGCAAGCTGTGTGAATTTGCTATAATACTGTTTGCTGTGCGGCAATATGGTCACAAGTTTCAGGTCAGATGGCTCACGATTGACTTAATTCCTTCCCCAACAGCATCTTGGCTTGCCCAGATCTAGCTTGACAGGCTGTTTTTCCAACTTACTACATTCCAACCTGGCTGCGCTAGCCCAGGCTCTCTTGTGAGAAGCTAGAATCGGAGCAGTAGTTTGAGCAATCTGCAGCATGCCATCGTGCGAGTACCTCATTTTTTCACCACACTATGCCACCAAGCACAAAGTAATAGCAACACTCCCGAGGCCACCAAGCCCATGGTGATTAGTCGCTGTGGGCTCAATGGGAAATAGAGCCCAGCTGTCGCCAGCTCAGGCTGAATTGTGGAAAGATGTAAGCTGAAGCCATACCGCAGGTTGACTTGGTCAAGCTGAGTAACGCCGCAAGAAACGGGCGCCGTGGGGCCGCTGCGCATTTCACACTTGTCACACTAGTCTGCTCGGCGAGTGGCATTCATTCAGAACAGTTGTGTCACCCACCTTGACAAAGCATATGCGGCGGTCACGGCTGCGTGCAAGATTGCAAGTAGACGTTGCGAACTGCGGTTGCGCAGTCTCACGTCACAAAGGTCAAAAGTCTTGTGCGCCATTAAATTGTTCTGGGACTCAGTGTTGTCCTCTCTGCTTCACAGAGATGGCATCTCACATCATCTCACGACCTAACGGGGTCTACCCTCGCATAAGTGCCAGCTGCAGGAAACTGTGTAAGACCCGTGGGATGCACCGAGCTATGTAGGCTCAACTTCATCGACAACCACTTGCAAGGAATGCGTGCCTCAGCGCATGGAACCCCGCCGACGACAGTGCGCCCTGAGACAGTTGGTCTATGTTCGTCGTCTCATTCTACATGTGGCCCAGCATTCAGACATATCAAGGGTGGCCTGCGAGGATGAGCGCGTTATCTGGCGCTCAAACCTGGTTGGCTTGGTCTCATCTTGTGGGTGTTTTGCTAGATCTCACCAACTGCCGAATTGTGTTCTTTTGCTACTTTCTATCCCATGCTCCATCGATGAAGTCTTGCGCATGTTCCGACATCGCACGCTTCGCCGAAATCTGCCCGAGCGGCGATCCCACCGACACTGCGCGCCTTCCCCACGTCAACACAAGCAGTTGCACTTCTCTTGTCCGCATCCGCATCCCCCAACAGCCTCTTGGCAGCCAGAGACGGTCCTGGTGACGAGTTCCTGCTGCTCCTTCGGCAAAGCACATTCGATGGCAAGGGCAACACAGAGAGGGCTGGAGTGCCTGAACTGGGCGTCCACTCCTGCATCCCACCTTGCGTGTGCAGTGCAGAAGCTGCGTTTTGGTATGCACGTCATCACAATCTCCACCTCTAATCTCAGGACGATACGGAAGTGGCATTCCTGGGAGCTGTCCAGATGAGAGCCGCTCCTGTCACACCGCTCGGCTTTTTGGGTTGACAGCAGCGGAAATTCAAACTCTCGGAGGATCCTTGCTTCTGGAGGATGCTCGCCAGCCACTTTCCTTGGCAAGAGCAAATGTGGAGCTCCACCAAAACAAGTCTTCTGAACTGCTCTGTGGGCGTCACGGTGACGCTCCGGCCCCTGTCACCTCTGGCTGGGGACCTTCCCAGTTGCGGGAGAATACAAGACAATTAGAACAATTACACCTTTGACGGTGGCAGTGCTTTGCTGCTGGCAGCTTTTTGGTCGCTTTGCGGTCAGAGCATCTGCCTCTTTCGGTTCCCCTTTCGGCGCGTCTTCGAAGGCGCCTTCTGGGCCTTTTCCTTCAAGAGTGATGCCTGGCCCTGCAGGGTCCGGAGGATGGCTCTGCATGCACCAACTGCACTATTGTAGGCAGCAGGATCTGGCTCCAGTCCGTTCTCCAGCATCTCCTGCAGAATCAAGCCGGCATCGCACTCGCTGGAACTACTGGGCTTACAACTCGGTCTTCTTTATGCGAAGTATGCAGATGGCGATGCTTCGAATCTTTCTGACAATTCCCATCCTCAAAGATACACAAGGCCTGTAGCGGCCCTCCGCCGCGCTCGCAGGCGAGGATGGCTGAACGGTAGTCTGCTGGGCTGACCGGGCCCAGCCTGCGGATCTTTTCCAGGAGCTCCAGCGCTGGCTCCCAGCGTGAGGCCCTTTGGCAAGCCTCCATCGCTGCACCGTAGGCGCTGGCGAGGGTCTGGCTGTCTACCTGGCCACTGCTCTTCAACTCCTTTAGGAGCTCAAGTGCCCAGCTCCAAGTCTTCTTTGGGGCAGTACCCTCCTGACAGAGTGGACAGAGCAGTGCCCTAAGTACTACTTGGCTCATGTTGGCTCTGTCCCTTCTTCGTCCTTTGCAGACCATGCGAAGTGCTCGACCTGCAGCCTTCTCAAAAAGGCTGACAGCCACTCCGGATCAGGTCCCAGCAAGCCGTTGAAGGTGTCCTTAAGCTTCAGCAGCATTTTGCAGCTGACACCAAATACATCCCTCCCTTTAAAGGGGGTATATAGGGATATATATGGAGGTATATAGGGTTTAGGGTCCATGTACCCAACTACTTTTGGTCTTGTCTGCGTTCTGCCGAGTCTCAGCGCTGCCTTTGAAGAAGGTAAGTTGAACACGCCCCTTTGCAGCTTCGATCGGTCTAGCGGCATCCTCGAGGTGAAGTCCGTGCACCTGCCCAAACCCCCAGTGAACTGCATCATAACTTGCTTATCAAAGGAGCCGAGCCGCAGGAATGCCCGAGGCGGCCACCAGCTGGTACCCAGGCTGGATCATTTGACAACCTGAAACCAACACTTCCGCCGAACTCTATGGACCAAATACATGCCAAGCATGGGTCTTGGTTTGAAAGGTCTGACAACCAGCTTAGCCCGACTTCCCATCCCAAGAAGCAAATTTCTTTTCGGGCAAGCATCGTTCAGCATTTGAATCCGGCATGATGTTCTTCACCGCAACACCGCCTCCCGACTCCTTGGGGTTCTCTTCGATTTGAACTCCCAGCCTTGGGATCGCACGGGACAGAACATAAAGAGCACCATCACTTTCCTCTAGAGTGCCGCAGAAACTTGACATTGGCTGAACTCTAGTGTAGACACGGCTTCTCGACGGTCACCGTGACATAGTTGGCTTCGTCCATGGAGTCTATGATGACCTGATGGTCAGCGAGTTGCCTAGCTATCTCCAACAGATGAGAGAATTGCATCCACTGGGCCCAGGTGCAGCTGCGAACGGCTCGGGCAGAGACCAAACCTTTGCCTTCAACTTACTCACTTTCCATTCAGCATAAACCTCGTCCGCTATACCTAGCACTGACACGTCCCCGGATGGATTTATTTATTCCAGCCTCAAAAGCTAGAATTCGAACAAATCTGTGAAACCCTAGATCTGGGTGCTCTTCTAGGCGGCTAGCGGGCTTCAAGACAAGCTGGAGCTTCCAGTGACTTGAAGAAAAGACGAAAATTATCATGCGAGAAACCATGCACGTCACCAGATTCCAGTCGCACCCTCACGGTCACTCTCAGTCTCATTCGAATCAATACTCCGCCTACTTTTCAGTTTTACATGGTCTTCACTTTTCGCGTCGCAAACTTTACGCTTTGTCGATGCAGGATTGCTGTGCGCATGCCGCGATTCCAAGCCTCGCGTACGCAAGGGCAGACAAACCGCTGCGAGCTTGAGCGATTTCTGGTTCTGCTGTCCCAGCAGGGACGGGATCCATGTAAGTGAGCGGAGAGCTCTACTTTGTTGCGAGTGTGTTTCAGGCTGTGAACCCAATAACAGTAATAGTAACCCAATAATAGTCCGTACCTGTACCCTTAAGCCTTAATGATTGTCTGCACATGGGCAGAAAGATCCAAACCACTAGTCCTTTTCAGGCTTTAGGCCTTAGCCTGCATGGGTTGACGGGTTTACAGACATCCTTGAAGAAGCTTGTACCTCTTAGAAAACAACCCAAGAACCCTTTTAAGAAAACATGTTGGACAGTTCATGGGATCCTCAAGGGGTCCCCTTAGATGGCGGACCCATAATTAAGCCTCCCTAAGACCTTTCTAAGGCTCCCTAAGATTCCAAAAGGTCTCCTTTTATGGGGCCTCCTTAGGGCTTCCATAAGAAATATGCTCCGAGCAGCAGAGTCTGCATCCAGCAGTGGAAGTAGAAGGTCTGTCCAAGACTCGGTGCTCTCAAAAGCTTCGTCCAAAATCCCAGGAAAGAGTGCAGACAAAGGCGTCTCGATCTTGACTGCCTTCTTCTCCGAGATGAACTTTTCCCTCTGTGGTGAGATGTCGAAGTTCCTCTTCAGCCATTGTAATGGTGCATCCAATTTTGAAAGGGGGGTTTCAATCTCGATCTCCTCATCTTCTGCAACTACAGTTTCTCTGTTCGGCCGTATCAGATTCTCTTCGATTTCTTCAATTGTCCGGTTAAGACGTTGAGAGATGCCTTGCTGTAAAAGGCCGATTGGCGTTTCGACCTCCAGAGATTCTTCCTCTGATACAAGCGTTTCAGTTGGCTCTGGCAGAATCAGTCCCGCTTGCTGCAGCAAACTCCGCACATCAATGCTTTCTGGTCTGCGCTCTGCATAGCGAGGTGTTGCCAGCCTGCGGTTTGAAACCTGAAGTGGCCTCAGGAAAGCGAGACCTGAGGCCAAGTTAACCCATTCACCAATGCAGCTGACGGCCACCACGCAGCCAGCCAGTGCTACATATCGACTGGCAGTTCGGCACTTTGAGGTACAACGCTCAGACATGTGCGGTCCACATCTCTAGATGCCCTTCATAGCACCGAGCTTCTTGGGCCCAGCATGCTGCGCGTTAGACAATGCGATGAGACGTGTATCCCCTCGTCAGCAATGCGGCCACTCCATATGAGCTATAGTCTAAACTCCTTAAAGGGGGTTATATAGCGATTATATATGGGACTACTGTAGGGATTATTAAGGGGGATACTAGGAGTTTAGACTATAACCCCTATAATCCCTATATAATCCCAGTTTCCATTTCATTTTCCATTTTCTTTTCCATTTGATTCTCCATTATTAAGGGGGATACTAGGAGTTTAGACTATAGTACATGTAACCCCTAATCTAACCCTATATTATGATACTATAGTAGTATCCATTTTATTTTGCATTATGCCGCATATAACCCCATAATATACCCTATAAACCCCTTCATAACCCTATATACCCCTTTAACTACTTTCGCCTATATAACCCCATTAAAGTAGTTTCCATTTTCTTTTCCACTATCCTAATATAAGCCCTATATAACCCCATTATATGATCTAACCCTATATTATGATACTATAGTAGTTTCCATTTTATTTTCCATTATCCCTATATAACCCCTAATATAAACCCAATATAATCCCTATATAACCCTTGTAGTTTCCATTTTCTTTTCCATTATCCCTATATAACCCCTATATAACACCTATATTACTATAATATATTATGATAAGAGGAGCCTTGGCGGCTTGGGCGGGCGGCTCAACTCAGGAATCAGCGCGGGTACGCCTTGGCACTCAAAGTTTGTCGTACATGGGGGGTTTCCCTAAATTAGGGGTACCCTTTTAAGGGGTTATATAGGGGTTCCATAGGGGTATATAGGGATACATAGGGTTTAGGGTTTCCCTAAACTAGGGGTACCGTTTTAGGGGGTCCCATAATAAAAACTAAAATATTTTGGGGTCTATATTGGGGTCCCCCTATTTAGGGAAACTACCACATGCATGTCGAGGCCTTGGAGACCTCGAGTACTGCAGTATTTTGCCCCACTATTCTGAGTGAGGCGCTGTTGGGCCAAAAAGAACAGAAATGATTCATCTATGTTGATTGATGCGTCAAGGCATCAAAGCAGGAGGTGTCGAATTCGAGCAAAATGGAGTTACAGGATACTTGGAATCGTGCCAGCTACAATGAATGGTCGGATCCTCACCTTGTGCCTAGACTAGCGGAAGAAGCCAAACAGCCTAGAAGCCAAGCAAGCGAGCTTGCGAAACAACACTTGCCAAGTTGTGGTCTTCAGCACGTTGAGCCTGAAAGCCTTTGAGGAGCTCAATCCTGCAAACATCTGGAACCTAGAATGTGCCGAACCTTCAAAGCCCTGACAATGTAGTCTGTAGTATTTGGAGATCCTGAGCCTTTTTGGGCTAGAGATGCAAAGTGGGGTGGTCTGAAGCCGCTAAGAACGTCAACACGAAGTGGAGCTTCTCTGGATTTTTCCTGTTGCTCAGTTGCTGCGATTGCTCACCATCAAAAAATCTCATGCCATCATTTCTCAAAACAGCCGATGTGCAGGTCCCAGGACACTTTGTCCACTGGGACCAGCGCTAGCAGCAGAAGTCTTCGCCTTCGGCGGCGATGGCGCCAGCACATTGGAGATGTCACGCGAAACCTGCCACCAGGCACAGGTCCAGATAAAATTATTCATACACCTATTGATATCTTTATCATTACTATCATTGTTACGTATGTTGTCATTTACTATCATTTATCATCACTGACCCAATCTGTCAACTTGAGCCGCTCGTAGCAAAATCCTCCAACAAGATTGCTTGCCAGCCAGTCACTCACAGTGAAAACAAGCAATATTGGCCTGCATGTTTGAACCATGGCAGTGTCCATAAGTACATTAACTCCAAAATAGATCCAAAACTCGCACAATTCCTATTCTGGAGACTCCGAACAGGGTCCCCAATTTTTTGGAAATCCAAATATCCAGCTAACGTGCGTGGGGGGATCACAAAACTCCCCAACCTCCAGATTCACCGGTTTCGGCTCGTCCGGCTTCGCTGCTTCCTGCCAAATAACAAGAATCACCTGGTCTGGGCCCCACCCAGTAATGATGGTATCATGTTTTATCTTAAGAATTGGAGAAGATCTGAGTCAGGATATTTCCTTGTGGTCACTATTGAGCGTGTGAGGACCTAGAGAATCACTTGCTGGTGAGTAAAGGGTTTAGGGGGAATGGGTTGTAGGGATTAGCATTCAATCATATTTTGGCGACTACTACAGGTATCCTTTTATGCATTGCCAGCCACCTGTATCGTTGACTCAGTAACAATTCTATCCAGGCTGTTGGCTGCTGTCCTATGATTGATCGGAAAATGCCCACACGTGCTCTGCTCACACTCATTTGTAAAGTCATGTTCGCACAGAAGCACAGGTGCTGTAGCAATCATACCTGGGTCTGAAGCGCCAGTGCTTCCTGTAGCAAGGTTTTGTTGCTTAAGGCCTGGTCTGACAATGTTAGCTGCTGATATTTCTGACGGCCACGACAACTAGCCGACTAGCCTGCAGCTCGCTTATCATCAGCGTCGCTGAGTTCAGATCGTTGACGGCCTGCAGGACCACATAGATGGCTCAGGAATAGGTTGCCATTTTGGGGAGTCTAACTGGGATCCTCATGATAGGTGCCGCAAACGGAGTTGGTTTTCAGATGTCCACATTGAGAGGTGAGAGGCCTTAATGCGATCACCTGGCTTGATGGCCAAGCTGGCATGCTGCTCCTCATCACCTCGATCTGCCTCACACACACAACTCCAACATAGCAGATAGAACACGGTAGGAGATACTCCCTTATTCCCTACTATAACCTCAATATATAACCTATTCTACAGGGGTAGTTTCCATTTTCTTTTCCATCATTCCTACATATCCCCAATATATTCACTTCTTCCCTAGTAAAGTACTCTAGTCAGAGAGTAGGCCGAGATGGTTCAGCGGCCTGCCGATCTTCGGCAGTGTTCCACTGCGCGACAGGAGTCCTAATGTAACTGGTTCTTAGTAGAGGATGAGGGAATATAGCCCCCATGTACTGTCTTCCCATTACTAAGAACCAGGAAGTCATGCAACTCCTAGCACAAGTATTCATCCGGATCAGAATCCGAGCGGATATCCAACACACTCTCCAATGCAATGCTCAAATCTCTGCGCCACCAGAGTGTCCTTTGTCTGGGATTCTCGTCCACATCGTGAACTACCAACCTCTTGGGCAAGGATGTCTGACACTTTCAGCCTTCCTGTCATTAGGCCCGTGCCTAGTTTTGGAATCATGTCGCTTGACCTGCAGGCCACCAATTACTTTCGTTCCCAGCAGCACGCAAAACATCCCGGGTTGCCTCCATGCCTATTCGAGAGATAGGGTCTGCGTAAATGGTAGCTGGGCTTGGCTTGTCCAGCTGTACCTTGGCTTTGGCTTGCGGCCGCTCTGCCTTCATAGAACAACAGTTGCGCAATGGCTGCATGATTTGGCCAAGGTTCGCGGAATCGTGCAGATGTGCCCCGAAGATCTCCTCGCATCCGCATTAGGCCAGCCTGCGAAGCTCCACTCTACACCATGACTTTCACGATGTCCAAGCACGAGAAGTGGGTTCCGCATCAAAACCTTTGCTAAACAGTAAATGCATAAGCTGATCAAGTCTGCTCTATCAATATCAATCGATTCGGCTTGGGTCATTTGATCAACTGAAGGTTGCGACGGCTGTGCTCCTGCGAAGGCACACTGCTTGCTCGCTGTTTTGAGGACATGGCTGCAGACTACCGGCCCGTATGACTAATTGAGTGCCAATTGGCTTTGTGCGATGAGCGGATGTCAGCTGGCCAAGTGTGCCCAGTACGAGTAAAGAAAAGCATGAAACTGGACAGCTACTGAGAAAAGCAGCAGCCCAAAGGTGTTACCAAAGCAACTGACGCGAGACTTTGTGCGAAGAATAGCTGAACGCAATGACGGCACACTTCTAAAAAAGATGAAGCAAGGTATAGCGCTCTTTTACAGGCAGCAAACCAGCTTGAAGGTCAAAACAGGTTCTGCTTCAGTGCTGCCACGTTGAGACCGTGACACTGACTGAGCTACGCGGGCTCCAGCTTGCAAGCTCCAAGTCATGACGTTTGATGCTGGCTTCAAGCCATTATACTCACTTGGTACGACCAACACTCAAAATGTCCGCAGGGCATCCTCCACCCAAGCCTGAAAAAGGATTCGGCCAGTCAATTGATCATTCCAAACACTCACACCAGTCGCCTGCCCCGCGGACACAGGTCCTTTATGGTCGGGGCACGCGGTCAAACTCGTGATGATCTCAAATATGCTGTATCATGCTGTATCCCTGACCACCCGACCACCTTAAGATCTACAGCCAGTCTCTCTCTCACATTGGTCGCGGCATGGCCGGCATGCCAGGCATGCTTGGCATTCCCCGGCCAGCACCCGGCATGCCCCCCATGTTCGGCAAGCCCATGTTCGGCATACCAGGCAGCGCAGGCATACCAGGCATACCAGGAAGGCCACCAGGTCGGAGTCCAGCAGCCAACAGGGGGTTCATCAGCGGTGGCCGCATACCCGCCAGAAGCGCTGCTGCATTCAAGGCCGGGGCTGCAGCAGCCTTTGCGGCTGGGGCGGGCTTAGCAGCTGGCGTAGCCGCTGGGGCCGCCTTCTTACGCGGCTTGTCCGTCTCGACTAAGTCCTGCGGAACGCAAGACAAGACATGCCATGCTCCCTCTTGGACAATTGCAACAAAGATGCTGTCCTCCTTTCCGAGTTCCTCGGGCTGGATGTAGAGAATGCCAGTCCCACGGACCACTATGAAGCCAAGCATCCTATTTAGACAAACGCATTCTGATAAGCAGGACAGGCAGGAGCGGTCTAGAACTGTATCTTTCGGTTGCGCCTCTTGAGCTCCTTGCCCTCGGGCTTGCCCTTGACCTTGTACTTCCGGTATTCCTTTTCAGAGCATGCGCGAATCTACATCTGAATCATGACCGCACTTTCTGCGCGACGTCCTCGGTGTTGCACAAGACGATATTCACATGCCTGGATGAGCATTCGCTTTCATACCAAACGCAGATTACTTTGGGCAAATGCTGCAGGGTTGCCTGTCCACAGCCATGAGGACACCCACCAGAACGCGGCCATCTGTCAAGGTCACACTAACCTCAGGGTCCGCACAAGTCAGGCGAACATCCACTAACCGGCGTGGGTGGACTTATCTCCATGATACCATCCTCCAACCTGGGGCAGGCACCCGCCAGTTGAAGAACTGTGCGAGCTTACGCCTGCTTCGTCTCTTCTTGGAGCTTTTGCGTTTCTGGAGCTGCTTCAAAGGTACACTTAAACAGATGATTCTCAAACATCAAGCTGCTTTGTCTAGCCTGACGGCTCGGACCTTTCCCATGTTATCTGTCCTGGAGAAGACAGGGCAAGGAGTTTCACGATGCAGGCACATCTCAGGCAATGAAGCGCTCCTTTGGCTTCACTTGATGTAGTGCTTCCTTGACCAGCTAATGGCTTGCTGGTGAGCCAAAGGATCTGCGAGAGCACGCAGAAGTGTCGGTATGAATTCAGCTCCATGTTCATACTGGTATATACGCGTATGCTTCGTTTTCTTTGAGACCAGGTTGAGTGCTCACCCTTGCATGAATCGTGCTCAAGGCATATTTACGGCAGCGGTCTCGTTAGCGGCTCGGGCCAAGTGTCGTGCATTGCAGAACACATGTTGTATTCCGCTGAGTGATATTGGGAATACTCCTGCTCCACGATTGAAGGCCAGGTGGGGAGCAAGAACTTTGACCTCTGAATTCGCCGTTTTCCACGCCAGGTGCTTCAAAGCTGCCACCCACCTTGGTGCATGCCAAGCTGAGCACGCACGGAGGCCCACGCGCAACACCCACCTTGCCTTTTCAATCTGAGCCCTGCTTCTTCTTGGTCAAGTTGACCTAGGGGCAGTTTGCCTAAAGCCTCAATCTCTCAAAAGGTGATCTGGGCAGCTCTTGAGCACTGAGGATTGCGCTGTTTCGCCTCAGCCGCACGTTCAGTGCGTGAGGCTGAAAGTGTGAGTTGAAGGCTCGGTTCTCGGCGCTTCAGCACGTGCAGCAAAGTCTGCGAGGATTCCAGGATCTTCATGTAGGCAGCCTGGCGATGACTGCAAGTGAATCAACTGCTCGTTGCTAGATGCAGACTGTAGGCAACATAACCTCGGTTTCTTGAATGGTCTTGTCGTACTCATTGCGGGCTTGGGTCTTGCGAACCAGGCTTTCGTTGACCTGTCTCCGGAGCATCATAATCAAGCCTTGCTTAGTTGCGCTCGAACTTCATGCTGCTCTCAGCACCGGGTTCTCATCTCTCAATTGGCATATGCGTGCATGGCTTCGGGCTCTAAGCTCTCAGTGCTGCTTTGCCAACTCCATCTGCACATCTTGAATGGTGACATGATACAATTGCGGAGGATATCGCAAGAAGCTTGGGTTGCCAGGAAGCTAGAGACTTAGAGGACTCTAGGATCATGAAAGGTTATCTTTCTAAGCATGCTTCTGCGTCGGGCCTTCTGAAGGCGATCTGTGAGAATTGACAACTCCTTTTGCACCTTTGCCTTGTCCTCTTCCTCCTGAACAGAAGAAAGGGATTGTGTGGAAAGGGCACTCAGGGTCCCATCAAAAGCTAGGTCGCATCTGGGATGGTTCAGTCATGCTATCATTGTGCCTTCAGGATTTGGCGATTCAACTCTTCACGCTTCTCGCGCAGGTCTTCGATGGACTTCACTAGCTCGTTGTTGTAGTTCCTGCATCAATGAAGCTGCTTGCGCAAAGGGCGCGGGTTGTCGCCGGAGTTTCTACGAGCATGGTGCTGCCGAGTTGCTGGAGGGTGGCTCCCTGGGATGCCATGGTCTGACAAGGTGATCAACAAGAACAGGGTTGAATTTTTGTAACGCCTTACGCATGCTTAGTTGGAACTGGCTGTTGGATAAGTTATGTTATGATGAGTCGGTATAACCCATTCGCCAATTCCCTGCTAAGCATGAGCAAGCTCATGCACGTCTCCGCTGCTCCTCCAGGTCACAGCGCGAAGTGCTTTACAAGGACGCCCGCAAGTAAACCAGGTCGTCTGGGCCAAACACAAGCCACACCACGTCAATTATCTGCATCTGCATGCCGTCAATCGCTTGGGTCTCACCTATTGCTGCCAAGTTCTAAACCTTCAAGCTGCCATGCTGCTGTTGATTTTCATAAGGAGAGTCAGCTGGATCCAGTCGCTGCTGGTTCTTCCCCCTTCTTGAGTGCAAGAGTGATTGAAAGTACACTTCCAGCTCTCATCAGGGGGCGCCAACTGTGCACTGCCAATTTTGGCAGGTTCAAGAACATATCTTGTGGCAGACAAGCGCACTGCGGACCAACTTGCATTCGCACGCTTGAGTGATCCCGAATGAACAGTTTTGGCCTATGAATCCTTCTGCTTTAGCATTTACAGTTGGTCCACGCAGGCTCCATCACATGACATCAGGCGCAGTAGCTAAAGCACGGCCTGAGCATCAAAGCCTTCAGAACACTTACTTGACGCGTGGCATCAGTGGCGGCCTCTGCGCCGTGGCTGCCTGCTGTCTGATCGGCTGCGCCGTCGAGATGGACTCCGGCGTGGAGGCGAGCGCCTGCGGCTATCCCTCCTCCGGCTGTCGCGCGGGCGGCTGTCTCTTCTTCGACTGGGTGACCGCCTTGGCGGAGTCCGGGACCGCGAGCGCCTGGGAGGGCTTCGCGATGGGCGGCGCGGGGATGGCCTGCGCTGGCGATCCTGACGGAGTTGTTCAATCAGTGGCCTCCGCCCTTCCCGTGGTGCTGAGGGAGAATGATCCCGCTGGCCTGAGATATCCAGAATGATAAGCGCTTCCTTGCGAACATCTTCTGGGTCGGTTGTAGTTGCTAGGCTCATGGGACCTCCCGCTGTCTTGCCCTCCTTCAATTCCTCCACAATCCTCTCTGGGTGTGGTATACGATTCTTGGACAGATCCAAGAACAGCTTTGGCATGTCATCTTTGTCAGGATGACGGTTTCGCTCCCAGTATGCGCCCTCAATGATTCGGCGACAGAACTCCTGCCCAAACCGGTTGCCTGCCAACGACACCCTTTCTGCGTACCTCGAGTTCTTCCCGGCGCCGAATTTCTTCACCAGGCGAACGAGTTCGAGCTCAACTAGGTCGTCCTTGTCATGACCTCAGCCATCGTGACCGAGAAGCAGCTTGTGTGCTCATGACTGAAAAATACTTGTTGAGCATAACTGATGGATAGGTTCCGCATGGTTTCCGGGCAGCAAAGCCCTGCATTCCTCTCTTGCATATGTTTTACCTCCTCTCTCCCCACACTTCTCAAGCACCTGCAAAAGTTCCCTACCGCACGAGGAGCAATCACAAATGAGTGCCACGCTGTAACCTTCCAGGTTGCAGTTGTCAAAGATGACCGTGCGAGCCTATCGGCCATGCAAGTGCAAGCACCGCGACATCCCAACACAGATTGAAACGCACCTCTGTGGAGACGCGCACGAACTGAACTATCAGCTGCACCGTTTCGGCTCGGCGCTTCAAATCTCAGCCGCATGGCACATGCTGGCACGCGGCTGCTGATGGGCGTTATGAGAGCTGGGTGCACGGGCTTGCTTTGACTGCGGCAGTGTGCTCCTGCATCGCCAGTGGATGCTGCCGCCAAATATCAAAGAACTCAAAAGCTGCAGCATCACATTTCTGTGCAAGCAGTCCGATGGCGACGGCGGCGTCAAAAGAGAGTTGCCACTGAGGTTAATCTCGTTTATCGGCAACGTCGACGTTCTGGTCGGCATCAGCCTGAGCACCAGCTGACGGAGGCCACGCTTGCTCTGACTTTACGGATCAAGGCCAGGCGACCCCTTGATCCCACCAATCTTGCCGACGGCTTTGATTGTCTTTACCTGCACATTCAGCAACCGTGCTATCAAAGCCAATCACGTTGTCACTTCTGCAGCGCTTGCAACAAAGCACAGTCTTCATAGACTGAGCTTGGTGCCAGCATCTCCTGCGAAAAGAGCATGTCATGTTGGAACATCTCCCAAGTCGCAATACTTTGAAACAGGGGGGTCGACCTTGCTAGACCACTGCAGATCACCTGAACCTTCCCGCTCCTCTGGCATGTCCTCCCCGGACAGGTCAAGCTTGCCCGTTTCCAGGCACTGGCAGTTGGCAGGGGAGCAAGGCAGATCACATGGTGGTCATCTGGGAGATAGCTGGTGCCTTGTCCAACATCCGGATGCACTTCAAAGCAGTCTCTTTGGTTCCGCATGTCTTCATTAAGCCTGAGGGTTAACCAGCTCAGCACTCCCAATAGTACTGATAGGATATTTTTCGGGCCATGAAGCTAACATCATTGAGAACCTCATCGTCGGGCACATCCTGCACCTCGACAAGCTCGAAGCTGCTTGAAAAGCTGCTTGAAGGCTTGAAACGCTGTGCTTTTGGAGCCTTTGGCCGGGCTGGCTCCGTGCCCCCGTTCACAATGCCATCTACGGGCATCCTGGGAACACATGAAGCTGAGCAAACATGTGCGAACTACAGCTTTTCTTGCGTTGCTCCACGTTGTCTTGAGGCACGCACGGCTTGCCTGGCGTCCCAGCCCATGCAAGCTACAGGAAGCTCTTTGAAACCAGAGTCCGGCAGCCGTCAGCATGCGAGGTGAACAAACAACCAAGGCAACCACGAGCACATCTGCACGCTCTGCTTCGCGCAAAAACTAGCTTTCAGAAGCGGAGGCTTTTGAGCCGACTGCGGGTCACCCCTCGGTCTGTGGTCATCGCGGATGAGATGATCACGACACCTTTGAAATGGTCTTGATAAGTATGATGCCTTAGCGCGGTCAAACTTGTAAATGCGGAGCCACACTTGCGAGCTTTGAGCAAGACATTTGTCTGAAATGCAGTCAGCTACCGTGAAGCGCTGCGTTCTGACCAAACTTTGCCTTCAGTGTGTACCTACGAGCAACGGCGTGGCATGAAGCCCTCTAGCATGCACAACAGGGTCATCAATTTGCAAGCTTCTTGTGACAACCAAAGACAAATTGGGTTTGGCTGCCGACCTTCGCTCAAGACTGATCAGAATATGCAGTCTTGCAGGCCTCCCAGGGAGCTTCTCGTAGTCCCACAACGCTTCCAGGCAGCCAGGATTGTTTCCTGAATCAACGGCCTATCCATTGATGACGACTGCTGGTTGAATTTATGTGAGCACGTACTCTGGATTCAAAATGCAATTAGCCGTCTGGAGCCAGCATGCTCCTCTCCTATCTGCTTGCAGAACCTGCTAAATGCAAGCATGCTGACAAGGTGCCACCTGCAGTCCAGTAAGCCTTGCAGCCCTCTGTGACAAGCAGATGCGTGCCCCAGGCATGCGGCGTGATAACCTCATCATGGTGTGCAAGGCCTTGTCCGCCAGACTCTCACAACAACCTTGCGGGCCTCTCGTATCACATTTTCCGTTGCTGGCGCCACTTCCCAACCTGAAGGAAGGTTTTTGGCCCTGATCACCGAAATGTCCGTCTTGGTCTGATAAGTATATCGTGCCTTGGCTAAGGGGGGCGACACGTGCATGTCACAGTTCTTAAAGCATCTGCTACGCCATAGGCTGAGAATCCAAGAAAACTGACAGTTAAATCCAGGGGTCATCGGGCTCCGTCGTCCAAGGCGGTTGAGCGTGCGGACTGGTGAAATCGATGGTGGCGTAATAGTAGCCATCCTGGTAGGTCATCCAAAAAGATCAGACTTAACTGCATCACGACTAATCAATCCTGATCTGGGGCAATGGCCAGCAGAATGGAATTCTGTCTTTGCTCCTCTGTGATTGTGACTTCCTTCTTTGGGTCAGCACGTTTGGCTGGAGGAGGAATCCGATACCTGAGGTCTTCCAACGTCTCAACGTCTGGAAGCTGGCCTATCAAACGCCTCGCAATGCTCTTGGACGAGCTGCTCCGTCTGTGGGTTGCCTCTACCTCGACTGCGGCTTCTGGCGGAGCCATTGCCGCGAGCGCCATTACTGCGGCTACGGCTATCCTGTGCAAGGTCCCCCCGTTGACAGCTCATCAACGCTTACATTGCTCCGGTCCAGGCCTTCCGGCTCCCTCTGGCGCGACTTCTGCTGTCCATCCTGCGGCCCAGCTGACTCCAGGGGTCCACATTCCGCGGCAACAGCCTGCAACATGCCATATGTTCTTGAAAGGAGCACGGTCCGAGGCCGGCTTGTGCTCCGGTACCGTTGGCTCCTGGGTGCAAGTACTACTGCAATTTCTTGCGTAGCCATTTGCAAAGTTCATGCTGCACCAGGTCCTTTGAGGCTTGCTGCGCGTCCGGCTACGACTGTCCATTCTTCTGGACTGATACCTGGGGCAACGCGTCAGTCAAACAGCCATGTCGCAGTATGTCGCAGTCAGTTGCCGTAATCCGCACCTCTCGCTGCTATCGCCTCTCCTGCCGCCGCCGCCCATCTTGCTGCAAAAGGTCTCAGAACATACACGCCACACTGTATAGAAAGGCAGTGTGTTCCGCTGAAGTGCACCTACATGTCCTGGAGAAGTTGCCAATGCTTGAGATGGCTTGGGTGCGGCTGCTGGGCATACAAGTTCTGGCACATTTTGCCTATGAAATGAAGACATCCGCCAGGAATGCGAGAACCGAGTGTAAATGCTGGCCGTGATCTGGATGTTATAGTCTACAAGCCGTGGCGTTGCAGGTCTTCAACCTCCTGGATGGGGTTGGCTTCGGACAAGACAAGCAGGAAAACGCCACGCCACTGCTTTGGCCTCTTGAAGTTGCCAATGCTAGTTCAAAAGTCGCAGACGTTATTCTATCTGCAACTAGGTTCATTTACAAGCTACAAGCGACTGCGATCTCCCATTTTGGCAAGACCACAGGCGCTGTGTATAAACGCGTTCCGTGGGTAAAGAAGCGGAGCGTGCGAACATGCCGCACGTGCAGCTTAGCAGTAGCATCACAAGCTGTTTTGAACAGTCCAGCCTGCCATTAAGCAGCGGGGTGTGATGCAGATTTCGGAAAAAACGCCTCGAAACGCGTAGTAGTAGTCCAAAGGGCTGCAATAGCTGAATTCCAACCTATACCATCTCGTACTGATGAGGAGGACCCTTGGTCTACTGCAAATGGATCAGTCCGGTCACTGGGCAGCGCTACCGGCCAGACATTGCGAGCCGCATGTGGGGCGGCTTTATGCGCCCAAGGTTGACGAATACGCAGCCTTTTGGAACATCCAGACACTGAGAACTTCGAACACCAGGTGGCCCACAGAAGTCACTAACATGCCAAGCCAAGAGGCTGGGCCCTTCGCCAGAGGCACATGCCTTTTCAAAGGGATTGCGCTGCTTCCACGGCTCTTTCTTAACGGCGTCCTCCGGATTACCATCGATGAAGGAGAACACCTTCTCAGGACGTAATGTGCCACAGCACAGAGAGCAAGTCTTGCACCCATAGCAGCTGCACTTAAGACGCAAAAAGTTGTCTGCCTTTCTGCTTGACAGCTCTGCGTGCTGTTCCTTGATGAAGTGCAGCAGTTCCTCAGCATCAACGCCATCCCCGTTCCTGTCCATGCCTGAGCTGCAATCACAAGCACCTCAAAAGTTCAGAACGGTGCAGTGCGGAACTGGCGGCCCACAATGACAGTTCACATGTGAAAGACAAAGATGGAGCAAGCAAAAGTCTGAAAGTGCGACACCTGATTTGTTTCCACTTTCGCATGTACATCCTTCCTCTGCAGCGAGGAAACTTTTGTAGAACTGCTTGAGCTCGATATCTCCCACGTCGTAGGCCGTGAGACGGAGGTTGTGGCGAGCAAAATATAGGAATTCCAGCCTACCATGGCAGAGTATCACTCACCACTCAACATTTCGCTTGAACCAGAAACCCTTCCTTCCACACGTACTTCCAACGAAAGCTGCTTTAATCGTTTTAATCTAACTTTCTAGCGGTCTATGTGTAAAAGCTAGTGAGAGCCAACAGGAACCAATACCGGCACATGTGCAAAACATTTGCTTCAGGGCCATGCCACAACGAGATTTTTCCGTCACCGCCCGCATCAATGTTTGCAAACCTCGGCCACGCAAGACGCCAAGCTGATACAGGAACAGTGCACAATGATAGCAGCAGCAGTTGTTGGCACCACAAATGCCAATACTGAACATGATAGTGATAAATGGCGGTGAAAAATAAAGACGGCAGTCCTACTAGCAGCAGCAGAGATTACACTGGTATATTCGGCCTAAGCGGAAACAGCTTGAACATCCACGTCTGCTGAACAGTGCTCTGCCAAAGCAAAGCTCCTGACAATTCGTTGATGGCAGAATGCGAGGCCGTATACTTCCTCAGGCTGACATCCCAAGATTTCCTACACCTATAGTTCCCCTCAAGCAGATAGAATATGGGTATATGGGGATCTTAGTAAAATGCACCCACAGCCATATTTTATCTACTTAAGGAGGACTAGACCACCTGATTGCTTCATGGTCCCTTCCCATCCTGTACCATCATGCTCTGACGTTTCTCTACCTGCAATCCAGGCTCCGAAAGGCTAAATTCAAGTTGCGCCGAACGCGAGCCGTTTTCTTCTCCATGAGCTTTGATTCATCATCAGGCCGCTTTGAGCCATGAGACACGTACTTGAGCAACTCCGACCTGGAGTACACCACAGGTTGTTCAAGCCCGTTGCATCTCTCTGGTTTCAGCCAGGACGCATTTCTACAGAACCGCTCTTATCATGGTCGATGGCGTCAAAGAGCACTTGCAAATCATAGTCGGGCAGAGTTTCTGGAGTGATTCGAAGTGCCGTGCGCATTGCCTGGGCGGCTGAAAGCATAGATTGTCAGGCCTGGACGCACCGCACTGCGCCTGCTTCAGCTCTTTGATGTCCAAAGATCCGGACCTGGTTGACTGGAGAATACTGGAGACAGCATTCAGGCTAAAACAACCCGCTCTGGGGGCTATTTGCTCTAGTGGACTCTAGTGACCCTTTGGGCAAGTGACTTGTCGGCATCAGCTGCTGCAAAGACTTTGTCCCAACTCATTTCTCGATGGGCCTGCCATGGTTGGGCTGATGCATGCCCTTCTAGGGTCGTTTCCCGCAATAGCGGGACCAAGATAGACCCCAATATATTATAGTCACAGTTCTTATTATAGGGACCCCACAAGGTACCCCCCAATTTTGGGAAACCCCCCCTATGGAATGTAGGGCGCAAAGAATCTCGTGCCGGCCTTGGCGGAGATGATGACCCGCCGAGCTCGCGCAAGGACCTCCTCATTGCTCGGCTTGCGCCCCACGATTGGCGATCTGTTGTGGTTCTGCCCGCCTGACCTGAAGTCCGCAGTGCTCATGTGCATGTGAGCTTGGGACCGCCACGCATGCAATTTCCCTCAGTAATCCGTCACTCCCACAGGAGTCATGTCCAGCCAAGCAACAGCGGCCCGCCTTCCGCGGCAGAGCGGCAGTGCTTGAAAGGAGAAATAAAAGGTTCTCGGACCTTTGGCCGTGCACAGGTGAAGCCTAACAAGAACAGAGGTCCTGCATCCCTAAAGGCACCTCATCTCTGGAGATGCAACGCCGCTCTTCCCAGTTGGAGGTGTCAGTGCCAAAGGTATGTAGGACTTTAGAGAACTCGCGCGGTTCTCTTTGTATAGAACTGCATCCGGCGGTGATGGAACAAAGCACGTGCGACAAGTCCCTTCGCTTGCTCAGCGAGAGCTTTGAGCGCCTCGGCGCCATTCTTTCATGAGAATTGGCGACATCTAGACGTCACCCTCACTGGTTCATCCCTTTTTCTTTGGGCCGAAAAGTGTGCAAGAGGCGAGCCTGCACATGATTGTCCATGACCGCCATGAACGCAATGCAGCTAATGCTATTCCCCCGGCAAGGTACCAAGACTCAAGGCACTGATGCTGGGTCTACTCTTTCCCTTTTGCACCGCTGGCATTCCGACGACAAAGCTGTGGAGTCTGCTGAGGGAGAGAAGCTATGCGAACTTCACGGCTTGAACGTGATCCAGCCACTTTAACCCCCTGTGGTAAACAGCCGCAACCTCCTCCATCGTGAGCTTGGCATACCTAATGGAAGCGGCGTGACAACGGGGGCAAGGCAGAGTGAATGAAATTATCAAAGCAAGTTTGACAGTCAATCCAAAACCCAAGATGCTGTCCCGGGTTCAACGCCTCGCTTGCACCTTCCTCGGCCCGAGCTACGCGGGGTGAAGTGTCAACGTCCTGCAAGGCAGCCTGCGCCAATCCAGCTGGGCAGATAGGGATGCCGTGCATGGACCCAATCCTTATGCGGCATGATGTGGTGATGTGGTGCTCTTGTCGAGGCACTTACCTCCAAGGCCGCGGCCGGGTGCGGATCAGCTGCTTGCAGCTGTAACCTATGAGCTATGGCAGCTGCAGCTCATTTGGCATTATGGGCTTGGTGCGCATTCATCTCTTCATCGGAGTTTCTGTAGGTACATGTGCTGCGTTGAAAACAGATTGTGCTGGCATGAAGCTAACTAGGTGTTGATCATGCATTGGGGCAATTGATTCTGCATCTACGAACGAGCTGGGCGTATTTGGGACTTGGAAAATCCAAGACCGTCTCTGGCTCATTCACAGGGATCTGCTTGGACTCAATTTGTATTCAGTCATTGTCAGCGGTGCATGAAGACAATTTATTGTCTTCGCTTCCGTCTACCTGCAGTATTCCTGCAGTCAGCCGCATGAATTGACAGGTAATCTCCTTAGCCATCTCTATTGCCCAGTGAAATGGACTTGGGTTTCCACTGATTTTCCCTTTGCATCTTAATAGCAATTTTGCATTTCATGCCAAGTGGCCGCTGATGATACAGCAGCATGCAACAAGGCATGGACCACACTGTTTCGTCAAAACAGCCAGGGGAAGACCCTTTTTTTAGATGAGCAGGAAACAATCAATTATGGTTGGGCTTATGGCACAGCTCCCTATTCAATGCAGACCCGAAAAGAATGCTGAGGCAAGCTCCAAGGGCTGCCACCATACGTCGGACAAGGTGGTAGCGGCCTGAGTCCACCACGAGCTTCAGCCTTGCTAGACCCAACGACGCGTCCAACTGCATCATTTCCGCCCTCAAAGCGATGGCGGGTGGCTTCCCATCAAACAAATCCACTCCGTCAGTCAGCTGCTTTAAGGTTGCATCTGTGGGCTGGTGGAAGCTTTCATTGGGTCCGAAGTTGGCACCTATCAGTACCACGTACTCTTTCTCCACGTGCGTCTCTGGCATGGCAGCTGACCTTGTGAAGAAGCCGTCAGAAGTGACAAGCAGCAGGCCTTCGCTTCTAGAATCCAGTCTGCCGACGCAATGACATTCTTCCGCGCCAGCCGGATACAAATCCGAAATTATAGGCGTGCCCTCCAACTCCCGGACATGGGAGCAGATGACCCCGCGCGGCTTGTGCATTTTTATGTATACCTCTTTCCGTGGAGGCACTGCCTGCTTCTGAATGACGCCACGCTTCGGCTTGCCTAGAACGGTAACCACTTGAGAGTTTTCCACCATTTCCATCTCATCTCGAGCCGTTCGTCCATCAATTGCTACCCGCCCTAAGGCCACCAGCTGCCTTGCAGCTCGGACGCTGCAGCCAGTCAGTGCTACACAGCGTAGCAATGGCGCCCAGGGCACCCAGGGAACCGCGGCTTCATCTCCCAATGAAGCAGCCCGCTGCGCTGTGGAGGCTGGCCTTCCCGGGTGCAGCCATCGCTGCGCCCATGGCAGCCGGACACGCAGTTGCCAACTGTGACAGCAATATTTTGCCATGCATCTCTGTGTCAAAGGCAATGCGGCTGCAGCCCTGATGCCGCCGCCAGTTTGCATGCTAAGCTGGTGCTGCGGTCAAGAGCAGCCCTTTCTTGGAGATCTTTGTGCCCAAGAGCCTGCTGCACCGCAACATGATGGGAGGTCGATTGCCTTGCCCCACCTCCTGTGGCATCATATTTGAGCCAGCAAATGGACAATGCTGGACAGCACACCGCCGACAAGGAAACCAGACCAAACAATTTCGGCTTTTGGCACAGCAGGGCATAAGTCCCACTTTCTCCTCCACCGCCTCTGGTGCCTCATCGTTCTGCAAGTTGCTACATGACCTAGGGCCTATAGAGCCCAGGAGGCAGCTCGAGGCCTGTCAGACACAGCATCCAAGCAGCGAGGAGAGTCTATGGGAGGGGGAAGAATCCAGGATCATCGTACTCCGCCGGCCTCAGCCAGTACTGCATGCAAACGGCTGGCATGCTGCACAGCATTCCAATCGATCGAAGCATAATTCCACGATAAAGCCAAGTGAGGAGCGGGTGAAGAACTGGCTCTCTTCGTGGCGGCCATGGCGGATCTGCCTTCCGGACTTGTTGGAGCTGCGGCTACACAATGAATGACTAGAAGGCTTAAAGCGCACGATGCCTCACGGGTGGAAACCAAGACCCTCTTTGTGCTCATATCGACTGCCAAGATCTTCACCGCCACTTGCTCCCCCACCTGGCTGTGGTGCATGGTGCTCTTCATACATGTAATTGGAAGATGCCCAAATTCTGCAGGATCCTACCTGCAGTTGCGCTGGATCCGAGGAGCTCTGCAGGTCTTCGCAGAAGCCTCTGATCCGTGAGTCCTGCCAAGTGCAGGATCTAGCTACCCTTCCTTTTCATGCTCCAGGCGGCCTCACCCAGGTTGCCCATGGCCAGGCCGTTGACTATTAAACCTCTGAATCGGCAACATTTGTGAAATCTATCTTTCTTCGTCCCTTCCCCTTTTATGAGGCCAGCTGCTGACAAAGCCGCCATATGGCCTGGGGTCTGCAACGGAAGAGTGAAGGTGCCTTCCTGGAGGCCCCTGCCTGAGCTCCTGAATGACGCCGCGAACAGTTGCGCCAACTGGGAGGAAGTCCACCAGCGCCTACAACAAGGCTTGATCATTGCACCGTTAGGGCCACGCAGTGTCTGCAACAGTTATACTGCACCTCTTCCCAAGTCAGCGCGCGAGGCTCTCCCTCCCTTTCATGTTCCGGAAGGGCGAAGAAGGCCTGAACAGCTGTGCAAGCTGCACGCTGGCACCCAGATGGCTTTATTGGCAGTCCTCAGGTTTGTCTCTTCTCCCTGCATCCTGCGGAATGTCTCAAGACTCTAGACGTGTCTGGATGACTCACGGTTGTGGCAGCATCAGAGACGTCCTGAGCCCATTCTCGCACGGTGCCCTCCTGGACGAAATTCCGCTCTTGCTGCCGCGGCTGTGGTGTGCGCCTTGTTCCAAAGGCTATTCACAGGTCTTCAGCCACTTGGCAACCAAGGCGCATGCAAACAGATTCCATCCGTCAAGGCTTATGGTTTGGGGCATAAAGCGACAAAGCCCCCGTCCTCTTTGCCTAGGGCCTAGGTTCTATGGCCTTGGCAAGACATTGGCTTTTCCTACCAGCTTCACCCAGGGACCGGCATGCAATCCTTCCAAAAAGAAAAACTGCCAAAAAAAGGATCCACCAAGGAATCTAGCATTTCCAAGATCCTGGCTGGAGGTTTGGAAGGGAAGGCAGCACAGGCTCAGGTGGACGTGCGGGCCAGCCGGCTTCCTCCTGCCGAAGAAGGTCTTCAGTGAACCTAAATGTCCCTACTTGATCTGTGTAATGTACCCCTGTTGACCGCACAAGAAATATTGCATGAAACTGTAGGATTGCTGGGGGGGCTGAAGGCTGGCAAGTTTGGTTGAGGCCTCCTGTCATGAAGATCAGGTGAAGATTTTGGGATTGAGGCTTTGGGGTAGGTTCCTTGCTCCTGAAATGCTGCCATTTGTTCACACTGTGCAGCCGTACCGAGGGCAGCACTAGCTGGGAAGGTCAACAATGCCTTAACATGCGAAAGGCCCGCAACTGGTGACGGGTTGGTGATGGTTTTCTTGTCCCTAAACGATGGAGAAGGGATTGTCTGGATAGCCCCAGAATGAAGGCTCACTACAGGCTTAATCGGTATGTCCTCGGCTTATCCATGACCGTTGGATAAGTGGGGAATAACGATCCTTGGCTTACTCATCACTTATACTATGTTTCGCCTGGGCTCATAAAGGCAACTACGGGGACCGAGAAGGAGGGCTCAAGATTGCACAGGTAAGCCTGGGATAAGCCTAGGATAGCGTAGGATGGACGAGCGCAGCATATCCTAGGACTTAGGATAAGCCTAGGATGACCCTAGGATAAGCCGAGGACAAGCCTGGGCTTAGGCTTTACTTATACGTCCTCATCCATAGCTTATCCTCAATTTGTTTCCTTGTTTTTTTAAATGCTTATCCAGCACGTATCCTTCGCTTATCCTGCGTTATAACATCGTCGGCATTAGTATGGGATGGGGACCCCCCCACCCTACTTCATGAAGTGTATATGATTTTGCAGTGCAGTCCTGGGGCTGCTCCAGCTCGGACTGAGCTTCATCTGCAACGGGTGGCGAAGACATAGGTGGCAAAGGCGGTGGCGACAAATCCGGCAAAGGCGGCAAAGGGGGTAAGGGCGGCAGCTTCCTGCGTCCGAGGCGCAGCACTCAGCACTCATCAAACAAAGATGGCAACAAGGCTCTGGCTCAGCCCGCGATTCAGCATGCAATCTTCGGCAGGACAGTCGCGCTGAATGACCTGCATGTGTGAAAAGTTCCAGCATGTTGTAGCAACAGCGACGCCATGAAGCTTTCGGACAGCAAATACTGCGGCTTCGACGGAACAAAACGCTTTTGACTGGCCTACCTGCAAGGGTGAAAGTTACGTCAGCCGCAAGCAGCAGCATGAAGCCAGCAATTTTTGCCTGACCGATGCATACACTTCTGCGACGTGCCACTCTCAAATCCTGCTGTCCGTGCCGTATGCTGCCATCTTCTTTGTGCCAGCCACCTGCCAGCCACTCCGGTGAATTTGATGGGGCTGAAGAACTCAGAGCTGCGAGCCTGCTGGTTCCAAATCTATGATGACCTGCCGAGTTACGGGCAGAAGAGCAGCAACAAACATTGTTCCCGTGCCACACGTGCCTCGAAGACTCTTGACAATTCTCCGGTCTGCAGGTGGCCCCATTTTGTACATGTCCGAGCTACACCCTGCCTAATTGTTCTCCCCTGGATGTGGATACACGGATACAGGGATACAGTCTGAGTGGACAAAGCGCAGAAACAACTGGGATTAGAAAGAGGCATTCCATTTTGGAGTAAGGTGCAGTCCAGGCTCTGGATGTTGGATGTTGTAACATTGTATGCTTCGGTCTGTACCTTCAAGCCAAACAGGCTCTTCAAGCAATAGCTGCCTTCAAAAGCTGGAAGTCAGGGATTTTGCACAACATGTGTGAAGTTTCCCAGGCACACTTACCATCTCCTGAATCTTTCTTTGGCTGTGCGCGGCGAAACGATTGGCTTCTTTGCTGGTCATTGACCAGAAGGGTTCATGCCGATGCATGGGATCAGCTACTTTGGCCTAATTATTGTACATGCGGAACAGAATTGAACTGAACGGCCGCAGCGCATTCTTTAGCTTTCGCAAGTCTCGCTGCCTATGCACGGAGGCCAGTAGTTGGCTCACGAAAAACATGCGGAGAGCCGTGGAGCCCAT